AGAAATGAATGGACGGGCATACCTTACTGAAGTGCTCCTCCAAGTGCAACGAATGCCTCGGACTCTCTGTGGTTCCCTTCTCTTCGCCATGATTGCCCGACCTTCGCGTTCGCTTTAAGACGCTTTCCTTACCTCCTTCATTAGACAAAGGATCAGACCTTGATGGTTCTTGTGTAAAGCCATTGTGTTCTCCTTTGTGTAAACAAAACTTCTCCAACTTTTCTATGTACACATTTCCAAGAGTGAGTTGCTTAAGAAGGGCATTAAATCGTCCCTGAGACATAACAGTCCCATTTTTTTCACCGAATTGCTGAAATATTTGATTGAGATAAATCTTTGTTCCAGCAGAATCAACTACGTCGTCCACATTTTGTGCCATGGATTGAGCAAAATACAGTGCAGTAACAGCTACTGTGAGATATAATTGTCCAAGTGACTTCATCTTACGGCTTGAAATATTGTTCGGTCCAATCTGCAGAGCTTCAATAAAGGTACCGTGCTAATGCAGACAATAATATGGTTTCTTCCTTTTGAAACAGGCTCTAAAATTGACAAACAAACATAAATTAACTGTTTGTGGACACTGGCTACGATGGGATGTGGTTGCAGCTCGTGTTACGACAAATAATCAAATACCAGCAAAAGTTTGGTATCTTCTTACATATCTAGATATTTACAAGAATCGCAAGCAGTGGTGGCGACAAGGGGAGGGGAATGGGAGGGTAATTACCCCCTCGCTTTTGTCAAAACATGGTCTACATATTTCTTCTAGAAATGCATAAAAAGAGCTAGGTAGGAGTGGATCATATTTCCAAAGAGAAATTAACCTTGAACAAAGCATGAAACGAGGCAACAGGCGTCCTCTCACTGGCCACACCCATTACCCACTGATCGCGAGCCGCCTGTTAACAAGTCTAATCCATTTTACCTTCCGCTTCATGCTTGGAAAAGCACTACGCTCCTCTCCCAATAAAACACAAGATTATGTCATTATTTCGCCAACAAAGGGTGTCTTTGAGAACTTCTGTGCAGAAGAGTTGATACGGTAAATGTGAAAAAAAGGCCAAGTGATTCAACAAATAAGTACCCAATTTGGAGCTTTCCAGTGAGGAAATGCTAGAGCATCCACGTTGAAGAGAGACATCTTGTTTCAAAGTAGATTCAACGTTGTAAATTTTGTCACATTCTGGGAACTTAAATATGTGCTATCTTTTTCGTAGTAACAGGTATAGCTGTTTCCAGAATACAGCTCGAGATGATCTCTTCGTATGGAACTTAAATATACGCTTATAATGCCACATGGGTCTCTTTCTAAGGTTTCCTAATTCCTCCTTCAACGTGCTTTTGTTAATATGCAATTATTTTGCAAAACTTATTTCATTTATGTTTCATGTCATAGCTGCCTTTCATTTCATATAGTTTATTTGGAAACTGTCGGCCCGATGTATCCTTTTGCTAGGCGTGTTATTCTTATAACGAAGTTTGAACATAATTGTCAACAATGGTTGAGAAAACTTTCATTTGCTGTTAATTATTGTGTTTTCCAAATAGTGTTAAGAATTTCGGTAGTTTTGCCAACCTTTATCCACCTTGGCAATCGGCTTTTGTCTCCGATTCAAAAACTTTAGGACCACAAGAGACTACCAGTTCAGTAGTAGATAACTTATCTGACGATTATAAATGGCAGATGGCAACGCAAAATGAACGTTTGTGCCGAAATTGTTCGATGAGAAAATAATAAATTCACTGTTGTCACCAACTCGATAGTTTCTTTTGGGGCTGTTTAATAATTACGTCACGCCTTGGAGTAGGTGGCTCAACACAAATTTTCGTGATTCTCCGTGACAGTAAAATAAAGGGGGGGGGGGTGGTACTTGCTTCAATGTCATGGCGTCACGACCGTTGCTAGCGGAGGGGGAGGGGTGCGGGGGGTGCGGCAAATTTTCTAAAAGTAGAGTTTTGTCGGGTTTTGCTTTCAAAGTCCCCAAAGCGATAGCTTTAGCGAACATTTGGGATAAGATGAGGATGTGAACTTAAAAGTATTGCTCAAAAGCCCTCAGCAATTCAAAACAGGAAAAGATAGGGCTATAGGTGTCACGGAGGGGCAAATATCCCCCAAAAACTTCAAATGACTCCCTTTCGGCAGCCGGAGTCTAAAATCTAATGTCCAATATCCAGGGCGACCTAATTTCTACCTAAATTTTGGGGTTTAGGGAAGGGTCAGAGTTTATTGAAAAACTCTGAACGTTGATCCTGGAGGTACTGGAAGCGACTGTAAGCAGGGAAAGGGGGCAAAGTGCCTCAGGGCCTTGAGGTCGAGGGGTCCTCAAGTAGTAATGAACTCCATTTTAAGAATGAAATCAATGAAACGTAGGTATGCCTAAAATAGTCAAAAGTTCTAAACGATTGCAAGAAATGATTGCAAGAAATATTCTGAAATGCATTTTAAGACAATCTAAAGGGCGTGGTCGCGAAAATTTCCTGCTCGCTCCGCTTGCAGAGGGATCTCGTTTTTCGGTTTTGTCTCAAGGCCTTCAAAACCTAAGTACCCACAGTCACTCGAAAATTGAAGCGATGATTGACTAACGAGAACATCCTGATAAACAAAATCAATTGGGTCAAAATGCCACACCCCCACATTGAAATATCTTAGGCCATGCCCTATTTTGTCGGCAAATTGGTGACTGGCACCCCCCCCCTATGTGAAAGTGCTTAGCGACGGCCCTGCGTCACGGTAAAAGAAATCCGCCCGTCACCAAACACAAGTGCTTTGTGCGATAGAGTTTTAAAAAAGCGGATGGCATGCTATCGATGTCGTCGACTTTGATAATGAGGAAGTTGATAGTCCAGAAACTGTTCATGAATGAAAGTGGAACCCTGTAATGCATGATATAGAACCAGTTTGGACAAGCGACTGACAATAATGGCATGGTGTTTGCTGTTGATACGTTGACACTGTTTTTAAACATTAATTTGTTTTTTTTGTTGGTACTTACTGTAGTTCAAAAAACATATGAAAGAGGAATGAGATTTCTTTACTTCTTTATCTATCCCTTTTATTTTCCTAAAAATTCGATTTTGGGAAGAGGGGGATGTTTGTTTGTGCTGAACGTGAAGTTACGCAAGAGGGGTCTTGTGAACAATCGTGATGGAGCCTGGTGATGGGGGGTTGATGGGTCAAAAAAACAATTCTAGCGGACGTGACTATTGTACAGCCCCTTATCTTCGAAATTTCAGTTGTGACGTTCGGAGGAAAACATACGAAAAGTACGGGGAAAGGCTCCTGGATTAGTCAAACAAGGAACGATAAGGAAAACGAGATCATGTTAGGTTTTTAGGTGTAGGATTCTAAAATCTACCCCTTATACTTTTTGCCCGTTTCATAAAAGTTGAACTTTTGATTTACCGTGAAAAGTCTAACTTATTTACCAAACATGTAGTCTCCCCTTGGCAAAACAAGTGGTACTTAATGTAAAGGTCAAGTATCATCAAAATGTATGGAGCCCTGAGATAGTGTTACCATCAAGAATTGACGCCTAGGCCATGTGAATAAATTTTTTGTCAATGGATACACAGACACAGAGGAATCCTGTGGTTGACTATTTGTAAACTTCTTTTGTGGTTGAATATGGTTAAAATCACTTGAACACAAAACCAGCCTCCCTCCTGTAACAACCCTATTTTGGCTTGATAGCTTTCCGGGTGTGTGTGGAATCTTACAGTAAAGCACAAAATGAAGTAATGAAGATAAACACTAATACTAGAATGTACAGAAGTAGAGATAAAAGGGATGAAATTTAATTGTGGAAACACAATCCTATGTAGTGGTGATACTGACAAGTTTCTATTGGGAAACATTTTACAAAACATGTATTTGCACCAGTGCCAAAATCAAATATTGGTTAGCAATATTTACTGAAATACAGATTGTTTGCTTTGACTTTTCTGTTACAACTGGGAAAATGTTATATTCAATAAACAGGGTGACACCTTGTGCAAACTGGAAAAATGCTTAAGATTTGGTCTTTTAGGTTTGATAGACTTTAAACTATCCAGATATCTTTTGGGAATTAGTAAAGAATAATAAACAGGGAAAATGGATTTGTGGAATTAACATTTTAATTCAGGGAAGGCTTGTAACCATTGGCTTGTGGTTTGGCAATGCTAAGATCTTACTGTGACACTATGGGACTAAATCTCAATCAGTGGTGTCAGTTTCCATTAGTTAGTCCATCAAAAATTCCCTACCCCTCTGACATAAGCAAGATTATGAAAAGAAAAACCAGGAAAACAGAACACCAAATAGATGAAAATAAGATAGATATAAAATTAGGCTCTGATTCTGACATCATCACCTGAACATTTTCTTCTGTGTTAAGACAAAGCAGGCATTTCTTTGGATTGCCTCGAGCATTTTCAGAAAACATCAAGATATAACTCCATTTCAGTAAAATCATTTTCAAAACATATTGTAATAAAAATGTGGATCCAACCAATATTCAAGAGTGCATTTCCCACTAATCAACATCAAACCTCATAATATCCATCACATGGGGTGTAAGAAATCAGAAAAACTGATTCAAAATTCTATCAACTCTTACTTATTAAAGTGTTTGGCAAGTGACTAAAGAAACCAACTCATCGCTCTAGTCTACCATCACATTTGCTGATTGGGACATATGGTGAAAAGAATAATGAGAACACTGTGAATCCAGCAAAAGTGGCAGAAGAGCTGCCTTTATGACACTGGTCCTTTCTCCCTCAGGTAAGTTTTGAAATTTAACTAGGACCAGTGCCAAGAAATTCAAAGTGGGTGAAGGGGGGCTCAAGCTGACAGCATTATTAGAAAAAAACCAACTTTTGAGAATCAAACTATATGCTTCACGATAATTCACGCCTTTGATTTTATGGGGCACTTGTTATGCTGTACATTGGAAGGGCCGAAGAGAGGTTGTCGGAGGCCATAGGCACATCTGAAGAAAAGGCTTGAAGGAGGCCCTGCGAGGGAAGCCAGCAGAAAATTTTTTGCAACCACGCCATTTAGATTAGCTTAAAATACTGTTTAAAACTTTTTAACCATTTTCAAGGCATGCTTTTATTATGATTGATTAATTCCAATCTTAAAATGGAATTCATTACTTACCTCAACTATTCCTTGAGGAATTAAGCAATGAAAGGATTTATTGCACCTTTCTTTTCTTTTTTTTCTTTTCTTTTTTTGCTTTTATAAAAACATGTATGTGCAAAAAAGTGGGGGGGGGGGGCTGAAGCTCTTTTACATTTAGTCTGTGTTCCGCTATGCCCTTTTAAAGATAGGGATGCTGGAGTGGAGGGTGCAGGGGGTCAACTGCCCCAGTTGCCTTTTGATAGGAGGAGAAAAGGGGGCCAAAGTGCCCTTTTGTGAAAGTGCCCTTGAAACTGGCCTTTAGTCACAGAGATTCATATGAAATTCTGACTGCAGTGTCAAATTGATGACAACATTTCTCAAAACTTGTAAATAGATTTTCTTAATGCCAAATGTTAGCCAACTTTCAATCTACAGAAGATCAAAAGAAAATGGCAGTTACAAAAGATGTTAGTAGAAGCTGGGAATTATCTATCAAATGCCCTTTAACTTATGCCTGCCCCCATACTTCTTGGTCCTTCCGGTATCCCTGCTTAAAGAAATCCTGGCTTGACAACTAATTTTAGTAAAATAGATTAATCATTCCATGGACAAGGCAACCAAACAAATATAACTAGACCTTCTGATAAATACCCCAGAATTCCATTCAAAATAAACATGCTAAAAGGGACTTTTTTGGGGGCAATTAAAACACTTCATGCATATATTCTTAAAACTACTTTTGTTCACAGACAATTCATAACTTTGGGTTTCATCTTTTAGAGGGTGGGAAAATTTTCAAAAATTTCAAAAAGAGAGTGGAAGGAAAATGATATGGTAGACAGTGAAAGAAGAACATGATATGGTAGACAAAACAGAGCTTGAAAGTATATTAATCAGCTGGTTTACAAAACCTTCCACATGAGGCATATACAAACAGGTTTTGATTGTATTTCATGTTGACAATAAAGTTGTGAAGGAAACAACTCTTTCATCACCATTTTCTTTATAATGCTCTTAAAAATGGCTTTATGGGACTTCAAAAGGCGTGGTTTATCAAATTTAAGGGCAAGCCCCCTGATCCCCAGCAGGGCCGTCGGAAATGGGTGGGAGGCTGGGGGAGGGGGGCTTGATCCCCCCAATTATTTTTTATTTTCTTTATAACAGTGTACTGGATGAAGGAATACAATGGGCAGCCCCCTAATATGAATTTTGTTCCGACGGCTTGCCCAGCCTCTCCCCGCATCACACCACACGTACTTCTGGCTGGCCTCGCCTTTCAGAAAGTTGGCATACATTACATGTTTACCAAATGCTAGTCCAATTCTAAAATAGCTAAACTGTATTCTGCACAAAATTTATGCTTGAGGTACGAATTATGGAGGAAGTTTAATTGTAATCATATTTTCGAAGACACTGACAATAAAAATTTTTTTTCCATATATCATCGTGGATGTGTTCAATATACCCAATGAGTAAGGTTCCCCTATGCAATTGAAAGTATATCAGAATTAATATCAATAAGCCCTTTTTAGATATATCATATCGCTTCCTCTGTTAACAAGAAATATAAATTCATCTTCATCTTATTTATCTTGTAGTAAACTCTATGGCACTAAGGCACTAGCGCATTAGCGGCAGATTTTTACTGATGCATTTCGCAGACAACTTCAGCACAAATTACTAATTATTGCAAAAGGTCAACTACTTTTGTCAAATCTCAAACAGGATATTACAAGTTTGAGCTGCGTGAGGCCAAGCCGTTGAAATTGTGGAAATTGATGGAACTTCATTCTACAACACCTCGAACATCAGCCGCGATTTGGAAGACTGGATCGTCCTAACATGTCCGTTAAAAACCCCTAAAACTTCAACATTCAACTGCAAACAACAAAAATACAAACTGGACGATTTCCACGATGTAATATGCAACGGTCAATGTTAAAACATAAAAATTTCTTACCAGATTTCGTAAATATCTCCAGTCCGGAAAGTGATCAGAAGTGGGCGGATATGGCGATCGTACGTATTTTACATATCCAGTTGGCAAGACCACTTACCCATTTAATGTTGATGGCTAATCTTTTCAATGTTTCAACCCCTTACCATGTCACAAACGTGTAGACTCAGAAAACTAACTGATAAAGCTAGAACAATATATCTACAAAATTCCTTTTGTTTTCATGGATTACTACAAAACCTTTATGTTCTCTTCTGTTTACCTCCTATGGTTTACCTCCACTAGTGGTCTCCTTCACAGCTCCCAGTGGTGTTGTAGCAACTTCACACATTCGGTCATCATCGTCCGCCTTCTCCGCCTACGGCAGATTGCGTATCAACATGTGACAATTCCGGTCTTTGACTGCGTTGTTCAGCGACATCAGGTTTCGTCCAGTCCAAAGGCTATTGTTGTCTCGCCATCGTTTACGTTGTTTTCCTCTACTTCTCTTGCCTTCTGTCATTCCTTCGAGGCAGATTTTGCTTACGCCTTGAGTACAGCGTTTGGTATGACCGTAGAGCTTCAGGACTTTTGATTTAATTGTGGATGTGATGGGAATGAGCTTTGTTTTACTAAGGAGGTCTTCAATTCGCGTATGATCAGATAGTCGTTTGTTTGTCATGAATCTCATCATATGATTTTGGAAAATCATTATTCGGTAGGTAAGGAATAAAATTCTGTTTTCCAACTTTTTGTGGCATTCGTAGTGGTACGTCAAATGAGTGAAGCGACCCCCGTATTCCGCATGGGTTGGTTCAGGACAAGCAGGGTTGCTTCATGGCGGCCAGGGTCTGCAACATAGGGGGCCATCGCCTCCCCACTTTTTCGCTAAATAAAAGACTAAAACCAGCTAAAATGTATTTATATAGATAAACCTTTAGATCACAACGAATATATTGAACCAAAGCCCACAAGTAAAACAACGTCAACGAAATGATTGCCACAATACGGTCAACAGGATACAGACTTGTTTGGTAGGGAAAATGTCACAATTTCTCATACTCACATACTGGAAACAGAACGTTTACCCGTAGCCTGCGTGACAGACCATAATTGAACCCCTCCACCCGCAGCCTCCCCTACATTTTCAGAATAAATTTTGCATTTAGTGAGTTTATATTGGATAATATTGTGATGGCAATGACAAAGCATTCTGGAGGTGGTGGTCTGCAAAAAATATTTCTCGAGTAATTGTCCTCAGACATGCCCCTCCTAATAATTTCCCTCTCGCTATGACCCTGATGTTGTAGGCTATGACGTCGGAGGTCAGTGAGGAATGAACTTAAAAATTTTATTGTTTGTTAATCGTATCCTCTGGAAACTAAATTTTTAAGATTACCAAAATACAAAAAAGCACCAGGTGCGCACCAAAGAAGACAATAAACACAGACAGAGGAGTGATAACGTTTACATGTAAGTTAACCTGGCAGACAAACAAATCAACGAGATACAGAAATAATGACAAACATCGCATTAATGTCCCTTTGTGATCAAGTTTATGAAAGCTTCTTTGCTTTATTGTATAGAGCATCTACAACTTTTCCCATGTTTTGAATAATTTCTAGTGAGTTCTCATATGTCTTGTCAACAGGAGTATCATCGAATATGATAAGAACACCAGAGCCTTGATCGAGAATGCCTACAAGAAAGAACAAATTCATTATGTGAAGTACATAATCAGTTTAGTTCTGGGCCGGGGGAATAGAAAACTGAAAGGGTGTGAGCTTGATCAGCATGCAAAGGACTGCTAGGCCAGTTTTGTCGCATTTGTTAGAAGTTCTTTAGAGTAACAGGTATTAGGGGAGCCGAGTTTAATGTTTCCATTTTTCTAATAAAGTAACCTTAGCAGGTGTGATAGTATTAAAAAACCAATGAGACATAAAACAAAGTTATGAGCTACCTACAAGAAATTCTCTTCTATCTTGTCTCTACCTATTTGTACAGTATAAAACTGGTCCTCTTTTGATTTGGACAAGATGCTAATAGACAGTGTTTTTTCCAACGTGCAGCAGTAACCTATTTGTGAATTGATTAATTCTAATTGTGTAATGGTAAACTGAAATCAATGCAATTTTAACTCTTTGAAAAATTATTTAAATCATAGTTAAAAGGTTTAAAATTTTGCTGTTTGAAGGTTCAGACTGAAATTCAAACTATTATGAAATACCAGGATGATATTTATTTGCATCATTCCGATATATCTTTATTTATAAGCTCAATCATGAACATCAAAATCCTTCGTTCATGTCAAAAATACGTCCTAACATAATAACGACGTTCAATTCAAAAGCCTTGCAATGTCTACATGCTCATTCACACAGTTCACATAAGAGCGTTCCTAACGAGATTAAGATTGATATCACAGTGTTGTCGGAACGAAATTTATATGGGGGGGGGGGGCTGCCCGTTGTTTTCTTTCTCACACATTACATTGTTATAAAGAAAACATACTGCAGTTTGTATTCAAATCAAATGTATCACCACAGAATAGGAATTAGGAATAGGAATTAAGAAGAAGGGGAACTCCTGCCTATCAGGTGAAGCCTGAAAAAACTAGCGCATGCGTTAACTTATACGAGGCTTAGCATGTATCTGTCGGGGAAATTTTAAAAAAGAATGAAAGTAGACAACTTTATTTGAGACGAAATGCCCCATGAGAGTGAACAAATTCAATTATGTACCATAATTCGTTTATATCTGATTAATGAATGATAATTTGTCATGGCTAAGTTCGTCTAATGAAAGCGAGTTTAAAGGGGAATTGTTGACTCAGGCTTCTAAAACAACAAAGAAACCGACGAGAGTGACCCTTCTGACCCGTTTGTACTCATCATACCACCACAGAGTCATTCAAAGCACCTTGTGTGAGCACCAGAATAGGCCCGCCCCTAAAGAAACATCTTCCTGCTCTATGCACACGTTTAAAAGAGTGTCAAACGTAAAAATAGAACTTCAACAATTTTGCAAATGGCAACATAGGGAACAGGTATTTTTCGGAAGAAAGCTGCTCTTATATTTGCAAAAGGACTTTCTTTCACGTTGATGTACCTGGCTTTCTACGAAGAAAACTAAGATGGGATGACAGCTTTTCAATTTTTCTTTAAATGTACTTTATATGCTAGCTTTTTGATGAACTTTTCGTAATTTAGCATTGATTAAGATATTCGGTAAATGAGGCCTACAAGATGTAATGTAACATTCCGTCAAAATTAAGAAAGGATTTTGACGAGTTTCAACACAGATGGTTTCAACCACCTGACCATCAACACTTTCCATTATTTTGGTAATTAGAGGATTTGGAAGATTAGTTGTAACTTAAATGAGTGTACAGCGGACAGCCAATAAATTAAACTAAAATTATCGAGAAAATGCCTTAATAGGCATAATCATTAAGCAGCAAAATTCTTTGCACGAAATAGAGAAAATCTGAATTATTAGGCCGTAGAATTGTCGAACTTCGATTGTATAGACTGTTCGGAAGAAGTTGTATATTCCATCGAATCCTGTACGAATTCAAATAGCATTTAAACGCAATTTTTAATTTTTAGATGAAGCTTAAAGAACGGCACTTCAAGTCGTTCAAGCCCTATCAAACATTGCCACAAGATAAACAAATTAATGGTAACAGAAACCAACGAAAAAGGGCCGAAAAGGGAGCTTAAATTTGCAAATAACCAGCTTTTTGTGAAAGGAACAGTTATAGACATCCGACTAAGAAAATATAAAGGATTATTAATGAATGATAGCAGTTATTTGAATGAAATGCAATCTTAGTAAGAAAAATGCAAGGATCAAAACACCGGCATGATTATTTCTCGCGCAGAAGAGCAGACGAAAAATGGGATATGAATGGACTTATGACCATACGTAATCAAGAGAAATATAAGAGAGCAATACGCATTTTAAATGCTTGCAAGGAACCGCTATACCACATTTTGCGTTATAATTGAGAAAGTTGAAAAACTACAATACAAGGGGAAATTCATTGACGCTTTCGAAAAAGTCAAAACGGAAGCTGCAAAAGAGTCATTTAGGTCCTTCTTGTTAAAGGAAGCAACCTAAACTCGATAGTTCGATTCAAGCATCACTAAAAGGAACACTTCTTGGACCTCTAGGCCATAATAGTGGCCTTTAAAACGATTTTTTGCAAAGATTCAAAACGACAAGCTTGAGATTGTCCTAACTTAATTATATGCAACGTCCTTCATTTGTAACAATGTGAAAACTTTTGTTTGTAATCGGGCCCGTATTGAAATCAGTGCCTTTTGCATTGAAAAGGTTTTTAGCCTGTGAAAAGCCAACGTCATAAAAGCTCATTTGACATTTGTCTTTCAAATTATCAAGGAGATTTCCAGGCTAATTTTTCAACCATTTTGCTGCAACTCTTAAAGTTAAAAATATTCCTATATTAGAAAATCATTGAAATTTTAAAGAAGGGTCAAGAAGGGACAGGGGTTACAACTACAACTTCAGGTAATTCAAGTCCTAATAAAATGTATTGCCAAAAACTGTCGAAAAAAGAACAAAGAGGCACCTATCTTGATATCTCTGCGGCTGACACGAAAGGAAACTGCTGTAGACAGTGAATAACCCAAAAGAAGCTTAATTTCAAAATACAACGAAAAGTAGCAATACTGGAATCATGTCATCTTGGAACAAAACAGAAATCCAATAAAAACCGGGGTCCAAATCAAAACCAAGGGGAGTATTACAGCCCACACGATGATGATTATTATCATATTGATAATGATGCTCAACGATCGATTATGATTACTACTGATAATTAGTAAAGGCGATGGTACTTGTAACGTAGGTCTATGACGATTCTTTGTGATTCCGATTGAATGGGGATGATTCTTGGTGATTCCTGATTACAATAATTAATAACGATGAAATATGGCTGTGTTGTTGAATGATGGTTATGATTGCAGTTATGTTGGCGGTGACTAGTGACGATGGATGATTAAGAATCATTTATCATTTACTCGATCATGTTGGATCATTTACTCGAATGTTTGCAATATGTTAGAAGATAAAAATATAAGTAATAAATAAGACAATTTTGCAATTTGATGAGCAATTTTCTGGGCATTTTTATCATCAAATTAAACACCTACCATTAAGTTTCTTATCAAGAATCATCTGTGAGAGTTTCTTTTCGACAACATTCTGAAAAATAAAATCTTAATTTCAACTTTTTATTCATAAACTGGATCAGCTGTTTTCGTTACTCCGCTGTCAACAGGGATGTAGAGCTAGGGAGGCTCAAGGGGGCTGAGCTCCCCTTGTTTATGCCGAAAATGACAAATTTTTACTTTTGCTATTGTTTTTTGCAGCATTTTGTGCAGGAGCCCCCCTTGTCATTTTGATAGCACTACACCACTGACTGTCAATAACAACATTCCGCTGAGGTAAGTCGGTTCGTAATTTTCACCTCAAGCTTGGAGATGGAAAGTTTCTGCTTAGTCAACGAGAAAAGGTTTAAGGGTGAAGAAACGTCAGTCAAATTTGATTATTTTATGGGTATTTTGCTATAAAAAATAGCTTTGCTATAATCAGGTCACAAGAAAGTTATAAACTGAAAGTTCCTCTTAATTACTGTTTAAACAGAGATGTAAAATCTTTGCGATTGAAACAGAAAATGAAAACCTGCACTGCTCCTGAATTATCAATAACTGTATTGAGTGACAACAAAACGCCTGAACAAAAGGTCCCCAGACAACAGCTTCATAACCACGTCGATGTGGCTTCCTAGAGAAATGGTTTAATACATTTCCAATCCTATAAAGATTGCTTTTTTGAGATAAACAACAATCAATTCATCAATCAGCATGGATGCAGACAATTTTTATACAAAAACATTCTTACAGAACAGATAAGTGGTTCATTGATGCTCGGTTATGAACAAACTGGATACAAACATGTTCGATAACTACTCGCTTTTTAAAGGATATCGCTATCTCAAAAAGTAACCAGCCTTATCTAGATGTGGCAAAAATAATTCTTAAATTAAATTTTAAACTCGCTGAAAGGCAGATTGAGTAAGAAAATTTCAATATTCTTTCTTCGAGCCTGGAATGAGGGTCATGAATGACTCAACTGCAGAAAATTTGTAGCAAGTTTTTCTTAAAAAGTTGATGATGCAAAATATGCAGTGCTATTTGTCGAGTAACTTTCCGATAAAGCATTGATAATATCCCAGTTCAATCTATTGCACCGACCCCACCGCGTAACAGCTGAGAGCTGGCTAGAACAAAGCGCTTCAACTACAAAAGTGTGAGCCATGACTTTAAAATATCTCACTATCTGCATAGGGAAGCCAGAGATAAGTATGCTTAAAGGTGCAACGTAACAAGAATTGATTTCGATGTAACAAGAACCTGATTTTAGAAGAGGCACGGCAAAATGCAGTGAGTAGATCCTCGGCTTTAGATGACGTACTCAAAGTCTCTTGCTGGAAAGTTGTAGCATGTCAGTGGTGGGGGGGGGGGGGGGGGCATAAGGGTCTGTGTTCGTTACTATTTCAAAAAATAGTTTGATGACATAGTCATATACAATGCAATAAACCTCTTCGGTGCAGATCTCCGTCTAGGCTCTTTACAAGTTTAAAGTTCCAGACAGTTTTGAGAGGAGCTAGAAAAATTTGTCACGCAAACACAGTGATAAACAAGTTTCACGTTGACCGTTAACACTCACGTTTAAAGACATCTCAGAAATAATATTGTTTGTTTTTTTACTCATAGACGAAGATTAGGTGTTTTAGCAAGTCACAAAGTGCATCTACCAGTTTTGCACATGTCACCTTATTACATATAACTGCGTATTAAATGATAGAATGACTTACTAATGGCAACTTGATAATCTTTGCTATATGATCCACCTGTAATTCAGAATACGCCAATTAGTTATAACAAAGGAGTTTGCTAGCGATACGTATTACCAGGTGGATACAGGTACAAACATTCAGGCTTCATCTACTAGAATATTCAATAGAACACAATTAACTTTAACGAAGTATTCTTTTACGATCTTGGTAATAATTGTTTCCATCGGGTGTAGGAAATTACAAAGAGATAAGTTACAAACTCCAGTGTCTCCCATTATACCGATTGGAATATTCATAATTCATCAAGGGCAACACAGAGACTTATTGAATTAGATGAGTATAGGAGCACTATAAATTAAGAAAAGAAATATCAGCTGCCTTATCGGGATAGGATTGAGTAACATATATCGAGGAAGGTTTAAAAACATAAAAAGATGAAACTGATGAGCAGGTTATTATCAAATTAAGGCTGTTCAGATTTCATACGACAATATTCAACAATTTCTCCCCATGTAGCATCTTTGGAACCTTAACTTGCAGTATTATCTAATATTTCACTCACTACTTCTTCTAATCAGCATATCTATCACTTAAAACTGTTTATATCTATGATACCCGACTTTCTTCCTGGGGCTTCCTGCCATCCGTGGTCTTAAGCTTTCATCAGTCACACAGAAAACAACAGTCAACTCGTTGACAATACAAACCTCTACTTGGGAAAAAGGTTCGATTATTCTGCACAGATTTTGCTCCAAGAGATTATCGTAGAGTTTTCCAAAGTGTCTCTATAAAGTGAAATAAGCAGATCGTAATGTCATTCCAATGCTCATAGACAAAATGGTACATCCTTATTAACCATCAACGAATGAAAATTTCTATGAGCGGGGCAGACATTTGGTCAAATTTTGGAGGGGGCAAGCCTATTGCTTTTAAAAGATGACGTCACATTTCCCATTGTTTTAGAACAAAAGACCATCGTCCTAAAAAATGTTGGGGAGGGGCGGGCGCCCTCCTCGACCCCCCCCCCCAAGTGTCCGCCACTGGCAGAGGGGGGAGGGTAGCTTCCACAAACGCGTAAAATCGGGTACAGAGGGAGGGGATACAAAAATGTGAACGTATGTACATTTACAAAATAATTTGATATCATGCCTTAAAAAAGATAAACGAAAAGCTTAATCTGCAAATCGTGATAGTAAAAGTAGAGAATTTGTTTAAACTTTAGCTGAGAGGTTGCACAGCCTCTTTTGTCTGTACCCTTTCTTTCTCTTCGGGGATCCAGATTGACTACAATGCCTGCCAAAAGTCTTGGAACACTGACGTTAATTTCCAAGGTCAAAATCAATCATCCCCCTCTCCCCTACAGAACAATGTTGGTTTACTATCAAACGGGTTAGGATTTTAGGGAGCACTTCTTTTGCGCTTCTTTTATGATATTTCTCTAAATCATCAACATTGTTTTAGGAAGAAGGGGGCGGAAGTAGCAATTTTTTTCATGAAAGAAATGAAAAATATCAAATGCAGCGTAAATTGGTGGGTGTTCCAAGTACTTTTGGCAGGCATTGTACGCTTGTACAAAATCGAGAGGTACGGCGTGCAGTGACTGGACTTGTACAGGAGGAGAGAGGGTGGGGAAAACACGATTTTTGGGCTTAGGTACTTAATGGCTACCTCCTCCCAAACAGTGAAAAAATGTCTAAAACTTCCCTGTAAAATCGCTACACCTAAGTCATAATTTTTTGAAATTGCATGCTAGGTCTTATCTATTTCCATTCTCTAATCGCAGAATACTGACATAAATTCGTCTAGACTGCAGACTCTTCAATGAAGGTGAAAACGTTAGTTAACTACGTGCTTACCAGTATGACAGGATCGGATGACAACTCTGTTTTGTACTTATTCAAAGTCTGAAAAAACAACAGTTATTCAACAAAAAGTAGAAAATTGTTTATATTGATAGGGAAGAGCCTTAATTTCATCTCGCTTTGAAAACACGGGTAATTCTTCAGCAGAATGTTGTGTGACTACGCTCGACTTTTTTAAAGATGTTCAAATTTCGCTCGACTTCGTTCGACTGCTCTTGAATTCGCGGAGTCGAGCGGAGTCAAACAATATTCCTATTGTTCAAGGTGTTGTTGAGCGTAGTGGAGAGCTTGCGCATGAGTTCTTCCAATCATCTCTTTTTTCTCACCAAAACATAACACAGTTGAATACATATTTAATGTACATTAAGCAGCGAAAGCTTGGCGTTCTTTGCCCTCAATCGATCCTACTGATTCAGCTATTTTTTTTTCACAATTTAAACTATTTGGCGCTAAACTATCAGCATTTTCTCACCGCAACTTGCCACTACGAAGGAGCGATATCAGTGAAATCGAGTGAAATCGAGTAAAAAGTCGAGAGCGTTTGAGCACTCCCCGGCTCCACTACACTCAACACTGCTCGACAAAGCTCAACAAAAATCAAATGTAGTCGAGTAAAGAGTCGACAGCGTTTGAACAAGGCTAAATTGGATGCCACTCCTTTCAATTGAATTCATTGATAATACTAAAACTTGAGTGTTGTGGTTGATAGTACAAGCAATGAGTAAGGAGGTAGTGACATTGAAAAAATAAATAATCAAAAAAGAGGGGGATAATTAAAAAAGCAGAAAAAACGAGCGGATTAAATGAAATGGGAACATAACTATGGAAAAAAAATTTGAAAAGACTTAATTTTAGAAAGAAAGAATGCCCTTTCAACGCAATGGTCAGATCCTCTAGTGGCTTCAGACAACTGTCAATCAGTCAATCAAAATTAGCCAATCAGTGAACGTAAGATAGTTGATTGGCTAATGTTGATTGACAAATAGCTTAAGCCACTTTAGCATCTGTCGATTGCTTTTAAGGAGAAGTTGCTGCAAGTAAAATGTAAGCTGTAGAAAATTCAGTGAACAACGCTAGACCAAGACAAAAAAGATTAAAAGAGATTTCGTTGCTACAAATAAGCCTGAAATCAGAACACATGCTAATAAAAAGCGAGAAAGTAAAAACAAGGGCGACTAAAGCTTGAAGGTCGTTCATACCTCTTGACATTCCAAAAGTGATCGGTGCTGACTAGCTGTAGCAACACTTTTCATTGCATCAATCTGCTTGCCGGCGTACCGCAATGCAAGCTTACCACTAACAATCGACTGGACATCCTCGGGGCTAGAAGCGAGCAAGCAAGCAAGAAGGTTTTGATACATATGTCAAAGTAGTGACTGCCAAATTTAACGAGACGTGCACTAAAAACAGCGCATTTCGAAAGTATTTATTCACTGATGAAAACAGATGAATGGACTGAAGGAGCCTTGCTGGCTACTAATTTATGCTAAGATAATAAATATACTTAACTCACCTATTCAACATAATCTTGCTGAGCAACATGTATTTCAAAGCAATGATCGCCTTTGGGTTGTCAATAGAATCATAGCCCTAAACATGAAAACATATTCAGGCTTTAGGATAGCAACTTTAAAGCATCGCACAATTAGGCAGACTGTATATAAGTTTCAAAACATATAGGTTTATAGGACGCTTACGTTATTGTCTCTGGAAAACATAGATCATTTGATAGCTGTAAATTTCAATCGTGAAGATATGTCAAAAAGGGTCAAAAAACAATTATGGGAATCATCAGCATCACTAGAGAACGTTTTCCTAATCTTAATTTTCCTAATTTTCTAATAATCAATTCAATGCTTTGGTAAAAGTCTGGATAGCTTGTGAGGGCCGGCAAGGATATCCGCACATGTTTAAACCACTCCCTAAAATCCCTTTTGTGAAATATTCGTTTTAGGAAACTTGGAGAAAGGTCATTCTCGTCATAAGAGAGCAATTTCAACCCTTGGGATCAAAAGGCATGACCTGCATAATCCACCAGAGAAAAACATTGAGATACAGAGCTTTAGTTATGAGGTTACAACAGCAGTCGGTTTAAAATAAAGCACCATAGTATCCACTTGTAGTATAAAAACAGCTTTTTAAGATTCAAAGAAATCCTGTTTAAGTTCTTCCATACAGAAAATGAGGCCTGTACCCGGAAGTTCACTTCGATTTTACATAGGATATGACTGCTGAACACGTAAAATATTATCAACACAACCTTCCCATCAAGCTACTCTACTTTAGCACCGCAAAAAAACTGAATGAAATTGAGACAAAATTAAGCCGGTTCAGTCACAAACCTCGAATGCCTCGTAAAAATAAGAGTAGGCAGTTTTAAAATCGTTTTCTTCGGCATGAAGAATACCTTTGAGGAAGTAAGAAAGAGGAAAGCTGTAGAAATAACAATAAATGAATTACTGGCTGTCGAACATTATTGGTTGCTTACACAAAGATAACCAACATAAAAAGCTATTCGGTCAATTTGCCTTTTTCATGAAATTCTCAATTTTAATGGATTGAAATTCGAGCAGTCGAGCATTCGCCTAGGTGTAAATATTTGAAGAAAGGATGAAAACTGATAAGTTAGAATTTAATTACAACAGTTTACACATACCTGACTGGAGATCCAGTGAAGCCTAAAAATAAATGGATAATTACAATTTAAAGGAAAAAAACAAAAATACAGGTTATGAACTATAAACATTAATCTTCCTACCTTTAATGTTATTTACTTTTGCCAATATAAATACATCAGAAATACTCAAAAAAGAATTTCAATGGTGAGAGTTAAGTATTTCAAATGAATTTAGAGTAGGTGAAAGGTTTACATTTGCGACCATGAATTTAACAAATAAGCAAATAGACTAAACCAAGACTCGTGACGTTTCATGGCGTTTCAAAACACGGAATGCTGAATCTTAAAAGTTTAAGAATAGAATCAATACTGTACGACATATACTGCACATCAAACTGTGCACATATAGGCGTAATTGCTTTAGCAATGGGCTTCTTCTCTGATTGCCTTTCTCAAATTCGTAGTAATACATCGATCATAAAAGGCTAGTTTTTAAGAAATACGCAGCATTTTGGAGAGTTCAGCATATGGAAATTCGTTCCACAAGTTGGTGGCGAAGGCCATTTCTAAGAATTCTAACACTCTTTGCATCGTTTCCCCATTTGTATCTCTGTCAGAGACTTTCACAAATGAAACTCTGCTAGAAAAATTTATAATCACGTATAATATGGCTCTCAAATGCAAGTTCAAAGCATTCACTAGCAAATATGCCATTTAATGAGTACCTGAAGCTTTGGAGGACAGTAGATTGCATTTGCAGTGGTCCTTGCCGACGTAAGAGCAGCCCTAAGGAAAAGAGATAAGATTAACATATATCGCTCTTTACAAAAAGGGTTAACAAAAAGTAGACTGCTGTTTTCCGAAATCAGATCTAGAGTACACCAGAGACCCCCATGCTGGAAAACATTTATAGTAAGAAGGACTGAATCAATAAAAACATAGTAAATTTGATGGTAAATACTGTGGTCAACTTTTATTGAATTGAATATCTTGGCCTGGGAGGTAGACAATAAGAAGACCACTCAAACAAATGATCTGGGAACTAAATTGCGCTCCCCCCCCAAGCCCTCTCTCCCTACTCAAACAGCTTGGTTACTGCTACTGATTCTATCTATAAAATAGCAATAAATTCTACCCTTTCTAAATTTTCAACAAAAATATTGAAAGATATGACGAAGTACTTACCTAGACCTTGGTACATTGTTTAGAGCATGGTATGTTTTGCTTTCATTGAGCTGAACCTCAACCAGCAGGGCTTTGTCGTCAAGTTTCTTCAGCTCTTTCAACAGTACAGCGCCTACGTTGGTAAGTGTAAATTGTAAGTACGATGGAAATTCAATAAACCATGCTGGATTTCTCAAGCATTTGATACATTGACTTATAGCCATATATGGCCTTTTATTTTATAGCTAGGTTATAAATACATTGTGCACAGATAAAGGGCTAAATTTGGTTATGAGAATTGATCAAAATTGGTCATAAATTTTATCTTTATTTGATACTGAAAACCGGGCCAGTGCTAATTTAGTGCCTATCACCAGATTTTTGAAAATGTTGTTCCAGATTTGAAAATTTATGCAGTTATGTTGTGTAACAAGAAAAACGTCGATCAAAACCATCGCTTTACCCAAGTGGAATTTCAATTTGAGAATGCGATCTTATTCTTAAAATTTGCTTCAAAGAATGCAATTTCCAGCGAATATGAAGCTTTCAATTATAAAAAATTTTCCCCTTTGGCGGCAACCATGATCTCGCCTCAGGTAGTAACTTAATTCTATCCTTGTCTAAACTCTCTTTAATTCTATTTAATTCTACTTAATTCTAATTAATTCTACTTAATTCTACGGATGCCAGTGTCGTTTACTGTAAAGTAGGAGAGAAACAGAGACAAGATAAAAAGTGCACTTTAAACATCTTTTCAGCTAAGCCAAAAGTTATAAGATTTTTTGCCCCATCCCCCACTTACATGAAATGATTTTATTTGATCTAAGAAATTTTGTCAGAAATTTCTTCTTTCTGGCCCCCTCTAAAATTCATTCACCATGACGCCCCTGAGAAATTCATCAATTTTCCAAAAAAAGGTTAAGATATAACTCAATTAACTGAAGTCTGGATCATACTTACAAAGATTTAATGCCTCTGTATAAGCATGGGTATCATAGTATAGTGCTATGAGTCGAGACTAAAAATATAATAGAGAAGATTTTGTGTTAATGCAGAATAAGCTGATCGTAGTTGTAAGATATGAAACTCTGAAAAATGTACATCTGAAGTTAAATTGACGAGAAAAATGAATGTTTTTGGGGTCTACTTAAAATTGGTATCTACTTATTTCAACCAAATTTCAATAAAACAGCAGAATTGACTTTTTAAAGACAGATCAAAAACAAGAGCTGTGACATAAAAAATACCAGGAATGCTCACCTCTAGAGCTTGTCTTAAAAAAGACCTTTTTTCTTCTTTTGCCCACTGAATACATTCAAGGCAAAGTTGGACCTGTGTATGTAAAGAGATAAGCAATTAACTTGGCAGACATACATTCTTTGTATAGTTGGGTCCTTTTCTCTGTAGCACCATAAGAATAATACCAAGGCTTTCTTATTCTGTATGAAATTTTGTGTAATGCATAGAGGGCTGAACATAGCCTTGAAATAATGACAACTTCAATTACATTCTTCTTAGTAAGAGAGGTACTTGAATTTTAAAGAATGTTTATTTTAGAGCCATTGCGAGAATCTTTCAGATTCATTGTCAAAATGTTAATCACATGAGTTGTGTTGCATACTAGAGGTAATTGACTAGCACATATTCCTTTGTTTTTTATAAGACATTTTGACTCATAATTTTGCAAGAAATGTATAGTTTTTCAGCCTTAAAAGATCTGTTTGTGACTCAACCATAGACAAATGTTTGATACTTACAGCAGCATTATTTGACTCCACATCAATTTCTAAGAACAGGTCTACTAAGTCTCTGACCAGTTTTGCAGCTTTTGCCTTTGATATGCATTTTAAAAAAGGTCTTGTGACTTTGACAAGGTTACTAAGCTCTGGAAAAAGATAAAAAAATTACCAAAGAGAAAAAATATTACAAGGTGGCATAAACACAACTTGAGATACACAGTGATTTCAAAAAGCTTTTCATCCTCTCAAGATAAAGTTTTGCATCCTAAATTAGCAAGTGCAAAGAAATGCTAACTTTTTTAGTTCACCATCTATCCCAGATCTATTTAACTATTCAACTACTAAAAATACTTCTGAACAATGATTCGGTAGTGAAAGATGAAATACTCTGTTCATTTATACAGACTTGGTGTTGTATCAGTTGTTGCTGTTTTTTACCTATATCGTTGGGTTTTGTTCTATAAACACCTCATTTTTAAATTATCTTGCTTAGCTTCATTGAATTGCTCCCTTTTTCACTGTGAATGTTGTGATCTGATTCCAAGCTCTTCAAAAATCCTAATATGCAAATCTATAAGTTTTTAAATTTTGAATACAAAATCTTTAGCAAATCTAGATGTCACCTGAAGCAATAATAGTATGACCTGTTGCAAAAAAAATTAGCAATTACCATCAGCTTTTCCATGTTTTGAGTACAGTGATCCAAGTTTCAAAATGGCTGCTTCTTGTTCTTTCAATGACTCCTCATTGTCCACCTCTGCATTTCTTTGAACTGGAGAAAAAGCAACAACACTTCAATACTTTAACAGACAATAAACAAATACTTCACAAACACCAGAATTTCACAATGTTCAGGTCAAATCTACAATTCTGGACAAAAATGTTGAGAAAAAATGCAATTTTTGCAATTTTCTACTTAACCTTGCCCTTGTAAATTTGAATCCCCCCACTTTCCCCCCAAAGCAATGTTGGTTCTACCATTTTTTGCTACAAAATCATGCATTCAACATTGAATTTGGGGAGGAGGAGAAGCTATTTTTCAAAGGAAAAAAACATAAAGTTTTCTTGAAAAGGCTCAACTCTTTTTGTCCGGGATTGTAGACCTGCCAGCCTACAAATTGCAAAAATATTGATAGGAGCAATTCATAAAATGTATTGGTTTGCAATGAGTTAAGCATGGTTTGCTAGCCACAAATGCAGCTCTTAATTGATTCTGAGGCAGCTCATCAAAAGAAGCTATCTATCTGCACATAGGAATTCCAGCTGCTAATTATTTTGCTGACCTAGTGTATAGTTTGATACATTAACCCTAACCCAATTGTTAGGAACAATTGTTTGTCAGTTGCACCTTATAGCATAACAGGGGTGGACACTTGGTCAAATATTGGGGGGGCAAGCCTATTGTTCTAATAAGATGATGTCACATTTTCTATTGTTTTGGAACAAAAGACCATTGTCCTCTAAGTATTGGGGGGCAGTTGTCCCCCTCCTTGCCCCCTCAGGTGTCTGCCACTGTAGCATAACCCCTTATTGGAATATTGACTTCACTATAACACTGGATAAATTTCCCTTTCCTTTTCTATCTTAAACATGTCTAGAAAAAAGTTTATCCCTAGTGAGGTTCTATGAAATTTACTCAATCTGCAGTTCAGCCTGGAAATGCTTCAACATATCCTGTAAAAATGCTTCTGAAAGCTGATCAAAAGGTTGAAAACCTAAAATTGAGCTTCTCTTGATAGATTTCATGTTCAAAAAGGGTCATCAAGAAGGGCCATTAAGAAGAGCCCTGTGAAATAACATCTAAAATCTTTTCTTCAGTTGTTGGCTATTTCTGATATTTTTTGCAAGCAGTTAACAAAGCTACCTTTCAGTGTGTGAGCATTGGTCCATGAGATTCAAAAAGTTAGAACAAATCTGGGGGTGTTTTGTAAGACCACTGTTGATAGGCCAAAGATCACCCACTTGTTTGCTTGAGAATTTTGATTAGCTTTACAAAATTCACTGGGGTCAAAATCATTTGGTTTCAGAATGGTTGGACGAAATAGTTTGAGAAAAAGAAAGCATTAACATTGGTGAACTTTTTCATTTACTTGATTTGTTTTTACAGAAATATTTATTCACAAAAATTGATTAATTTTCAAGTCTGTACACGTTGTGATTTTCGGGGGTGACCACAAGGGCAACCGTCGACCACAAGGGAGATTTCGTCAACGAAAACAGTCAGTTGTTTAAGTATGTACTTTAGGAAACAGTTGTGAATATTGACTTTGGATACTAACTGATATAAAGCACTAATTTGGAAAGTTGCAAATGGTATATATTCTTTTTATACATTGATAATAGTCTTTTTAACAGCTTTATTAGCAAAAAGGGCACCTAGAGATTTGGGTTAGCTTGATCCAGGGTCCTCAGCTGGGCTGGATTTCATGGCAGATTTTGACAAGATCTCAGGAGTGCACATGCTATTACCTGGGAGTGCAAGAGTGCATTTGTGATGAGTGTGCACACTTAAGTGTGCACCAAATTTCTCAGTGATTCTTGAGTGTGTGCATATATTCCTGATACTTTTCCTGTTTACATCAATTTAACATCTCAGGGAATTTCATGATTGAGAGTTGAACTATGCTTACTTAACACTACCATCAGTGGCTGTTATTCAAATTCCTAAAGATTGGCTAGTAAAGAGATTTAAAAAATAATGCTTGAAAAGGCCAAAAACATTAGCATTCTAAGAGCACCATGAGGATGATCTAAAGCAGGGCCACCATGAAGGGACAAGAGTGCAAAATGCCTAAGGGCCTCAATGTCTAGGGAACCTCATAAAGAAAGGAATTCCATTTTAGGAATGGAATTAATCCATTTATAGCTAAATGATTGTAATACGTTTATAGAATGGAAATAATAGCAAAACATGAGAATAAAACAATAGAAACAAAGAAATATTGAAACAATTGCAAGAAAATGACCAACAACTTTCTGCTTGCTTCCCTCACAAGGAGCCTAAATTTTCAGTTTTGCCCCAGGCCCACTGAAACTTTTGGCCAGTCCTGATCTTAAGTGGATCACTCAAATGAGAATGACACACATTTGTCTAATCTCAGTTGGGAACAGATTTAGAAATCATTTTGCTGTATTTGAAAAAACTCTCTTATTTGAGCCACATCCAAGAACACACCCAAACCACACCCATTTTTTGGGTGTGCAAGAGTGCACCCGTTACTTCTTGGGAGTGCAGCTGCCATTGCCTGCGCCGCAGACAAGGAATCTTCAATCTCCAATCGTTTACTCCTAAAGGCTTATGATACTGATATCCATACTGATACTGGGCCCTCAGCAATGGTTAAATTACTTTTTACTGCCGTCTTTGTTATTTAGCTTATTTTTTACAATAAGAACTCTTTTATCATTTTCATAAATTTTATCATTTCGTGCGTTACTACCAATTTTACATAAAAATTATATATTTATTGGGTTATTGGTTAGACTTGTTTTTCGAGCAACTGATTTTATGGTATGCACCGATATTTTAGGGTTTTCTTTTTCTGTAATATTCAAAAAGCTTATGGTTCAATAGGCATTACTAACCAATAATTTCCAGCATCTCGATAGCTTTCTGGTGTGAAGTCGTAAGAAGATGCTCAGCTTTTTCTAACGTTGCAGTGGACGCCATGATGCCGTTGTCTATCATTTCCTTTCGCTGAGCAGAATTGAGGTAGCGAATTGAAAGCGAGGTCGAATAAATATTGGGAATTTGTATAGCAACAAAAAAGTTACCCAAAAAGTTTTGTTTACAGAAGTTAAAACTGCCTTATCTAGATCATTTGGTCAAAAGTTAACTTGATATCGATGAATTTAGAAAATGTGTGGTCCAAAGTAACAGTGGGTGGTTCCAAACATCAAAGGGTAGGCTAGTAGTTAATGATTTTGTAAATATTTTGATTAAAACTATTGAATTTTTGTAGTTAATTACTCATTAATTAATGAGAATTCCTCTAAATGCATTATCAGGAGGAGTTCTCAATTTACTGGCATTACTTTTAAACGAGTCTATTAAAGAACCCTTTTCTTGTCATATTTCTTAGGTATAGCTTAAACAAATCCTAACAGTGAGATATATTGATTTTCTACTATACCATACAAGTTTTGCAAGTAATGACATTTTTTCAGCCAGAAAGTAACAAACATTTGTAAATTGTGTTTCAGTAATGGAAGTTACAACAGCTGTAAGCCTTAGTCAAAAGGAGAGAGTCCTTTCTCCGAAGCGTAAAAGCAACTTTGCAGGAGAGCTTGTTATTCTGAATGAAGGAAAGCCTGAAGTGATACCATCAAATAACAGGTAATGTTTTGTATCTAATTTCCAGATTTAGTTTCTATGTAATTATTACAACCAGATAAACTTTGCTAGTTCAAAATTATTGGAAACCTTAAAGTCATAATGAAGCCAGTTTTTTCCACAAAAGCCATGAAAATTGAAACCATTATCAGAGTTCAGCTATCATTTCATTTGTTATAATTTGAAAGGAGAGTTATGTACCGTCGTTTGAATTTTGAAGATTTTCTTTTACTTGAATAAAGGGCTAATTTTTGTAGAAACCAGGTTTGTTGGTCGAAACTCCTGATTTCTTGCAGGATTACTAGAGGGGCAGGATTATCAGAGAGGTGGGATTATCAGAAAGATCAGATTAGTTTTTCAATGTGCATTAGAAAGCAGACATAAAATTTCAACATACCCCCTGTGTTTTGGTGCAGGAACTCTGCATGTAAAATGCCAAGAACATTTATGAAAGTTGGTCGGAAGTGACGCTGTTGCTAAACATTTTCACACTTGCTATAATCAAATAGACACTATAGGATACTATGTTGAATGTTCTAAAATCAATCAAAGCTCCAAGCGTTTTTGCAATGCACTGTTTTCTTATTTTCATTAATCCTGCATGCAGAATTATCAGAGAGAGGGGATTTATTTTTTAAACCTTAAAACAAAGGCGGGATTATTAGAGAGGTGGAAATATAAGAGAGTGTGGGAATATAAGAGAAAATACAGTACTCTCATAAAAATCAAAGGTACCAAACATTTTATATTGGTTATTTGGTACCAATATGTTTATCTGGTACCTTTAATTTTCAGAAAATGTACGTTTTTGTTTATAGCAAAATATATCTTGTTATCATACAGCCCCTTAGTTTTGCTCTGATTTCTACTGTCTTTTTTTATAACAGGCCAGTGTCTGCAGGAAAGTCTGCATTGAAAAGGGTAAGCTTTCCTTTCAATAAGTCTTTTTCTTAATAATTATATGCTCTAGTATATGTATGATCTCTTTGTTTTGGATTTTTCATGTGATCATTATTACTTGGGATTTGCAAGACTTTAATTGAGTTTAACAGAGCATAAAGTGAACTTGTTTGCTTATGATTTCTTTCTGATGAATAATAGTTGTAAAAGTAGTCATCAGTATGTGTGCTTTTATTTGCTTTGTAACTACATGTCTTTTTCAGCCATCAAGTGGAAGTCTTGAAGTTCTGAAGTCAGGTTAGAGCCCTAATATTTGCTGCAGGATCAGCAACCATAGCCAATAAATTTTAATTCACCATCAATGAAACATCCTAGAAAAAACGAGCCATGCCTTGAAATTTAGTTGGTAGGGCTGGGAAGTAGCTTAACAGTTCAGGGGAAATTTCCCCCTAGCATAACCTCTGACATCTCCACTCTAAATTAAATCATGTTAAAAAGCTATATGCATGCCCAAACAGGATATTTTTGAAGAATTAAATGAAATGGAATTTAGGATTTTAAAATGAGTTTCCTTTTAAATAATCATTATCTTCTATATCAGGTTTGTTATGAGACTGTTAAACAATATCTTGTCTCGTCAGTTTGTTTGCTGATTTGCCTGGCACACTTTAAGTAGATTATAACTGCTTATAAATTTGGTTTTTCATTTAAGATGCATCTGTACATTCAGAAATAAGGAAGACAAAGTTTCAGTCACCTGAAACAGGTGCTGTGAAACAGGAGAAGCAATTTCAAAGTACAGAACAGAAAGAGAAACAAAAATGCAGTTGTTCTGGTAGTCTGATACATTGTATAAGTTATCAATCATACATCCTCTTTTCCTTCAGGAGTGAATCAATCTTTTTAGTTTAAAGCTTTTAATGATCTTGATTCTATACTTTAACCCCCTTACTACTGAAATATACATGATAAGTAAGTGGTTAGTTCCTGCAGTGGTGTTGCCAAGGGGTGGACTTGGGATGGACATGTCTACCACAGTTTTTCCAGAAGTCATTTTTCTAATTTCTCAAAATCCATTAAAAAATTGGGGGGGGGGGGGTGAGTTGGGCTGATCAGATCGATTTCAATTTTTTGCACTGGCAAAGAAGCCACTGTTAAGAAAAATGCTGCTTGAGAAAGCTGCTTGTCCTAATATTTCAAAATAGATAAGAAAATACTAAAAAAGGATTTTCCAAGAGTCTGAAGGGTGTGGCCGAGAAAATTTGTTTTTGTCCACCCCAGTTTTTTCAAGCTGGCGATGCCATTGAGTTCCTGGAAATCTGAAGTCTATATATTCTTTGAGATGATGAAAAGATATAACTTCTTTTCCAAGATGATCTTCATAGAAATCTGGACCAGTAGATCAAGGTTAGCTTTGATTTCTTTTAGCAGTTAGAATTGATTTCTTTGTCGCTGGACGTTCATTTTTCGTTTGTTTTTCTTGAAGGAACCAAGCTTTGCCAATACTGTGTTGGCGTCAAAGAGAAAATGAAAGAACTATCTGTTAGCGGTGTTTGTTTAAACAGCCAAAATATTAAATCAAGAAGTCTTATGGCGCCGAGAGCAGTTCCTTCAACGAAATCCTTTACCCCATCAAACACACCTGCAATCGGAGAAAACAGTAATGCTCCAAACGAATCTGAGAGTAACTCAAATGAAGATGATACTGATGATGATGATGACCAACAGGGTGGTGGAAACAGGGAAGAGTTTCTTTCTAACGGTCAAGCCCCTGCTCCAAATAAGGCCTCTTTAGAATTACTTGGTCAGGTGGGTAATTGATTAATTCTGCCGAAAAAACAAATGTTGAAGTGCTGAAAAGGTTTTGTGAATGGTTGCAACCTCTCAATAATCTATAAATTATATTGTGTATTTAAAAAATATCCCGTGCATCTTGTGAGATAAAAATGGCTAGCATTATGATTTTAATGCAAAAAATAAAATCATAGGGCATCTAGAGGTAATGCTCTGCGAAATTCTCTCGGTACACATCACGACAGAACCAGTGATTGGGAGCTAAAAAATGTAAAGCGGGGACCATAGCGCTTTCTCTATAATGTATATATAATAAAGGTTTCAATTGTTTTCGTTTGCATGCCTCCCCAACTGGGGAGGGGTGTGGACTACTAAATTATCTGATGAAAAAATAATTTAGCAAATAAGAAACACCGTAATGCGACGAGAATGAACAACAATAAATACACGTAATTTCGTGAAGGCTTATATTTCGCCTCGGCATACGGGGTTTCATCAGAGCTTCATCACTTTTGCTCTGATGAAACCCCGTATGCCGGGCTGTTTTGATTGCACGCTTGGGCTGTTTTGGGTAGTTCTGAATATAGGCGAACTGATGCTGCCATTTTCCCTGTTTGCAACTCTTGAGGATAGGTATCGTTAATTGCCTGCTAGAATATTACCTTGTAATAACGAACAATTGTTTTTTGACGCGTCTGATTGCGGTTTTAGTTTCTTACTGCATTGATGAAGAAGGATTACAGCGAAGCACAGGACCTTTGCGACCAAAGTAAGATAGCTTCAATTCTTTTCTATGGTTTTTTGACATAGAAGTTACCCTCTAGGTAACATTATTTTCCTCTTTAAAGTATACTCATGTATATCCATTGCATCACTACATATTCAGAATAGGTGCCTGATGATCGAGATAAGCGTGAAACTCGGAATGGCAACTTAGAAGCGTCTTGTTCTATACATCAAATAGCGTATATTCACTAGATGTGTATGTATGTACTTCAAGGTCTGTGAGAAAAATGAAATTTGTATCTCGATTATCAGTAGAAATTGCACTGAAGCCTAGCTTTCAAATTCTCGATGTCTTTTTAGTTCTTGAAGTGGAGCCTACCAACCCTACATGTCTGGAATTTCGTTCAACATTGAAAGAGAAGATTCAACATGGTTTGTTCTTATTCTTGAAATCTTCTAGAAATAAGCAACGGAATACGTTTTAAAAACTACATTTGCCAGAAGCTTGACATTATTGTCCAGTGTAGTGTTCATCTCTCCTCCAGACAGTACTCTGAAATTCTGAAAACAAGTCGGATTTGGGGTTGGCCCCTTCACCTTCCTATGGTCTTTTACGGTTTAAACGACATATTTCCAGGACTCCATTTAGCATGAAGATTTTTGAGGGATTTTCTCAGGTTAGTGAATATCGCAGGACCCAACAAAGTGACCCTTAACATAAAATCTTAGAAGATTGTTTCGAAAACGGCCCCAGCTCCTTTGTCCTCTTTGCGCAAGATGCTACGCCACACCATTGATATCTCAGTTTAAATATGAGCTGCATTATTCATTGGTATCATTTACTGCGTTATTTGTTAAAATAACTTGGGCTGTCTTCTTACACGTCAAAGCACTTCCGGTATCAGTTTACCTATAATTTGGGAACAGTTTTTTAACAGATATAGGTTTCATTCCAATGCATTTAGGCGGTAAAATTAGGGGCGAATAAATGATTGATTGATAATAGAAAAGTTAGGGGCGAATCAATGTTTGTCCAAAATATCTACTGTCCATTTCTACAGTTCAAAACTGCTGACTCTGTTTAAAAGTAAGTAAAGAGCTGATGAATCAAATTGGAAGTTCGTAACTTTAAAATAATGTAGAATCAACGTGCTGAAAGGATTCCATTCGTAAAGAAAATATTTGTGAAAGGAAATGTTGCGTCCTTTTTTATTTATCGAGTAAAACATGGAAAAAATGGTAAACATTTTCGTTTTATACTTACCACATTTTTTTATATATTCATTCTTATTTAAGATGAAGAAAATAGTGGCAGCACTGATGATGATGATGATGACGAAGAGGAAGAAGATTCCGATGAAGATGGTGACAGTGGGGAGGACTCATCTGAGGATGCATCAGATGAAGACAATGACCTCTCAGAAGATGATAAAGACGATGAATTAGCTGGTATTGATGTTAATAAACTGAATTTGTTTGTTGGTGGAGTACCTGTAAAGAAAAAAAGTAGATCTTAAGAAGTTACATGCGAAAGCTTTTTAACTAATACAACCATATTGCCGTCTAGTAACACCTCCGACCTTCAGAGACGGTGGTCTGACGTCACACAGCGTTTAATCGAACAGTTTTACGAATTGCATCAGTTTTACTAATTTATATCTACCAAACTACATATTTCTTTGCCAGGTTAAGAAAGCCTTGCAAAAATAATGTATAAGTTTGTATTGGTATGGCATGGCTCATTACGAATTGAAATACAAAAGAGGATTTTTTTTCGGTTTTTGGACACTTGTTGAGTAACAGCCTTATCCTCTCTGTTGTTCTGATGCATTTCTAAGAACTGTTATGAAACCTTCCATTTTTTCCGATTAAAAATCATCAGTTATATTTTGTCAAAGAAGGAGACGTTGATTTGATTGTCAGAATCTTGCATCTAACTTTATATATGGACCAAGGAAAACCCCCAGTTTACGAAGAATATTTAATACAGCGAGGAATTCATTTTTTTATAAAAAAAATAGAGATTTAATGATAACCCATTTTTTGCCACGGATTCAAAAGAGAAATTCACATAGAATATGAAGAAATATGTTTGATCTTTGATGCTTCTTGAAATGCCTTTCTATAGGAAATTTCTATAGGTTTCTATAGGGTTTTAAAGAGTTTCTACCTTGCTGCTTTAAATCATAGGCTAATCATGCCCTCGACACAACTCATAGTCTTGATACAATATATCAAGGTTATGTATGCTAATGATGAGGCTCACCGGTATACCTTGTTTGTCGGTTGGATCAAATCTTTTTTCCGTTCCGTAAATCTCATGTTGAAAGTGACATTTTACCTTCAATTGTATGTTATCTTCATAGTACTTACCCACTATCCACCCAATTCAAGCAAAAGTAAACGATTCACTACATTAAAGCATCATTTATGAAATAAGTTCGTGAACATTTTTTTTGGCGGTACAGAAATCGAAAATGGCTTTGAAAAGTAAACATTTTATAACATATTGGCTAAAAGCTTTTTCGTCTGACACTCCACAGAGCATGAATTGTCAGAATAAGGGTCCTAAAGAACACGATGAAAAATATATACCCAGTTACGGATCGAACTTTCGTTTAAGAAGTTCAATGTACCAAGTAAAGATTTCTATCTTCTCATTCTGTTATACAAAAATAAGGTTTTTTCTTACTTGACTGATTACTAATAAAATATATACGTTATGAGATACTTTTAGGGGGTGCGTTGTTTTTTTGTGGGGGGGCAATGTTCAGTGGGTACGTTGAGTTGGTGCGTTAGGTTTGGTGGTTATATATGGGTAAAACATTGTGAATGCTCATTTATATGTCACAAAAATGTTTAAACGATTGTACTAGCCTATGTTCAAGAAGTTATACATTATCTGATATTGTGAATTTATGACAGCAAAGCTGTTGGATGTTATTGATAGTCTCAAATCAGTTGTACATAGATGGAAATTGGTAAGGTATTCAAAGCAATTAAAGGTGATCAATGAGGCTTTAAATAATGGTTGCAATAATGCAGATGTTGTTTACTATTTAGTTGGCGAATGAAGATTATAAAGCATTTAAGTCAAATTAGCAAAATAACTTTTTCAAAAAGGCAAAGTTGCAAAAAGCTTGAAAAAGTTAGGACAGCGATACATTTTTCTGGAATACTGCTGTTGTTGTATCATTCCGCCTTTGTTGTTAACAGAACATAATTTCAGTTTTTAGAAAAATTATTTTTTTAAATGATTATTCTTTCAAAGCAATACCTACCTATTTAATTTTTGTTCCGCTGGGCACCAACAGATAATTTCAATTGAGCAAAACATCTTAGCAAAATTTATTTAATGTTTGGTCTATTTCTGATACGCAATTTTAGTATCTGCGAATTTTTTAGCATGAAAATAGATAACTTTTTAGTATGACTAACTGAGACAACATAAGTTCACTGATCAAAATGTCTTTTGGATAAATGGCTAAGTGCTGGAATTGCGAAGGCGGTTTGTGTTAGTTGTTTTGGCGGGTAAATTGAACGATCAGCCAGGGCCTAAGAGATTCAATGGTAGATTGGTGAAAAACTAGAAACCTGCAAGGTAGCTCAAAACAGTAATTGTATGTATATTAAAAAATGTTTTTATGTTTTTATAGGTAGCTAATGGGATTTTTTTTGAATGAAATGAAAAGATTTTAAAATTCGTCTAAGTTAAATTACCTAACCTATAAAAAATATTCGGCGCTATTGCAGTTTCGCACCTCTCAGTAACCATACATCATATACATTAATACTATATACCAAACGATAGCTCTTGAAAAGACCATTAATATGGTATATAGTTATCTGGATATAGAACTAGATATCTGATTTATATTGCACCACCACTTAGCCTGTGGAGATTTGCTGTTATCTAGCCTTTTTTCTTCTGTAGCTAGGCCCACTATAAGCACCTAACAGGAAGAAGGTACTAACATCTAAATAGCACCATTCAATCTTGCGTGGGATTCGACAAGAAAAACCCTTTTCCTGTGATAAATGCAGCAGTTCTAGCTAGAGCATCAGAACCTCAATGAAAATAACCAGTTAACTGGCAGCACATTGAAAAATTTTTGCCAACCATTGCAAGTTGGCATCTGCAAAATAACTTTTCTTTCTTAGGAACTATAGTACAAAAAAAACTAATTGAAAATTTTTCCCTTGGATGCCATTCTTGAATGAATGATGAAGAAAGGAAAGGGGTTAGACCGAATTAAAATTTTGTAGATGTGTTATTAGGGGGATCAGACACTTAGTGAAAATGGAAAAGAAATGGAAACACAAGGAAAAAGCATTTGATAAATAAGTGTGTGTTTTGGAATGCATGTATGAAATGTGAGGTATGGTGAGCTAGCTAAATGACTGAGCAAGAACGAGGAGATTTGAAAAGCTAGCCTAACTGATTTTTAGCATGCAACTACAAATGATAACATGATCATTGTTGAGAAGCCAAACTCGAGTGTATCTGTCGGGGGGGGGGGGCATTAGGTCTGCATTGCAGAATTCCAGTCTACCTCAAAAGGGTTTCTATGTATAATCTTATGTAACCTATTAAGTATCATGTCATAATGTTCTTTGTTATTACATTTTGCATGAATACAGCTTATTACCATTTCATTTCTAGATGGATGATTGTTCTTTGTTGCCACAAGATGAAAAACATATCAAAGGTATTTCTACTTCATATAAAAAAAAGCAACTTTATATATCCCCAGCAGCAGATGCTATATGATTGTTTTTTATCACTTATTTTCCTCACTTATTTTTAGGGAGTTCCTACTTCAGATTAATTTGGCTTCACTGCCAAATAAGAAGTTAATCAACAGACAATTTTGATAGGCTTTTCTGCTTGATTTAAAGTTATAGTCTTTTAATTTGTTATATAGAATAATTAATTTTCTTAAGGTTGATTCCTTTGATCATAACATCAATCATGTTGTTGATAGTGAAAATTCAGGCAATTGATGCTTTTTGTTTCCCATTTATTGTTTTTCAGAGTATCAAGAATTGCAAGAAAAGATCAAATGTGCAACAGAAACCTTGGCAAAGAAGGTTCTCCCTGCTACTGATAATATTTCAATCTCTAACTCTATTTCATGAAATGATGCAATTATGGATTTTGCATGTTAAAAGTTAAAATAAAGATTTGATCACTTATAAGTATCATATCAAAAATTATGCATTTCCTTTAATACTATGGTTGGTTTATTGGTATTTCTATTCAGTATTTGAGTCTCAAAGCAGACTGTGGATCAATTAGCAGGATGTATTGTAACTTGAATTAAATATCAATTTTCTTACTTGGTATTCAATGTACCCCTCATAAGCTATGTGTCTATATCATTCCACTGTGACCATAAAGCTTTAGGTTTAAAAAATTGAATGCAAGCCCTTGTAATTTTACCGTCTTTTATTAATGTATCCTTAAACCCCTGTTGTACTTAATACTTAACCAAACATAACATCCACAAATTTTACTAAACTTCTTTCCAAATCAGGAAAAAGAGCTGAAAGATGCACAAAATGAATTTGGACAGAATTTACGAAAGTGTCAACAGGTATAAACTTCTGTTTTTTTACAGACCAAGAAAGAATTGCTAATTTTCCCATGTCTGCTAAGTTATCCAGTTTATGATCAGTTGTAGAAATTGTCCATTGTATGCCAAATGCTTCTTCTCACCTTCTTAAATACTTCGTCGCTTTTTCTCACAGTATCTTCTTAGGGGAGATTGCCTTTTTGATTGCAATTTTTTTCTAAAATTGCAGATGAAGTCTGATGTACAGGAACGATCAAAAACATTGGTAAGTGACTCTCATTTATTGTTGGATAGTGACTCTGCTTAGACTTGTCAAATGCCGATTTGTGAATCATTTACGTCTGTTTCTCTCATTCAATAGAAGACATTTTTCTGTTTATTGACTCTTTGCAAGTCACTCACAAGTTATATCAAGGGCTACCAAGAGGGGGGAAAGAGTCCCAGGACTCCAAGTTTAGGGGGGCTCATAAAGTAACGAATTCTGTTTTAAAATGGAATTAACTAAAAGTAACAGAATTTGAAGATGGCACGAAGTAGAGGAAATTTTCTGCCCACTGAACCTCAGGGTCTCCAAAACCTCTTGACAGACCTAGCTATATCATGTTGATTTTTTAATTTGAGAACAAGCAATCAATTGAAATCGAGGAAAAGATACGTTTGGAAGAAGTTGAAATATCAACATTGCATGAAAAGTGCCAAAGAGAGCAAATGAAGATACATGAAATGGAGGATGAAGAAGCAAAATTACTGGAAAAATTGAATACCAAAAGTGAAGCAGATAGCTTTGTCTCCGAAAAGTTTGTTTCTTTCTAATGTAGATATATTTCATCATCAAATTTTAAATTCAGAATGTAATTTCAAAGTGTTTAAATGAATTTGTATATTTGAACAAAGCCCATAGACATGTTGTTGTGACATCAATGTTTTAATATGTGGATTTTTGTTACAGATATATTAGTTTGAAATAGATATAGAGAATGAAATATTACAATACTATCTATAAAATATTCTTGTTTAGATAGTTTTAAATGTTTCAGATTTAAGAAGAGTGACGAGATATTTGTAAGGTAGTGTTATGATGCACCTTACTCTGAGTAACCTTTCGTAGTTCTTCATTTGACGACTTTCTATATTAAAAGTAACACCTTGCAATTTCTTATCTCCTTTTCTGTTTGCAGATTAGAAATACTGCAACACCTATCTGGAATCACTCTAAATTACATTGAGGGCCCTGTTGCGTCCTTTTCGATTGCAAGAAAGAGAAATACAGAACACGAAGAGAGCCAGGAGATTGAAGTCGTCCTGACATTTAAAAATTCTGTCTTAAAAACACTTGTTGATGTTAAGGTAGGCCAATGAAAGAATCATCTTGCAATAAAAGAATTACATATGGGTTCCATTGCAAATTTGATGAAAAGTGGGAATTTACAAACGATTTATGCAGAGCGGCAAAAGCAAGACCTGAAAAAATATTTCTGTATTCGACAGGACAGCAGAGCTGCACTTTAGATGGTCTTATTTTGGTTTCTGACGGAGGGTGTTATCCATTTTTAATTTTTTTTGGTTGACTGACACGGATACCTTTAAGTTGCCATAATCGTATTTTGATATTTGTGTATTCCATGTTGTCAAGTTATGAGAGGTCTCTGATATTGTTTTATCCGTTTTCTTGATGACATCATCAAGAATTTACTTAATTGCTTTGTTTGTCAATCTAACTAGCCCACACTTGATCATTTCGTCTTCAGGTGTATCCTGAGAAGCATACATGGAGCGAACTAATTGACTCTGCTTTGCGACAAGAAATTTCTGCAAGTGAATTATTGCATTGCATGCAAAGAATGTATAAAAATATTGATGGTTTGGAAGAAGAGATAGAATTCCTCCAAAACAGGTGAGTATATACTTTCCAGTGCGTGTAATATTATTGTTATATCCGGTTGCAGTCCAACGCACATCATCAGCCCATTTTTTATACTTGTTGGTCAACCACCCTTGCCCCAAAATAAGCTCAATGGCCCTAGCATTGTCCCGTGCAAGCACCATAGGTTATCGCTTCTACACCGTGCAAGTGTGAATGATTGCATGATGTATGCTCAAAATCTACAGTTTGCTAGAAATGGCGTGAGCTTGACATGCCCTATCAAACCACAGTTGTATATTGTGCTCCTTAAGCAGCATGGAAAAAGACAGAACAATTGCCTGATGATCGCATTGCCTGATGATCGCAAACGTGAAAATTGGAGTTGCAAATTGAAATCGTTCTGTTCTATACACGAAAGGGACAAACACAGAACATACATGAAGCTGTTCCCATTCTAATATGCAATAAGTAACAAATTTCATTTTTCGCCAAGAAACGCATTGTAACAAAAATTGCATTGTAAGGTTCATGGATGTATTGGTATGGATATTTTTTACCCATTCCACAGTTCAGCTTCAAAGAGAACTATTATTCTCAATGGAGTCTGGGATATCATAGAATTTTTGTGTGTTTGCAGGTACGCGATCGACTGGCAACCAGAGCAGAAACTTCTTACAGTGATCCTGCCAAATGAAGGACAAGCAATGTGTAAATTGCAACTAAATGGGGATTACCCAGGCAACCAAAGCATAGAATGTACTTATACAGATGAGCTATTAAAAGGGAAAATTGATGATATAAGCAAACGAGTATGTATTTTCTTGTTTCTAGTTGCCTATTGCTAGCTATTAGATCCATGACGGAATAATTACATTTCATTTTATTCCGTATGTTGGCAGAATCTTTCTGTTGCGTGTGTGCTACACTAATAGGCCATAACATGATACAGATATTTGTACACTTTATTCACCTCGAAAGATTCAATGTGAGTGAAATAATCAACATTTTCATGTTCAACTTTTTTCTTTGTATTTCAGGTGAGGGATGGACAAGTAAAGAATCTAACCGAATGGCTTGAGCTTCTACATTGCCCGAGCAATGGCTGACATCCAAATGCAAATAAGTCGAGAAGATTTGCAGAAACTGAATTATATGCGTTTTTTGATTTAGTAAACTTGCCTTTGCTTGGGTTACTTAGTTTTGTGTTTTTTATTAAATGATGCATTGCTTGCAGCATGTTTTGTTTGTGTATAGCTAGAATTAGCAAAGAAAAAATTTATTACTTTAGAAAATTGAACGTGTTACTACCAGTCAGCACTGGCCTTCCAATACAAGTCAAGGTATAAAAAAACTCTTTATTTTATATCCTTCTAATTACAATAGCATATCTGGAGAACAAACACTGGAAGATATCTGATATGTCTGCAATCAGATGTGACATAATTTTATAAGGATTGAACGATGAAAGCTCTTTTCTTTAAAGCAACATCATATACTGGGAGTCAATATGTAGCTCATTTGTTTTTAGAATTATTTCTTCTCTAAATTGGTGCTGAATTCATCGAAAGAATTGGCTAGGTACCGAAACTTGCACTTAGATTTCTCAAGGTTGACGTCCAGGATAAATATTTATTGACGAGTTTCTACAGCCCTCTCAGGTCTCAGGGGTGGCTTATATGTTTGAAGGTACGGGAACGTGCCATAATTTAGGGGTACCCTTTTCTGAAAAATGCGGAACTATCGGTATCATTTTTTTAAAATATGTGCCAAAATGTGGATATCATTTGAAGTAACATGCATCTTTTTGGGTACCATTTTGGGAAAATATTGCAAAATTATTGGGAGGGAAATTTAGAATTTTGGCAGAATGAATGTCCAGTTAGAAATGAAAATATGTGTAACAAGATTTTGAGGGAATGGACATACAAAATTTGTTTGATGATTTTGTTGTGTCTTGAAAAATGTCCTTTGACTTGCAGAATAAGGGGTCAAATTTTTTTAGACATGTGCGCAATTATGGATCCAAATTTGTTAACCGAAATTGTACGTCCCCGTCCAAAATCAGGCTTAGTTACCCCCCCCCCCCCCCCGATTTTTTGAAAAATCAACAAACGGGAAGGGAAGGGGTGAAGGGGTTAAACGAGAAATGGACATACCGAATTAAAGCCCCGAAATGTCCCTCGTGGGTTTCTGGCTGATGAGTTTTTTATCACCCCCATCTGAGTTTGAGGCTGTAACCAGGTGGTAGTGACTACTCCTTATCTCCTTTTTTTTCATTTTTCTATTTTAGATTTTATACTTTTATTCACACATTGGTTTTTTAGTTTTTACCTTCTATGCCTATAAAAACATTGACTCGAGAGTTCCTTAGACACCCGACACCGAAAGGCTTCTTGAGCCAGGTTGCCAAGGCCAATACGAAAACGAGTCTGGTTGTTAACAATAACTTCGTTGAAAAGATCAACAAAATGGCGGATAGCCTGGCTGCTCTTTTCACAGGTAACTCTAAACTTTCTTCAGGTAGCCACATATTACAAAGGCACTATTTATTGACGGATTTATCGATAGTTCAAGAAGTATTTAAATGCCTTTGGTGCATGAACAAGCCATAAAATGTCATTTTACTTCAAGAAAATGAAAGAGTAACCCATGGCTTGCTTGCTTGTTAGAATTGTTGCTGTCTGTCGATACCTTATCTAGCTTTAACTATAATTTATTTTATTTCCGCTCATTTAAGAACTCGGCTACTTAACATAGTAATCCTTTTAAGCTCAATATATTTTTCAAGCATGTAAGCTTTATACCCTGTATTTTTCACCACGGACAACAGCCGACAGGGTTGGAGAACAATTTCAGGAGCTGTTATTTTGATCCTAATTAGCTACGTGTCTCAGCTTCCATGGACTGCCCTTGCCATCTTCTGTCTTGTTTCATGTGTAGATAACTGTTTTAAACGTTTTCAGGAAATCATTATTAGGACATTGAAAGTGGGCAAAAACTATATTTTAATGATCTTTTTTATTATATAATTAATTTTCATTTAACTTTAGGAACAGGACTTTAGTGATAACAGTGCATTTTTGCATCGATAGATTATCCTGTATGAGAATTAGATTTGAGTTATTTTTATTATCATTTTATTGAATTAACATACTTATGATAATAATAATTTTCTAAAATTAGCAAATTGGCAAATGAGAAGGAAACAAGCCTAAGCAGAGTCAACAAAACTGGATACAACAATGATCCTTGAGATTTTCACAAAATCCAGTAAAAGTGAAATTTGTTGTAAACCCATAAAAATTGTGATTGTGGTAAAAGCATAAAAATGCACCACATGAGTGATTTATGCAAATCCAACATATTTTAATGCAACTTAATTATCTTTGATTATGTCTGAACAAAAGTGTTTTTCTTTGTTTGGCTCAATATGGGAGGTATAAATCAAGGTTTTCGTATCTATTCACTCTCTCATACAGACAAAGTTACTGGACACGACCACTTAAAAGTTTGCAAAAATATCATCTTTGTTGTCTTATTGGTACTTGTTTAGAAGCCTCTGTGTGTTAAGTTGCAATAAAAAAATGAATGAAGTGAAATAGCTAAGGATAAGAGTCAAAATCAAATTTCAGAAGACTATTGTAATGTTTACAGGAAAAGGTAATATGCAATGCTCTATCCAGTTGTAAAATTTGAATATGCGAGGAAAGATTTGAATTGACCGGATTTAATTCAGATAGCTGATAGGTTAAAATTTCTCACTCTAATAAAACCATTCATTTTAGACTTCCTATCACAAAGCATTATAAGATGATTGTTGTTTGAGTGCTTTTCTTTGATTGAGTTTGATAGCCCTCCAATACGGTTTAATCAAGATTGCCTGGCATGGACATTATTTGCAACCACGCATCTTTTGATTTATAGAGCAAAATTTTTCATTCGTCTCTTGTCTCAAAGTTGGATTCCTCATCCACACAATTAATATTGTGCTTTTGGGGGGGGGGGCAGCTTCTTCTTATTTTTTTGCATTGCAATTGAAGCTTTCTTGACATCCAGAAATGAAAAGTAGACAATAAGCCCAATAATGTCACCTGATAAGGTGTGTATCAGAATTCAGCAATAATATGCAGTTCTATCATACATTTGTATTGTACAAGTCAAAAGTTTGGCTTGTATATTAGAAGAATCTTCAGGCTAAGTAGGGGTTATGTCGCTGATCATCCATTTCAATTTGCATAAAGTTGCCAAGTATTATCACCTTTATCTAAAGCCTTTTCTCTATAGGCTCTAAAGAATGCATGCTCAAACTGGAAACATCAAACAACTTGTCAAAATACATACTTTATATTGATGTACAACTCTGTCTAAATGACATCAAACACTTTATGAAAGAAACGTAAAACAGAAACTTACATACAACAAATGACAAACTTGAACATAAAAATATCTGAACATAAAATGACCAGTTAGAAGAGGAAAAAATTTCATGATTTTCGTATCTTATAGAAAAGTAGAGTTGAAGGGATATTAATGGTTTTTATTTGCTTTAATTAACTGGTTTATACTTGTAAACAGAAATTTTCTATCTTATCTTTCTATTTTTCATCTTTGGTCGGAAATCACGTGGCAGGTAGATAAATCTCATCAATATATTGTAAATTAATTTCAACCTACAAATTTGATAAGGTGAGGCCATTTTCATACTCGCTAAAGAAGTAGAAAATTAAGAAACCACAATGTCTTTTTCCATCTAAGATTACACCCTCTTGCTGAGGCGCTAATTAATCATTTATCACTTTTTATTCGATTAAAAACCAGTTCGCTCCTTCTTTTGATCCTTCAGCTTTCCACACTATCAGTTTTGTATCGTCTTAGGTCAAGTGTTCAACAGAAAAGTTTTAGATTTGTGCTAAAAGATCCGCTCTTGAGAATGCCAGTTTCTGTGGCGGAGGGTGAGCCATTGGAGCGCGAGGAGACGGGAATAAAGCAGGAGGACGTCGAAGAAGAGAGTGAGCGAATCCAGATGGAAGAGCTTGCATTTCTTGCAAATACATTTTCAGGGTGTGCTGCGACTGTCTTGCAAAGAGGATTCCAGGGTGACTGGATACGATTGCGGGAATTATTACAGATAATGCAGCCTATTGGAACAGCGTTACTTCAGTTCCATGAAGTACAACATTACGTTCAACGTCTGTTTCAGTTCATCGATGAAAATAGCAAAATCGCTGTTGAACTGAAATTGCCTGAAATATTAAAAAGTGTGTTTGTCGACTTCCAATATGAAAAAACTCAGCTATCGTACCCATCTGCAGGGAAAGACAACGAAGTGGCTGATTGCAGAGAGCAGCAATGCCGGCCACGAGCAAAGGAGATTGTAAATAATAATCCTGATAACCTCTTTAATCTTAGTTGGAAAGATATCGAGAAGAAACTTCAACCGAAACAGCTCAGTCTTATTGACATTCCAAGGTACTTGCCAAGAGTCATATCTGAGATTTCCCGGCAGGAAGCTGTCTGGAATGAAGGTTTAGGGTTAACACTGATTGCAGCAAACACAGACATACCAGCTGACATACAGAGCCATCAAAGATCCTTCAGTGTTCAGTCTGAGAACTCAAGACTAACATCATCGCATGACACTCTTGAATGGGCTGCAGCGAAGATGCCAAAAACCGGCCTAGAAGTAGTTGAGTCACTTGTAAAAAGTCAGTCATTGGAGCTAACGAAAATATGGTACTTGAATTTAAAAGAGTCGAAGCAGTACAATCCGTATGATTTAGTCGTTGTATCGAAAAACAAACTCAATCCAGAACATTTTGTTATATCTGTATTTGGGGTATTGCATGTCAAACCAGGGGGCGAGTCAGAACTGGTGTCTTTAGGCCAATGGTTCAGAGAAGCAATTGTATTCAGGACAATACAGAAAATTGACTTTTTCAAAAATTTTCAAATATGCAAAGCTCTAATGCTTTGGAGAAATAATGTGAATTATTTGAAATTTCTAAAGATTCGCAAGCAGGTAAAAGATATGCATTTACTTGAAGTTCCTAGTATGATGTCTGCAATTCTCAAAATCAAGTCATTGCTCTCAGAAATGCAAGATGTAAGCTTACTTCCCAGTGACACTGCAAGCTGCTATTCACTTGACAAGTTCAATCAAGCCGTGTTTTTGATTTTGCAAAATGCCAAAAAGTATGCGGGGAAATTAAATAGCCATTGCCAAAAGATCCTGTCAAAAGTTGAAAAGGACTGCCTTGAGTTTTTACAGTACTCTGAGTTTCAGATTGAGCAAAAGTCGAACAATATCAAAGAATCGATGACTTTAGCTAGACAAAGACGGAACAAGCAGCTAAAGAACTTGAAGGTTGCCAAATACATTGGTCAGAAACTTCCTTGTTTTGTTAGGCTAGTTGAAGAGCTACTCCATCAGTTTATGCTTGTATTTATATCTGAAAATATCGCAAACTTTGTTCACGGTGTTATGGGTGCCAATAGTATTGAAAGGAAGGGACTATTCAGTGCAGCGTTTGTGTTTGATCCCGAATCAAGCTCCCTCGTTTTGTCTCCAAGCCCAGAAGAATTTATTAGATCACTCAAAGTGAGCTTTGATAACATACCAGTAGTCCTGTCGGAAAGTTGCCTTCCTTTTACTTTGGAGCAAACGAATCATACTGGAAGCAAATCTGTGATAAACAATGAAGACCTTAGCAGTAAGCTAACAGTTGATGAGCTGCGAGTACTGCTTAATCATGGGCCAAGGGAAGCCCACGAAGCTTTTAAACAGGGCAACTTGAAAAGTGCGACAAAAACAGTCCATGATTACAATGAAAATGAATCAATGAAACAAATTGGTTACAATTCTGCTGGATTTTTGCTTGAAGTAAGATTAGCTGGCGAGTAAGTATTTCGTTCTTTTAGTATATCATAGGTGATCTATTCCTCTGGGAAGGTGCAGATATTAGCTTTAAATTACTGGAAGAAGAAAATAGACTAGTACGTAAAGACTAATAAAGAATTAGTACGCATTTTTGATCAGTTCTCACTGTTTTCTCAAGTCTTACTGGTCTTGATAGGTTTAACTTGATGTGTAGCGAAACATAGCAAGTGTGACGCATTGTTTGTTTTGGTAGACGAATACCATAGTTTTGATAGATCAATATAAAGGGCGACAGTGTGCCTCAAAGCTACTCAATTTTATGCATGGGCTTTTTGGGTACTTCAAAGGTATGATTCCAGCATGTTTTCAAATTATGCAAAGTTTTGTGATTATATACCGTTGTGTCAAATTATGCAAAGTTTTGTGAATTCTTGTTATATACCGTTTTACTAGAGACAATTCTTGACATGCATTGAATATTTTATTTCCAATAGCAAGGTGTTGCAGAATTGTTTATTTTTGATGCAATCCTTGATGCAAGATGCGTTTGCTGAAGTAAATGAATTTGCTGAGGACCACAAGTGGATTGCTGCCATTCATTCATTTGTTAAAACATGGAACCAGGAAACGCTGGAATCGTGGAAAGGCCAAACAGCATCTAAAATAGAGGTGAATATTTAGTCAGATCTTGTCTTGGTGTTAGTTCTTTTTGGGGCTGGAAAAATGGAAGTAAAGATTTCCTTGTGTTCAATGTTACTGAACTGACTGTAATGATATTCAATGTTGTACAAACAAACGAGCATTCGTTTCAGCAATTTTAAATCTTATGTTAAATATAATATTTCTTTTCTTTTCAACGGAAGGCTTAGCCAAAGGTGTATTATCTTACTGCCAAATATGCTTAATTTATCTTTGTACTCTTCATTCAGGCGAGCCCAGGATTCAACAGGTTTATTTTTAGCATCAACTGGTTTGAGTTTATTGGCACGTGAGAGGCTAGGTAACTTAACCACATGTACTGCGCAGTGATATGAGTTAGTTATTATGGTCAACCAACACTTATTGTTGTAGAGGTCATGATACCCAAAGCCACTATAAATTAAAATTAAAATGCATATTCCCGGTTGGAATTTCAAACAATTCATTATTTTTGGTTGCAAGAAATGATGCATATGTATGCGATTTTTGCAACATGCTATCTATTTATCTTGGTTTCTATAAAAATCAAGTAATGATTGTATCTTAAAAATGCGATGCCGAATTATCTTCTAGAAACAAGTGCAGCAGATCAGAACCTGGATGGATCAGGTCGAGGCAGTCGAAAAGTCAATGGCAACTTCAAACGGACTCCTTTTTGTCGATGGTTCAAATATTCAAGACATCATTGTTCCGGGATTACATAAAATATTTATTTCGATGATGGACATGATATCGAATAATTGCTTGCTTTCATCCGAGGAGCTGATTGCAGAATTGCATGAGACATCAAAGGTTTGTGATAGTTATCCCTTGAATTGCATAAGCGAAGGACAGAAATTTTGTTATAACTAGTCACAATGCTCAACCAATTGATTTTTGTGTGCTTTACATTTAAAAGAATGAGTCTAAAATATTAGAATGTTGCATGCAAACTTATATAGCCTTTTCGTATCAGAGTTTGATTTATTTTTTCGAAATGCACAATCAAAGTCTGCTTGGTGTCTGGACCAGGCATGGACTTATTCAGAGCTTGTGACTTTTGTAGAACTAAACATTTAGATAATAAATTTAGTGTAAGGTGTTGAATTTAGGCTTAAAGTGGTAAGGGCCATCATAGATAGCAGCTGCTGTAAAAATGAATTTGCAACAAGTCATATGATTCAATAATTTTCATATCAGATGTGGAGTATAACATTTTTTCAATATTATGTGTATTGATAAACAATAAACAACTTATTTGAAGCTTTCCACCATTTGAATTAGTACATAATGCATGGCAGTTTTGAGCGGTCAAAACGTAATGGACTCAAAAAACCATTTATTCTATCTATTTAAATAATCATGTCAGGGTCATTATGTAGACAGAAGGAGTTTGTTTTTTCTCTTGGAATCCATTGGTAGTTTTTCTTTAGGCACGCGGCACTGATTGGACAATGTTACCGGTCTTGTGCTTGCCTGATTGGCCTATTCCGATCCACAACTGGGTGTATATTTTTTATCGTGTTCTTTCGGACCCTTATTCTGACGTTTTATGCTCTGAAGAGTGTCAGACTAAAAACTTTTGGCCAAAATGATACAAAATGTTTGCTTTTTTCAAAGTGCTGATATTCTTGAAAACAGCTGATTCTGATGAAGAATAATTCAATTTTTTTGTCAGGAAAGGCATATTATGGACCTCGTTTTGTCGTAGGTATTATCGGCCAAAACAACAACAATCGAAGAATTTGCTTCTTTTTACAAAAGCCTAAAACAATGCAAAGAACGTACGGTGGTTTTGCAAAACAAAGAAGAATATCTCAAGTCTATTTTTGAGGTAATTTTTTTACTTCGATGCACAGTGAGAGGGCATGTTTTATAATATTTGTCCTAGCTTGTCAGTTTATTCACCAGTAATATGTGATGTTTCAAAGCATGTAAATTTACCTTATCCAAACAATTCAGTTCGCACTGTTAAGTTTGCTATAAGTTTGTGATAGTCTGTTTTCATCAGCCCATAATGGGTGGACACACTGAAGATTCTTCACAGCAAAGTTCGACTTGATATTATTACATGAAACCTAGGTCTGTTATTCTAGGAACGCATTTAATATTTGAAATGAACTGATTTTTGTAGCGCTTGCTGCAGGAAAATACCTTTGCAGAATTTTGAATATAGTTTTGCGTAATTCAGCATCCTGTGCATTATGTAATTGCTACTACGATTCACCCCAGATATGTTTTGAGTTATGGGTGAACCTAAAGCTTACACATCATAAACCTAATATTACCACTTTCTTTAGGTTGTTCGTCATTGTTATCGCCAGCTGACATCCGATGAAGAGGATACAGAAGAAAGAGTAAATTACTTAGAATTTGAATTTGTTATGCTTGCAAGTATCCATAGGCCGGTATGAAGGCTTAATGAGAGAAAAACTGCTACCTTACAAACTGTAGCTTTTTACAACCCTAGTCAAGAGGAACGTTTTCGTGGCCTTTTTAGAAACTAGGTAGACTTTCCATTGTCAAAATCCTTCATGTTTTTAAAAGCAGCACATTATTTGTTGCATAATTTCCTTTTTACGCTCACTTTCACTTTGCCAAAATGTCAATTTTTAAAAAGTAGGTCACTCTTGTAGCATTGAATATCATTCAATTATTGAATTGGCCCTCAAGCCAGTTTATGTTGTCATGAATCAGTATTTATGCTGTTTTTTTCTCAATCGAGACTATGTAAGCTGCATTTGATTCCAGCTGAATTCGGAGTGGAATTCATACCTGTACATTCTCCAAGATGCAAACAATCGAGTGAATGAGCTGCTACCTCAGATGTTGGAGAATTTGGAAAGTAGCATTTCTGTAAGTCTGCCACACGCTTTGATCATTTAAAGCATAAGAAAAAATATTGAAAAATGAGATGTCAATCAAGGGTTGACATGTGATATTCTGGTAATATCCAAACGACCGAGAAAAAAAACAATTTGGTCTTTGAATCCATTTTGCTCTAAATGCGTTGTTTTAAAAAAATACGTTGCTTTAGAATATGGTTCTGTTTAGAAAATCATGTTTTGCTTATAACGTTACGAAGCAAAAGGTGCGATGTAGCATGAAAAGTTTTATACAGTTGCACGTTTTTGCCACTTTTTGTCTACCATGTTGCTTGTATGATGCGTTTTTACTTCAAAATAGCAAGGAAAGAATGTTTCTGAAGTTACTGGATAATTTTTTGTATACTGTGTTTCCAAAGTTTTTATTTTATTGTAACTTCACGTTTTCTAGAATTATGAAGAGGAAGAATCGGCTATTACTGAGAAAGTCACCAGTGGAAAGTTTCTTGACGCAACTGAAGATCCAAAGATTCTTTTGCCAGAGTTAAAAGAGGTTTGTACGGATCGACATTCTCACCAGCTGTCTCTTTTGTTGTATCTTTTCAAATGTTTGCTTTTAATCCCCTGGCTGTGTAGAAAACAATTTTCTTTGATTAAATATAATGTGCATAGATATATTCCTCTGCTTCTCGGCAGCTCCACCATTAGTTTTTATTTTTACACCTAATTGCAAATTTCTTTGGTTTAGTTGCACACAAGATTTTTGGAAGTGAAAGAGGAACTGTTAAAGCTTGTGAAATGCAAAGAGATCATAGAAGAAACTGTTCATGACCTAACATCTTTATCGGTAATGCATTCAAAGATCATTGCGCGGCACGAGCTCTGGAAATACTGTGAAGTCACCGCATATACGATTAAAGATTGGCTCCAGACACCATTTACCAAAGTAGGTACATCATCGTTAACTGATCAACAGAACATGATATTTCGAATTGTGGTGATGATAGAGACGACAATAAATAGATTTTGAAATATTCTATCACTGTGATTCAGTTTTCTATATTCCCCGTTGCTGTTATTGGCTATCTACTGTTTTACTACATAGAGTATAAATGTTAACAGATGGCACCAGCCAATAGAGTTTATCAGATAAGAAAATTTTAAAAGGTGCTTCTACAGTTTCAATAATGTGCGTTCTAGTGCAAAAACTAGTGCTATTGTCTTGAAAGCGATAATTTATCATTTTATATATAGCTCCCTAAATTTTGTGACTGTAGATTAAAAAAAAATCCTTTGGCTTTTGAAAGAATCAGACGAGAAAAGTACTGACATACCAAGTAGCATATCATTCAGAGATTCTGGAGAAAATGGACCAATATCTGTTAAATATGCCCTGTATTGCACATTATATTGCACATCTTGAGAGCCTTAGTTTTTTATTTTCGTGTATAAACTTACTTTAAAACGTACTTCCAGATTTCAATGTTGTGTGACAAGATTTCTTTATGCTTCTTATTAATTCTTGCATCAAAAGAAGAGCAATCATCAGGTATGACGAGCAATTTTCTAATACATTGAGGGGAAAATCCAGCTAAATTAGAAATGTTTTATATTTGCAGTTTCAAGTGAAAAAAGTCATTGCGAAGGTAGCAAAATGGAGAGAGGCAGTCATTAAATTGAAAAAGGATATAGCATCAAACGACGAGGTGCTGAAATCATGGATCGAGAAAGTTGAAGGATTTGGTGTTGAGCTGCCTTTGCTTTTGGAACTTTCATCTGTATCATTGAAGGTACGTTCTTTTTATGTTTACATCTTACAAGCACTCTGTAGTTTTTTATTAGTTATGCTATTTTCATATCTATTTCCATTTTGCAAGAATATTAAATTCAGTACCTTTTGGTTCCGTTTTTAAGTGATGCTGTTTTCAACTTTTTTGAAATGCTCTGCTGTATCTTTCCTGTACATATAATTCTTAAAATTGCTGAATTTAAAATCATAATGTATGTTTAAAGATTTCTGTATGTTGAATTGTTTTTTTAGGCAAGACATTGGAAATGGTTGTTTGCAGGTTTAGGGCAAGTCTATGACCAGTCATATCAGTATCTCATATCTGATCTTGTCGGATTTGGACTAAGGGAAAATTCCCAGCTTATAGTTTCGATTTGTGACAGTGCTGCAGCCGAATTTGCATTAGAATCGCATTTAAAAAAGATGATACGACGCTGGGAAGAAGAGGAGTTTAGGTTGATGAGGTATTATCAGGAAAGTAAGAATAAAGCACCGAGTAAGGGAACCAAGGTTTGACATACTTTTGTTTTTTTATTTTAATGAGATGATGCTTCTATCTGTCCGAACTGACTGATTTTTTGTTAACTAATTTGCAACCGAATATTCAGAGCAGGAAGTTTTTGGCTATGCTAGACAACGTTTATTGAAGCACATTTGCTTTAACTCAGGTAATTGAGTGGCAAAGTGAGTACATCGTAAAACCTTATTTGATAATTTTTGAATCTTTAATCTACTTTCCGAAAGACCAACAGGAAACATCTCTGCGTGAGGAAACTCAGTAGATTTTTTTCAGATTGCCTGGGATGTGACTACAGGGGTAAAGGCTTCTTCTCAATCAAACCTCTGTAATTTAGGCTAAGTTCTATAACTTATGAGCTAAGGTCTAAATAACAGTAATACATTAACAGGATTAGTGTTTTTTTACCATGCCTCGGTAAATCTGTATAAGATTTATTGTGATTTGCACATTTAGATGTATTTATTGTACCGTGTACTTTCTCCTAAAGTGGTCAAAATCTGAAAATTCTTAAAACACCTCTTCATGACGTCATTATTTTGTCACTCTATACCATAGAGATAGGATAATAAAACTAGCTGTGCAGTTTAATGGGAGGTATTTTGTTAGCAAAGAAACTGTCCTAGATGACAATTTTCTTCCTGTCTGTTATTGTTGAAAGAGGCTTGAAAGTAGTGTAAGGATGTAGAGCTATAGGCCTGAATCCTTTAGATATCCAGGCTCGATTTCTGTATATTCAATTTTGAAATCAGGCGGTCTGACAATAAATGGCTAAATTTTGCATTTAAATCTAAAGATGCTAATATTTCTCGAAATTATCCTCTATAAAAAACAATTTTCCATTTAAGGCCTTATCAGGAAGCAAACCAAGATTCCATAAGAGAGCTTCATCTGGAGATATGTTTATTCTCACTGGCGTGAATGAACTACAGGCTCAAGTTGAGGTAAGCAATTTTTTTGATCGTTTAGAAATATGTAAGTATGTCAAAAGGTCAAGCGCTAAAATCTGCAGACATTTTTTGCGGATTTATCCTACCAAAAACCTAAATTTTCATATTTATCACAGATTTTTTCCCTTGTTAGCCGACCACTCACCCAATGGGTTTTGCAAAGGTCTGGTATTCTTGCCCGTCTGTCACACAAAAGGGGTGGTAAAAAGTTTAGCTTACAGACAGCGCATAGGGTGTCAATTTGTCATATCCCTGCAAGGGACATTGTGTATGGCCTCCCTGCTTTGAGGAATTTTGAATTGTATCATTCTCTCTAACATTTCGTAAATACTTCAGTGATTCTCTATCCACTAAACTCTTTCTCATCAATCTCCCTTCTTTTCCTTTATGACATGAATTAAATATGGCGAAGGTCATTCTCCTTTAAATATTTTTTGAAAACAAGAAGGATCAAACTGTTTGTTTGATGCAATGTCCTTCAAAAATGTGGCATGCCAAAGATTAAGATTTGATGAAGGGTTTGATAAATAATCTTTTGCAGGACAATCTGGTTACATTGCAGTCAATGCTTGTATCTCCGCATTTATCAGAAATGAGGAACCAAGCTGAAGCTTGGACCGGATATTTACACCAACTTAAGGAAATTTTGGATACATGGATCTCTTGTCAACAAAAGGTTTTTTGAATTTTTGCAATATATTAGCCCCGTTTTAGATAATGAACTGCTATTACTGAAGCCTTTGATAGATGTTCCGTTATCATGACTCGAGCCTACTCACTCGTGTACTCCTCGTTTCTATAAGCTACAAATTTTACTATTTGTTTTTGTTTGATATTCGGCCTACTTTGCACAACTATAGAAAATAGCTTGACACATGCTTGAAATTGCTTTCAGGATTTCTGAACAATTATACAAATGAAGCACTTCTTTTGTAGCAGTTCACGTTTTTGTTGCAAAGTAAAAGTTGTCGTCTCTAAACAGGAAAATTAAAGAAATCATTGAAGACCAATTTATAGCACCATTTCAAGAATTGCTTTTGTTGTTGTTGGATATTTGATTACACTTAAACTTTAGTAATACATATAATAGCAAGTACGGCTATTTTTTTGAAACACCGTGAGAGGACTAGTGATCTAGAACTAGTATTTATTAAAGCTTAAATCGTAAAAGTAATAAAGCGATGGCTTATATTTGAATGACACCTAAATTATCGAGTTTACTTATATCTTTCAACCTGTTTCTACTTAGACAAGCTTTAGTGATACGTCATCAATTCTTTTATCTTTTTCTTTTGATAGTTTTAATATGACGTTTATTTAGGATTTAAAGTTATGTTACCTAATTTCATTTTAGTGGCTTTACTTGAAGAAAATATTCGACAAGTTCTCCTCATCCAACCTTGAAGAACTTCGAGTTGATTTTCATGATATCGACGCTAAATACAAGGTATAACCCTAATTTCGAAAAGTCTTAGATTGTTTATTTTCCATTTGATTGGAAAGGGTATTTACTTTCGCATTTAAAAACAAACTTCTCAATGCAACAAATTGAATCTTCTTGTGTCTCGCTGACGAGGAAAAGCCGCATGAAAAACACAAAGTTGTTAAAGTGTTTATATTTATAACAGGTCAACATCTGAACTGAGGAATGACACAATCCTAAACGATACGCAATCCTGATAAGATCTAGTAGTGCAATTCTAAAAAAGATTCTTGGAACTAGTTATATTACAAGCATTGCAATTATGACACATTTATACATTAAGAAGAAACTCGCTCAATAAGATTGCTTGAATCTTCAATATCATAGGAACACATGTCAGCAGTATTGAAAGACCCCAAAGTTCTATCGGTGCTGGAAAAAAAGAGAGGCGATCGTGGCTATAGAGAATTGCAGGGTGAAAATCTGAGAAAACTACTTTTCCAGCTTGTCACAAAACAGGTAACTCAAGGAATTGCAGCTTATAGTCTTGGTGAAGACAGTATTTCCCTTTTCATTTTTTTCTCGCTGAAATGTCCCCAAGTCTTTTCACTGCATGATCCATTATTAAAATCATCAGAACAATTTCAGCATTCCTAACAGAAAAATGAAACACGCCCCCATATAACGAATACTTTTGGAACGAGAGTAATTGTTTATTTGGAAGTGTTCATTATTGGACGATATCAGCTAATGGTAATTTCACTGTATTAGACGTATTGCAAACTTGCTATTAATTAATATTGACAAATTGGTGTTCAGCTGTTTGACAGCAATTATTAGGAGGGTTGTGAACGTCAATTTACAGGTCCTTATATTTAACATACATGGAAATTTTCTTACTGAGATTTTACAGTACATCCATTTCTTTTCAAGGAAAAGGTCATCAAAAGTCTCGATAGCTATCTTGACGAGATTCGAGCCTCTTTTCCACGATTATTCTTTCTTAGCAACAGTGAGATGTTGGAGCTTCTTGCAATATCGCAGGATCCCAAGGCTCTTGTTCCGTTTGTAAGGAAGTGTTTTCCTGGCATTGTCAATTTGAAGTTTGTACTGCCAGCCACTGTATCCAGTACGATAAGAACGCAGTTAGATGCCGCTTTAAATGGTATCTTATCTCATTTCCATTTTCGTTTCAAGTATGGTAAAAGTCTTATTATCTAAATGGAACCCTGGATTATGACAGTGGTGTAAATTCAATGTACATTATATATTTCTTAATACTCTAAAGCTAAGCTTAGGAACTGTTTATTATTTTGGTATCCTTGCCACGAATAGTTGTTCTATTCAGTGTATGTAAAGCTAGTGTTGCGATTCAATTATCGAAGCCGAAATCAGCAGGGCACTTCCTTAGACATGATCTTTTTATCAGTGAAAAGTAGAATTTTCAAATCTATAATTAAAAATACTAATAGTTATGATTGTGCTACATATTACTCCAATGCTAGAGATACCGTTATCAATACGGGTCTTGTAAAAATAAAGTACTTACCCTAAGTAAGATTAAAAGGAAGGTTAAAATTAGAATCTTTAAGTTTAGAAGAAAAGTTCAAATCGTTTTGAAAAGTCTGATTAAAATATCTTGTCTTTTTTTCAAAGTGATATTAAGTTGAAACACCCTTTTCCCAAGTTTGCAGGTTTTCTCAAAGAAACAACTGCTTATGCATACTTTTCTTATTTACGTAACAATGCACAAGTTTTCTCTCAAAAATCTGTTTCATTCTTTAAGATCTGACATTTTTAGTTCCTTATTTTTTCGTAGCCCATCTTCTTGAAGTCGTCTGCTTGTATGGTCATTGTGGTGAAGAAATGAATTTGGCAGCTCCTGTTCCACCTTGCAAGTCGGTGGAAAAATGGTTCTGTGACTTAGAACTTGCAATGAAGAGTTTGTTATGGAACAAAATGGCACGTTGCATTGAAGAAAGGTTTCTATACACGCCATCGATTGACAGTTTATTAAGCGCTCTAGGTAAGGTAGTTCTGTCTTCAGGATATAGCGCAAAATATAATGCTACAGGGTCTATATAAAAATCTATATAATTTTCTTTTTATATAACATTATGAGTATGCATATACATGCATACCTAATTTTATTTTATATGCAGTTTAACTAATTGGCAGTATAAAGATGTTGTGGACCTAGATCTATCAAACATTTGAATGAATATGGCTAAAATACCTTTCTATCAACACGTTGCTCTGGTATGTTTTTAAAATTCTTGAAATCGGAGGGGTAAAAGCAACTGAGTATTCAAGTCTAAAGAAAGGTATTACATCAAAGTCAGACATCTAAACGCTTGACGTGGTAAACCGGAAGTGTCATTGCGACTTTAAAAATTGATTGGCATCTTAGAGGAACTTTGAATAAATGTCTTGTATTGCAAATAATTGGAATGAGCCTTAAATGTTTTTATTTGTTATCTGGCCTGCTCGTATGTGGCTATCTAATGAGCTTCTTAAGCCCAATCTCCAGTGAGAAAAGTCTTGCGAATTTTCGCTGCGAAATACTTCACGCGACAAATTTCTTTGAATGCTCTTGTTGACCTCACGACATTGCAATGCAAAGTTTGGAAGCGTTACAAAGGGATACGGAATATGATTGGCTGTTGAAGGATTTTGCAAGCGAAAAGCGAAAAAAGTTAAACTCATTTTAACTTTTTTTCGCAGAGAAATTCTTCGCGAGAAATCCCAGCAAAAGATTACTGCGCATGCCTAAGACGTATTTCGCGCGAACTTTTTCGCATTTCGCTGATTTTTTTCTTACTGGGTATTGGGCTTTAAAGAAGGGTGATAAATTGTTCCCTTTGGTCACCAGGTTTTTACCTTTTAGGAGTTATTTCCAAGAATCAGCAGCCCGGTGACATATCAAGACCTTCGTCTGCTCGTATGAAGCTAGCAATTGAAGAGGGAGAGAATGCCTATTGGTACATGGTATACCCTTTTCAATGTGTCTTGGCGGCTGAAGAAGTTATTTGGACCTCTCATTTGAGAAATGCCGTAGAAAAAAGAGGTTTTGAAAGCATGACTGATGTCAGGTACTTGAAATTTTGCATTTGTCATCCTTCTATCCTGGGCACTTATTTTGGAATATGAATTGTTGTGCAGCATAAACAGCGTTTTTGATTATGTCCTTGCTCTATAATTTGACGGCCACTAACTTCCCATTGAATGGGATTGGTCTGTCTGCACGAATTTTTTATCGTTAGGTAGTTTGAAGGCAGATTTTAAAACGTTTCAACAATAATACGATCTTGCTTGCCAAAATAGTCTAAGATTGTTGTTATTGTATCCTTGCTTTTTAATTATCTAGGAAAATGGTGGAAACAAATATAGATCAATTCACATCTGCTTTGAAATCAAGCATGACAGTGGAAAGCAGAAAGCCTTTGCTTCGGAAATTGATGATTCTTGTCCAATCCTTGCTGACAAGAGCGCTTTATCAAAGGGAGATTTCGAGCGGTATGTTAGCTATTCAGTGTCATATCTTATTTCAGCTTTAATTTTTTTAGGCCATCAATTTTAGATTTTGAACTTTAACTGGTATGCTGAAGATGAACACCAATCTTAACATGCTATTTGTTGGCGATAAAATTTTGATGGTTGTTTCATGTAGACTAGTTCTGCTTTTTAAAGCTGAAATTCTGTAAAAATTGGTTTATATATCAGATTTAACAATATCATAAGTAGACATACAATTATATTACAAATGGTGGCTGAATTGTTTTTTCTACAAATGATTACAGATCTCGACAAAGATTGCGTATCAGTAAAGAGCTTTGAATGGCTTCAGTGCTTGAAATATCAAATAGAAATATCTCATGACAACAGGCAAAGAGTGTATGACCGACAAGGATGTGCTGAGATATACTACGGTAAGTGGAGAATTGCCTGTAAGCATTGCAAATGGCTATGCGTTACGTATTGATAAAGTAATACATATTGTAATGAGAATCAATAAATTAAGCACAGATTATTATAAATCTTACAATCGTTTAAGTGCCTGTTCAGAATGACCATTACCATTTTTTTGTACCCAGCCCAGAAGTTTACTGTGTTTGGTTTATGAAGCTTACCAGCTATTACCATATACGACTTGGTTCTCTTTTTATTTCTACCACGGTATTGTACCAAGATGTAGCATGATTTGCATTGAGTGGCGGCGCCAGCCATTAAGCTCTGGGGGAGGGGGGGGGGGGACAAACCGAAAAAAATTCAAGCCACGCTTTTTAACCACCAGAAAACGCCCTTTTACCAACAGGGAACGCCAATTTTATCCGAAGGGAACGCCTATGACAAACTTTTGTTTGAAAATTGGCAGTTTGAAAATCATAGGATTACATCACAAAAAGTACGGTATCAAAATATTACCCCTCCCCCAACATTTTCTCATCGAATTTAGACGAAATACAAAATCGATTCTGCTGAGAACTGGGGGGGGGGACGTGTCCCCCCAGTCCCCCCAGTCCCCCCGTGGCGCCGCTACTGTTTGTATTTAGAATAGATTGTGCGGTAGTAAATATAAATGTTTTGTCATTGTGTCAAACATGTACTTGCTGTAAATAATTGCAAAGTAGCAACTTTGAGCTAGCTACTTCAAATGAAAGAGAAATGTTGTTGCAACGAATTTGCCTCATTTCAAGGTATCAGCACACATGTTCTTGTTCCAGGTGCTAAAAACTCTGCACAGTTTGGCATGCTAAGTGCAAGTCAAATGGGTCTCTCTTTTCCTTATGGCTACGAATACCAAGGTCCTACATCTCGACTTGTAATCACACCCATGACTGATAGAGCGCTTTTCAACCTTTCTACTGCACTTAAGCTGCACTATACGGCTGGATTATTTGGACCAACTCAAAGTGGGAAAACAGAGACAATTCAGGAGGTTTCCAAGGTATGCATCGAATTTTCCGATCTGGTATTTTACACAAGTTGAGAGATGTATATTTGGCCATGTTTTTACTCTTATAGAGACTTAATTTTTCTTTGTTGATTAAATACATTCTTCTTCCGAAAAAATTGGGTCTAATGTGAATGTGATTCTTCAGTTTTATCTTGTTCCTGATCAGCTTAACATTCATTAGAATTGGTATTGCTACTTCTATGAGAAATACATTCATGCAACTTTCCGCCTTCTCAATTTGTCTGGACATGATGAAAAGACCATAATAAGCTGATACCAATCTGATTAAAAATTCAATTTATCTTGAACTGTCTTATTTGATAGATATTTGCTTGAACAAAAACATCCTTGTTAGATGTTTGAGCTAACTGCAATTAGGATTTATTGCTTGATTATTGCTTGTGACACAAAGCAAATGATGATTTGTTCCACCACTGTCCATTTAGATAACTGGTACACAGTTGGTGACTTTCACGTGCAACCCGGCATTATCCTTATCGCGGATTCTGCATTTCATTTCTGGTGCTGTCCAATCTGGTGCTTTGCTGTGCTTCGAAAACGTCACGGTGCTATCAGATGGTATTTTGTCAGTGCTTGGCCAGCATCTTGATGGTATCAGACAGGCATTTTCTGCGTTACAAAAACGAGAGTTTAGCCAGTTTGAAGTCCGGGATCCTTCTGTATCAAAAGAAACTTCTGAAGAGGTAATGCTCCTGCTTGTTAGCCTATGTTTGAAAAATTATTATTCAATATTTTCTTGCGATATTCTATTCATTTGATGGTATTTTTGGAAACACTTTCCTCTAACGCAGCTTTCTGACTTTTCTTTTTAAACCTTTCTGTTGATATGAAAGCTATCTAGCCTTATTTGGTACAAGTCTCAGTCTGAACATATGCTTGATCAAATGTTCATTTAAATAAAATATTTTATTTACTTGCATAAGGCTGTGACCAAACGAAGAAGAGGAATAACTGTAATTTCATTGCATACATTACTGGTGAATGAAAATGCAGCTGGACTAAGTGCTCAAGAGAACGATTTACAGGTAAGCAAGTTTATTCGAGCTTCTTCTTTGTTTCATTGCATATAATTATCGACGATTATTGTTATCTTACCAGAAACATTTGCCCTTTTATGTTTGTGTGAAGCTTCTTTCAAGATAGGTTGTTTTTGAATGTCACTTATCGTTCTTGTATATAGATGACAAGAAAACAGAAGCCCCAGAGAAGACATTCTATCCACGAAATCATAAATATTAACGATCCAAAAAGTATTCCAAATGCTCGTAAGAAGAACCTGAAGGGTGTCAAATCTGAGATGAATTTACCGAAGAACAATTTCGATTCAAGCGAAGAAACAATCAGCGAATACAAAGGCGTAAAGCCCCTTGGCAATATAATGGTCGCTGGCAGCTTAATGAAAGCAAATCCTCTTTATGGATGCTTGATGACAATTAGTCCCGTTCATCACAAGTACCATAGCATTCCAGATAACTTGAGGGTAAGAACAATTTTCAGCATAAGTGGACCTTACTGATGCAAAAGTAAAATTTGAACTGTCATATATTGGTGTTTACGGAAAACCTGTTTACTATATCACTTTTGTTCTATGTACTAGATCTATAGATCTAGCAAATGTGAGTATAAATACCGTATAGGATGTTAATCTTTCTCAAACATTTTCCCGCATAGAATACTACAAGACTGTTTGGAATGATACAACCTGATTATCGCATAGTCACAGAAGGATGGTTGATATTGAATGGATTCAGGACCACTAGCAAACTTTCGAAAAAAATAACTGTCTTTCGAGAATTGCTCCGTGACCAGGTAGATATTTTTTCTTGACTATATTTAGAGACCAGGGTTGGAAAATAACAAAAAATCTTTTAACATTGCTTAGAAACGCGAGTGTCTAAAGATTTATTCATAGAGTGTGCTTAAATTTGCTATAATATTTGCTATTGATTAAAATTTTGCTGTAAAGAATTTGTTATGGACCAAACTTTTTGTTTTTTTATTAGCAAGCGAGTAGAGATGACAACATAATATTTTGTATAATTGTTCGTAGTTTCTTGACGATCCGGTGTACACAATGTCTTTGACACAAATAAAAGCTGTCGTAGTTTTGGCGGGAAAAGCTTGCCGGGACTTGAAAAGAGAACATGTAGATTTGAATAGCGTAACTGAAGGTGAGCTAAAGAGTGTATGCCGCTAAAAAATTGTTTTTTATTCCAGCTTTTAACTTTGTGACCTGTTTGTAAGTTTTTATATAGAATGTAGCTGGTTGCTATAATTAGGGTTCCATATTGATAAAGTTCAGTCAAATATTTTTGTTCATTCCTTAAACAAATGATTTTCTGCAAGAACAATTTACTCTCGTTGTCACTTCTTTGCTTCATTATTTGTTGCCTAACCAATCTTTAGTTTTTAATTGTGATATATGATGCACACTGTCTCAAAGTGCGATGTATGTCACATGAATCCGTATAGCATAAACCTTAGGAAATGTTTTAGAATTCTTTGACATGCATCGAATTGACTATAATAGAATTTATTAGTTTAGACTTACATATTCTCTTTGTAAACATAAGAATGTTTCATATAGGTTTGAAAAAATCCCTTAAAGCAATGTTTCCTTGTATTATTTTGTGTTCGGCCTAGAATATACAAGGCAAAAAAATATTTACACCAAGATAAGAGGCTGACATCTTCTCGATCTTGTCCTTACAATGTGTTGAAATTAGTTAATTTACAACACTATCCGCTGTTGATATTCTGAAATACTTATATATATAGAATAATTTCAGTCTATATTTTTTTATCAGTTAAGAATCCTTGAGGCCAATATTCCTTTTCAAATAATATATTAACCAAAATTGCATCGAAAGATATAACGCTACATATTATGCTATATAATTGCTAGGGTTTATTCTAAAAATCTAGTTTGATTTGAATTTAGTCAAGTATGAATAGTAATTCTGGTGTTTCCCATAGCTCTATTACGTATCTCTTTTAGACACTACGCCATATATCATCGGTACAAGAAATATTGTTCCTGTTTTTGAATTTCTAATATTTCAAAAGTTCATATTTTTTATTCCTCTTAGCGAAAATTGAAGAATCCTGCGTTGCACAAGCATTGTACTCACTCATGTTTACGTCAGTGTATCCTCGAGATCTTCCTAATTTCATCCGCCTTCTTAAGGTCTCTTTTCCTCAAGTCAAAGACAGTATTGCAGAAAGTAGCCCCGAAGACCAGCTTCTACTTTTGTCAGTTGAACAGCAGATCGATTCTGACAATTTATTAGACAACGAAGATTTTGTCAAAAAGGTAGGTGGCGATTTGTATATAAAAAGCTTTGCTTTTTACTTTGCGATTTGCTTTAGACTGTACAAAACAACTTAAAAGCTTTTGCGTCTAATACTCTGTAACGTAAAAGTGATGAGTGTTGTTTGTTATTGATTATAAGTTAAAAGCAAAAAAGTTATTAGATGAAAAATGATAATCTATGTACCTAGTAAATTCGTTTTGACTTGAAATTACATTGTTACTTTGAATGCCAATTTTCATTTGTAGCTAGTCCCTGAATGTACTGAGTGACATTCTCTACAGACCTTTAATGCTTATCTGCGCATGCCCAGTGATAATCCAATAAGCTCTTGCCACCCACTTGCCATTCGTTTACAATTGAATTTGCTCAAAACAGGTCATGCAACTGCATGCGACAATGTACCTCAATCGTTCTGTGATTTTGCTGGGAGATAGTGGCTCTGGTAAGTCTGCTTGTTACCAGACCCTTTGCCGTGCTTTGTGTCAATTCTATTCGGTCTGGACTCAAGACGTGAAGAAACAAAGAGATAAAAAGAATGGCGTCATCAGCGATTCTGCAAACCAGAGGTCTTCTTTCTCCAAGGTTCATCTCTCAACCTTTTATCACAAGGCCACAAACAACGATGAGGTAATTTTAAATGTTTCATATTTATCATGCTACGTATAATTACATTTTATTGCATTAAGTAAAACGTGTTACCTGTATCAATCTGCTTTCCGTATTGATATTATTTGCTTTGAAAGAGAAATATCCTATACTTAAAGATCTTCTACTTGAATTAAAAACAAAATGTCGCAACATATTCATGGAGCTGAGTAAGACCTTTCATTGACAGATAACAAGAAAGCTTGGTGACTGAATTAATACAAGCCATTTTAACAATTCGAACTAGTGTTTGTCTGTAAGTGGATTTTTGCTCTACATATGCCTCTATCTTGCATTCGAGCCCAAGATAAAATAGATGTAGGGCAGAAATAGATGTATTATTTTCTTGTTGTAGTTAAATTTTTGTTGAGATAGAAACCCTTGATCCTTTATGCGTTGGTATTGAACTTTTTGTGTCCCATCGCCTCGTAGCTTTTCGGGAATTTCAATGAATCAACGCAAAACTGGTCAGATGGTCTGTTATCAAAGCTCCTCCGCACTGCTACACAGTTGCAAAGTGTCAAGGCACACGTTGAGCGCAACAACGAAATGCCATACGATGATATACATTACTGGTTTGTTTTCGATGGACCACTAGATATGAATCTTACAGGACCCCTTGAATCTTTGCTGGACGATCGGCAAGAGCTTTGCTTAGTCAATGGAGAGCATATAAAACCACCCAGTACGTAATCTTTCACCTAGAAAGTTGCAAAAGATAAACCTTAATGTCAGGTTTAATCTGAAAATCTTTAATGAGCGTTGCATCAACAAACCGATTCAACATTAATGGTCTTCATTGCATTCGTTTTCATTTAAAACAAAATATATTCATCGGCATACCTGGATATGGAACTTTGAATTACATAGCCCTCTTTTGTGCTGAAATCAAGATTTGACTCTGTGCTAGAATACATCTAAGTGAAGAAAAAATATTTGAGTCAAAACCCATTTTTGCTCACGAGGTACTACACAACGTTCGTTTTTCTCAATTGACCGTTGTGATGTATATTCATTTGTGACTTTGTATTTCCAAAGATCGAAGGTAAAATAGAAATAAAATCTGCACCCTTCAACAGATTATTGCTAACCATTCCATTGGTTTGAAGAAGATGTGAAGCAAATATATCCTTTTTTTCTTATACTTTGTAGACTTCATTTTGTTTATTTTTTATCATCTTTCCTTAGGCTCAGTAAAGTTTCTGTTTGAAACAACGACTTTGTCCAATGCATCGCCTGCAATTATCGCTCGTTCCGCGATTGTCAACTTTGAAAGCAAACTTGTGCACTGGACTTGTTTGTTTCATTCCTGGAAAAAGACTGCACGAAACAAACTTGAGATCTCTACAAAAGGGTAATTGGAGAATTTGTAATCAGATCAAATTCTTTGCAGTTTTGCGTTCAGAAACGTGAGCCTCTGCGCCTCTGCTCGTAATGAAAACGAATATAAACTTCTGTGCTGTGCATAATATATCTTGCTTAATGAAATAGTGGTTAGGTGCGAGGATGGCTCAGTGGTTAGGGACGCTGACCACAGATCCAAGGATCCGTGGTTAGAGTTTCTGGTAGGACCAAACTTCCACCCAGATTGAGGAGAGTCGCCAGCTCTCTGTAATTCCAGGCATAGGAATCACGAGGTGTTGTCACATCGAGAAGAAGGACCAGGACACTGCTCGATAAGCATAAGCTTATCAGTGTCCTAAAAACTACCTTCGGATGTTAGGTAGAGACGAATACAAATAGCTAGGCAAGGATGTCGCAATACCTACTGATTTATGGATACTAACTTTTAACTGTTTTCATAATTTATGGAATACTAACTGTTTTCATAAATGACTTCATGTTTGTGATTCTGTTCTCCATAGAACGCAAAGTAATTATTTCACTTTTCAATAGATAAGAATCAATAGTGGCAGTTTCAAAATTCTATGCAACGATGTGACATTTCTGAAATTCATATCGTGACATTACAGAATTCGTTTTTTTCTTGTAGCTTCAAGGTCATTGAAGCAATGTTGGAACACATCTGCGCTCCCCTCGCTGAGTTCCTTTCCAACGATGGTGAGATGCTTCTGAATAATCACTCGCAGATGGCAACCGAAGATGCAACAGTTTGTTCAATTGAAGTAACATCCGTACTGCAGGTTTTGAGCGCATTTCTTGAGAAGTTCATGTCTCGAGAGATTGCTGAAAGAAGACTCAGAAAAGAAAGCTTGTCAAATGTAACTGATGTGGATTCAAGTGCTAGTGTAACGAGGAACAAAGAAGAAGTCAAGTTTATAAGCAATTCATTGGCATATGCATTTGTTTGGGCAATTGCAGGCAAATTGCATGAAAGGTATCTCCCCTTGCATTTTTTCAAGTGATAGATAAGCTGTTTCTTTTACTTCGAGAGCATTGAGATTAGATGCGCTATTGTCAAAGGCGACTTGAGGTTATTGCAATAACTTTGTGTGATTAGCAGGGTCTAATTTCTAATATCACATATCCCATATCATATCATTCTCGAATGTCCCGTTATTCCAAGTTACTTTGGCACCCAAGGCTGTCGGAGATAAAGGAAACAGGGAGAGGTGGCCCTAAAATTCAGTAAAAGGCCGCTTTTTTACAAATGCGCCCTGTGGAACTTTTCGAAAGTGCCCTGTTTTCTGAGACATGGTCCCTCTTCTTACCTGTACCCCTTCACTTTGAATTGCTTCCGAAATTTCTGATGAGGCCAGATAAATGCACAAATATCAGAATGGCATGAAGATTGGAGAAATATTGCATGGAAGCTCAATATATTCATATTTGAAGCACATTAATCGGGTGGTGACAAATATGACAGTTGCAAACAGAGACACGTACCAGTCGATTAAGAGGTCCTCTAAAATCAGTCACCTAAATCAGAAGTAAATCAATCGAGGAAGAGATCTTCTTAATGGCTTTTACTTGAACTGGTTTTTGCAAGTATTATTGTAGCGCAAAATATAGCACATTCCGTAAATGATTTTTAGAAAAACAATTTCAACCCAGCTGAACATGAACCTTATTATTTCACCAGTATTCAACTTAGGTTATCTGCTTCTGGAAAGAACAACGTGGCGAATAGAAATTCTCTCAGAGTTGATATGTGTGGTTTGAAATATTTTCATAGTTTTGTCGCACTTGCCTCGCGAACGTGAATTACCTTAACAAAGGAAATTGTCAATTTTCAAAAGATAAGCAACAGTTTCTGTGCAGTTCAATCCTTGTTTTTAGGTGTTATCCAAAATTTGATGTCTTCACCCGACAGACATTTGCAACTTGTCCGTATTCAGTCATCTTTCCTTGCTCTGTTTTTGACTGCATGCTAGATCCTGTCAGTGGAGAGCTTGTCAGGTGGGAAAGCTGCGCGGACATCCCAAAAGCATTGCCATCACAGCAATACGTTGTTACACCGGAGGTACATTATTTCAACCCTTTATTCAGCATAACCTTGTCTATACCTTGTCTGCATATATGGGCAAAGTATCAATAAACTCTTTATACAAGGATGTTTGTTAACCACTAACAATATGCAATTTATCTAAGAAAGTTTCCGAGCCTATGGCACCATCGTGTTACAATCTGTTGTAAGAATTTTTCTTCATTTTCTGAATACTGCTCAGTTCCTTGTGAGCCAAGATGAGGCCCCATTATAGAAATGTAATGTCTATGTATCTTAATGCTATTTCTATTGTGCGGTAAAGTCATTTTTACTTAAAGCTAGTATATTCCCTTAAAGCGAGTTGGTCTGTTGTTTGATTACTAGTTAACTGAGGCTCGATATTTGTCTGTTTCAATTAGATAGAGAAATGCTTCGTCATTGCTGACTTATTGATTGCCTCTGGAAGCAATGTTCTTATAGTAGGAGAACGTGGCGTTGGAAAGACAGCATTCGTGAAGGTAGTATAAATTTCTTTCATTCTTTTGATATATTTTATATACACGAATCTTAAAACAATGTTATTTGTGAACTCTCTACCTTTCGACGCGTTAGAAGTACTGAAAAAGCCCGAGGAGGTTCCAATGCTGTCCTTTAATGTCATAAATTTTGTCTCTTAAGAACTTCCACAAAATTCATGAATGCCTGAAAGTTTGAAACAAGAAATTAGCAAACCTGTCTAATTAAACATTCTTTCGTAGAACCTTATCCAGCAAAAGTACAAAATGCATCGGATTGTTTTTACCCAAGGCCTGTCCTCGCAGTCCTTCCAAAAACGAGTTCAAAGCCATATCGAAGAACATATCAATCGTTTTCGAAATAACCCTTTGAAGCCACCACCACAGCAAAGAGGTCTTGGCACAAACAAAAATGTCTTCTTTATTGATGATATTGGGATGGCCACCGTTGACCCTAGCTGTGGCCAGTCGCAACCTACGCTTGAAATACTAAGGCAAATCATCTCAGAAGGTATACTTTGATGCTTCTTCTACTTACTTTGTGCATCACTTTTTAATGCTTTTATTTACTTTGCTACTAAGCATTCTGTATTATCAATGCAGATTTAGAACAAAACTTGCAGCTTTGACTTCGCTTGATCATTTTTTATTCACTTGTCATGCATAATTTTTTTCAAAAGCTATTGTTGAGTAGAAAACTCTGGGACAAAAAAATCAACCCATTCTCAAGAAAGCAGTGTTTGTCAGGTCAAAGATAGGCTGTACTGTCTACATTTTGACGCGATCCTCTTCAATTTTTTAAAATATTTCCTATTCAGCTACTCAAAAAATCATTGGTTCTCAAACGCTTTTACTCCTAATTTACTTCATTCACGAAAAAACAGCAACTTTAATTGGCACTGTATTTCACAGGTGGAGTTTTCAACTATAAAAGAAAATATTTCCAGCACTTCCCTAACCTACAATTTGTAGCAACGTGTGTGCCGATTTCTGCTCAAGGCCAAGGAAACTCCAGCCTCACATTGAGTTCTCGGCTGACAAGACGGATGAATATCATAAACATGGCTGCCCTGAAAAAGGAATCCCTGGTTACTGTTTACGCAAGTGTTTACAAATCGTGGCTTGAGGAGTTTCCTGCATACTCCCTCACACACATAGAACCATTGGCAAAGGTAAAATTTGTTGCTTTGTTATCATCTCAAACTGGAAGCCAGGGTCTCTTTGGTGGATTTTGTCGTCTTCTTAGCAAAGGGATTCATTCATAACTCATGTTCCCTTCTAGCTATACGCGTTCGTTTCAAATACTTGCTCTTTGTATCTTTTTTTTTAATTTCCTGTGAAGAATTGCCAATGCGCAATCGCAAAGTAAATATCATATTTGATATATCTTAGCTGTAGTGCTGCCTTTTGAAAGTAGTAAAATTTTCTACAAAAACATTGAGGAGTTCATAAGGGCTGTCATGTGATTACTACAAAGAGCTAGTAAAGAATTTAATTGTTTAAAACTAACGTTGCAGTGCGTCAATAACCAGTCACAATTTGAGTTCGACGCTGCCTTCAGACGGTTAATTTTGGCATTCGTCGACTGTGTAAAAAGCTAGAGACATTATTCATTTTCTTACAATATACTATCATTTTTTATATAAATTCTCATAAAATTTTAATTAGGTTGTTTTTCAACACTCACAGGCCTAATTGTAGAATTTTCACTGTTTTCTTCATATTTGATATTAAACAAGATTCAATTTTTATTTTTATTTGATTAATTCTATTACTAGGCCCTTAGCCGTTCATCTGTGGATATTTTCTGTAAAATCAAAGAAAGTTTCACTCCTTCACCTACAAATCCACACTTTGTATTCTCACATCACGACCTAGCACGGATAGCCAAAGGCGTCTTTATCTACTCTCCAAAAAGCAGATTGAAAGCTAGAAAAACAGAAAAAGGCTTACTTGATAGAGCACATTCGGGTGTGAACCAGAGCCTTCCAGATCTCAAAACTGCCGATCGAGCAATACAGCCAGACACAAGGTTTGCACTTGTAATTAATATGTTACGTTTCTAACTCACGAAGACTGTCATATCGATATAGATGTGAAACCGTACCCTATCAAGTTTATAAGAAGTGAGATAATGCGATGAAGTGTAATAAAGGTGGCTAACCTAGCTAATTGGTCAACCTATACAGTCATGTGCTCGTGTTTTCTGATTGGCCTATTTCGATCCACAACTGGGTATATATATTTCCTAGCGTAGAGTTTTCGATCTATGTTCTGACGTTTCAAACTCTGTTTTACACGAAAAGCTTTATTTCCTATCGAGTTTATAAGAAGTGAGATAATGCGATAAAATGTAATAAAGATGGCTAACCTAGCTAAAAGTCAATAACAAAGATAGAAAATGACTAATATGATGATGCCTCTGGTTTGTGTTCTAGGTGGCTTCTGGTCACAGTTTGATAATGTTATATTTAGCACAATTTTTTTTTTAAAAACGAGACTTCGACGTGAAGAATGTTGTAGGTGTTTTGATACATTTACATAGCGGGAGTGCTAATTGTTTGAGTATTGCAGTATTTTCAGAGATAACGTATCACGGCTTTAATACTCATTCTTGCGAATTTGAGGACAGGACAAGGAAATAGTAGAGGAGAGAGGGAGAAAGTAAAACAATCGCACAAGGTTTAACGAATGTTAAGTTGCATAATTCTTCAATCCTAGGACCATTAGTAATTTCCATGGAGCTTTTCTCATTGTACTTGAAAATGGGGCTTTCTATAGGGCTTGAAACTTCTTTCGCATGATCTCGTTGGCTCTAACACGTCAAATTTTATTGCAGCCTTTCTCTGAGCAATTTGCCAACACATCTTAGCACAATTGATCGATTTCCAGCCTCTGTCTCGCCGCTGATTCGCACAATCATTCGATTATGGTGTCACGAGGTTTGCCGCTCATTTCAAGACCGAATGGTTGAAAACAAAGATCAAGTTACATTTTCTGCCATCCTCAATAATACAGTTATGGAAAATTTTTGTGGAAATATCGAGATTCGAATGACTGACCCAAATGAACACCAGATCTTATCAAGAGGTATATAGCTTGTAGTAGCTTAGAAAAGTTTAGCAATTCGGCGTGGAAATTATCTCATTAGGTATTGAGATAGGTTACAGTTTGTTTGTTTGTGATCTAATTTTAAATCGAATATCATTTAGGCTACAACACAGTAACTCGTCTAATTCGATTATTTAAAATAGAAAACAGTAATTTGTCATAAGTAATTAAAAATGAATGCTCTAATTGGAAAAGAAAGTTATATTCTTAAGATTGATTCTTTAAGAGCATTTCTTTATAAACATGCTACATCTTCATTACAGAATCGTCAAGCTTAGAAAAAAAGACTGGCAAAAATCGAGTAAAATTCAAAGACATAGAGTCGAGTAAGACAGCTGATTATGCGGGCCCATTGATCACCTTTCAGCATTTGCTCGGTGAAGAAAAAACATTAACAGATATCAAATTCACTAAGCACCTATTTCTATATGGCTCACTTGGGGCTGAAGGTGCTGGTGAACACGACAAGGGCTATGTTGAATGTCAGGATCAGCATGTTGAAGAGGCTCTTAGGAAATCTTTGAGCATCAACATATCATCTGATTCTAAACAGGTGGATTTGGTTCTCTATAAAGATGCAATGCAGCATGCTGTACGGATTAGTAGGATTTTGGTGAGTAGCAGTTTTATTATCAATATGATCCGCGAATTAATGCATCCTTACTGTCATTTCTTCTTTCTTTATTCCTACTTTTTTTGCTGATTGTCAGCGAAACAGTCTAATGTGTCTTAAATAACTAGCTTTGAGAGTTTAGTCTTTTTGCGAAAAGTTATTTGTTTTCTGACATATTTGCTATATTTGTAGATAGCATTTTAAAACTTTGTATTTTTACATTCTCTCAAAGACGACTTTTGTTGCTTACAGGCGCTACCAGGCGGGCATGCTTTACTTGTTTCTGCCAATGGGCATGGGCGGGCAAATATAGCAAGCCTCGTGGCCAAACTCGCAAATATGAAAGTAAGTACTATAAATTTTGCCTAATTACATCATACCATACCATACCATACCATACCATACCATACAATACCATACCATACCATACCATACCATACCATACCGTACCATACCATACCATACCGTACCATACCATACCATACCATACAATACCATACCATACCTTACCATACCATACAATACCATACCATACCATACCATACCATAACATACCATACCATACCATACCATACCATACCATACCATACAATACCATACCATACCATACCATACAATACAATACCATACCATACCAAACCATAACATAACATAACATACCATACCATACCATACCATACCATACCATACCATACCATACAATACCATACCATACCATACCATACAATACCATACCATACCATACCAAACCATACAATACCGTACCATACCATACCATACCATACCATACCAGACCACACCATACCATACCATACAATACCATACCATACCATACCATACAATACCATACCATACCATACCATACCATACCATACCATACCATACCATACCATACCATACCATACCATACCATACCAAACCAAACCATACCATACCAAACCATACCATACCATACCATACCATACCATACCATACCATACCATACCATACCATACCATACCATACCATACCATACCATACCATACCATACCATACCATACCATACCATACCATACCATACCAAACAATGGATAGTGGATGATTCTGAATAATTTTTATCTTTGCTCTTCATTGTTTCGCACTTGTACCTATTAATCAGGAAATCTCCATTTTTAATACAGATGATGACTGTATTGGGGCCTGCCCTTTCCACTCAGAGTCATTTCCGTTCGATTGTGAAAGATGCCTGTTTTGTTGCTGGTCTTCAAGGAAGGCCCATCGTTCTCTTCATTCAAGAAGGACTTTCCAAAGAGGGGATGAAAGACGTTGCATCTTTAATGGTTGAAGGTGATTTTGGGTGTTGTTATTAACCTTATCTGTCGCATTGCTTTAAGTTAGTTCTCGCTTTCTACATCATTTTAGCGGAATTGTTTGCTGTTTAAATTCTATAATGTAGGACTAGTTTCTATTTACCGACTCGAAGTACTGCATCATCTCACTTTGCATTGAATGATTCGTTTCTGTACTTCTTTGCACAAATTAACAACTTAATTAACTCGATTTTCTTGACTTGTCTTGTAATGTAAAATCGATTATTGATCAGTAAGAAAATTGTGCGAGTGATTTTAATTTTCCAGGAACATGCCCAGATTTATATTCGAAGGACGAGCTCACGGCGATTGGCAACCATTTATTACCTGGCGGACAAGTTGGCCAGAGGAGAACCGAAAGCAAAGTAGTTGCACAGGACCGTTTCCTTAGACGTATAATGACAAACCTACATATAATCCTATGCACTTGGCATGGAAGTTTAAGTGATATAGCGGAAGAATATCCCAATATCTTGACTCGTATTGCGTGTGTAGACATATACTGTGAGTGGACTGTCGATATCTTGAAAGAGGTTGCCGAAAGATGGCTGCTATCGAAAGGAAAGAATGAATTCTTCTTCAAGGTTTTGTGGGAAATGGACAACAGAGATCGACAGCTCAGTGCTATTTATACAGCAATGGCACATTTCCATCTCTCTGCACGGAATTCGTTGGATAAGGATTTTAAAGACCTTGGTTTGGACATTTTCTCTCCTCTTAAGTTTATTGAGCTTGTCGAGCTCTTTCGGACACTTTGTAATGCGATTTGTCAGACCAAAGAGGTAGGCCTAAAATATTAATGTATTTACTATTATTGTAATTGTTTCTCATTTTTTAAAGGGTCCTTTCCGAAATATGTTTTCTTGCATGGTAGAAATGTCGGAGAAGGCCATTTTAAAAATTTTATAGGTATGTAGTCACCAACAAGGTGAATAGGACCGTAGATTGCTATGATATAAAACTGATAAGTTTATGCTTTTTATTTTCATACATAGAGTGAAAATTTAAGGTTTTTTATATGGAATTTTGCTATTGAGAACCCTCTCTTTGTGTTATCTTGATTTTTTTCGTTATTAGTCTAAGGGCGATGTCAAAACCCCGTCTTCCATGGGATCATCCCCATTCTGTAAGAGAACAGAATGATTGGGGCGATTTTCTCAGATATTTTAAGAGTTGTAATTCATTTCAGGATTTGTTGGCTCGTCTGACTGCAGCAACGGATAAAATTAAAGAGGCAGAAAGATACGTTGACAATGTAGAGAAAAGTATCAATGATTTGACGCCATTACTAGAAACCGCAAAGTCAGAGCTAAAGACTTCAGAAGATAATGTAAAAGTTGCTACGCAGGAATATCATAATTCAAAGCAGGCATGTGTCGACCAGCAGAAGGAGGTAGAAAACCTTAAGCAGCCAATACAGGTTTTGAGGAAGGAGGCAAAAGAAGAGTTTGGTAAAGTACGTATGATGATACATTGCTTTCCTTTTTACAGTTTTGTAGGAATGACACTGCTGTCTTGCCTAATTGCTAGCAAATGCTTCTAATTGCAGTTCAAATGCGCGAATGCTGCTAAAACCTGTTAATGTTCGAAATAATTTAGATTCACTTCTTGCACTATATTTATGTCTATATCCTTTCGTTTTGAAAAATTTGCGATGCTTAATCTGCGAAATCTACAGGAAGCTCTTGATGAATTTTTGCTTAAAGGTAAGGACACATTTTAGTGGAAGGATTGGGGAGGACGATATTTTAATGGTTGGATTTTATTTGCCCGAGGGATAATGGTTGGATTTTGATGCCATACCCATCAGGTGACTAGAAAATGTATGGCACCCCCATTTTTACAATTTCATGTTTAAATTCAAGATAAAGAAGATAAAAAGACAAGGAAAGTTAAGTTTTGGCGTCAATTGATTACTATTGACTATCGAATCGAAGCAATAAGCTGTGAGAATGATTTGCGTATATGGTGAAGAAAAATTGACTCAAACGAAGCAAATTACATTTTCAAACAATATGCAAATAACTTTAGGCAGAGCAGCAATGGAAAAAAAACCATGAAAAGGAAATAAAAAGTAGATTTTCACACATAACGCTTTTCTATACGTAGCTTACTCCTGTCTACGAGGCTGCTTTGGCTGCTCTGAAGTCACTGGATATTCACGATGTCGAAGAGATGAGGAGCTACAGGGCGCCGCCAGTTGGAGTCAAGTTTGTTGCTGATATGATCTGCCTAATGTTTGAAAAACCAGCTAAGTAAGTCGCTTTGGTGCAATTTTTATGACTGTTTGACAGAGACGTGTAAAGGACGCTGGTAAGAGTGACTCTTATTAATGATCAGGATTCAGGGGGTTGTGCCTGTTAGATGTGACAGTTTCCTTTGAGCAACAACAAGGTCCAAGAATGGTTTAAAGTGGGGCTGATAAATATACGGTGCAAGTAAAAAATATTAACTTAAAGAGACAATTGAATAATGGAATAAGTGCCAAGGAATATTTTTTCTGAATTAAGGGTAAAGTTTTGACTGTTGAAATGGGGTTCATTAGAATAACAATTTTCTCAAAATGCTGTTGAAAGTAAAGGCTCTCCTTCCAATAAGCTATCTTCAGAAACTATGTTTTGTAAGTGACTTTCTTTCTTCGTGAATTTTATTTCTTACATTATAAGAACTTGACAATTGAGTCTACAAACGAGTATAACAACATTTATCGCTTCCTTGCAGCTGGGAAGACGCAAAGCTATTGCTTATCCGAGAGAACTTTTTCCAAGACCTTGTTTTCTACGATAAAGACAAAATATCTGATGATCTCTTCAGGAAACTTGAGAAATTTAGCCAATCTGCAGAATCGTCACCAGAGTTTTTATTGGATATAAGTAAAGCTGCAAGCTCCCTTTCGGTTTGGATTCGAGCTGTGTATAATTATTGTAATGTACTGCACACATTCAAGCCAAAACAAGAGGAAATGAAAGAGGCTGAGAAGCGACTTAACCAGGTGAGCTTCGTCGCCATCTTTTCAGCCTCGTTAATTTTTTATCATGTTCTTGAATGGACAGTTCGATTGTTTTTAATTGATACTTAGCATCTATCTTCAAATGACAAAAAGATTTCGATCAGTTTTACTCGTTAAACGCAGAATAGACTTCTTTTTACATGGACAGTAAAATTTGTCACAAAAAAGTGTTTGAAGAAATAATCCACCACAAATAATCGTATTGCACAAAGTTGTAAAAGGGTATTTAATACCATGGAGCCCCAATCATTTTGTTACTCATAATATTTTGAATGCAATTATGATGAGTAAGAATGGGCTACAACTTCGATTATTTACAATATTTGTTCACAAATTAAAAGCTGCAAAATAAACGTAAACCCAGCACTGGAAATTAATAGGGAAAGAAATTAATTTTCCTTTCACTTTATATTGCCGTGGCTCAAATAATATTCAGTTAAAATTTGGCTTTATTTCAAAATAAAGCCAAGTTTTTGGACTAATTTTCACAAATTGTTAATACTCAGATTCAAGGCCATGTTTCTTATTGTTGTCTCTTCTAGGCAAAGGCTCTGCTTGGTGAAAAGCGTGTTTACTCTCATAAAATGAAAGCAGCTCTTGAAGATTCTATAGAGGTGTTTAAAGATAAGATGAAAGAAACAAAGAGTTTGGAAAAGCAGCTACAGGTAAGAGGTTCTTTGTTTGTGAAACCTCCTTGTAGTTTTTCCAACGCATTTGGAAGGATGTTAGTTAAGTGAAAGGAATTTTTTTTACTTTACTATAGATATTCAAAAACATCTTTGCTTTTTCAGACACTGAAACGTGGAAAGAAAAAAGCTGACAATCTTCTCGAAATCATGGGTATATACACAAAGCATTGGAATGAGAGGATATCAGATTTGAAGAAGAAGCTTCGCACTGCAGCTGGAGATGCATTGCTAACAGCAGCTACTGTCTGCTACCTTAGTGCTTTTGGAGACGAGGTCCGAAATAGATTAAAGAACGAGTGGGTTGATTTTTGCGCGAAGGGTATTAGGACTCTGGATGGACAGGTGCAGATTCCCTTGGACCAAGAATTTTCAGTTGCTGATATTCTAAGTAGTGAAGATGAGCTGATTGAATGGAGAAGGAAAGGGATTCCCAGTGATATTGCCGTTATCACAAATGCACTTTGTACTAGGACATGTAGCCTGGCTGCCAAAAAATGCTGGCCTCTCTTGATAGATCCTCAAGAGCAGGCTCCCTTCTTAATACGGAGCATAGAAGAAGGATTGTCTGGAGAATGGGATAAATCAGGTAACTCAAATTTTTTCTCGAGCTTATGTAGGAGATTATGCAGAGTTCTTCTCGTGATTGCTTTGCAGTACAGCAATTGAAATAATAACAAAGTGGAAGAGGTTGATCTTGTTTTTTTCGCAGTTTTTAGAAAGTATCTTGCTTCAACTAATTTTTAATACAGATTTTTATACAATATTTCTATGGTTTTAGATTGTAGTAATTCTTGTCGTTATTGCCCTTTTCAAGTCTTTTCCTTTAGAATCTAGCCATTTTATTACAACTTAGAGTTTTCTCCGTAGACCCTACATCCACAGAAAAGAATTATGATTTAAAAGGGACAGTAACGGATGTGTTGGTGAAAAAATCTTTTGTGCAAGGTGACCTACAAAATGAAAGTCCACCAAGACCAAATACTAAAGGCAATATCTTGGAATCTAGCATTATGTCAGAGAATCTTCTTTCTCACGAAAGAGAAAGAGGAAGACTTTCTATATTTTCTAGTAGGTGGTTTTGTAATCTCTTAATTTGTAAAATTTCATTATATGTAGTTCAATGTTTAGCAAGTTCAGAAACTACGTTGGAACTATTTTTATTCAGGTGCGCAATGTCCCTTTCTAATCCAAGTGAAACCCCGTCGTTTATAAAGATGCCCAGGCCATAGATAATTTGATAGATCAAAAATGCAGTGTAGTTTTTGGTTTTCTTCTTTGTCTTCGTAAGGTTAAATATTACATTCCCAAACAAAGCTACCTGGTGGAATCGATATCGGGAAAGCACGAATGTTCCAAAACATGTTTCAATACTAGTTTGTCTGCATTACTTAGTCTGTTGATGTGTCTGTATTTTCAATAGCTACTGATGACGTCGAGTCTGGCACCCCAAAAATAACGGACCAATCAGAATCAAGAGCAAGTTCACAAAGACCAATCAGCTCTTTTTCCGCTATTACAAACGAATCTGCATTTCTCAACAAATTCTACACAAAGGTACTTTCAAATATACAGTTTGAATAATAGCAGAGCCGTCTCTAGCATATCAAAGCTGTTGCTCCTTTTGGGAGACCCGTGCCTCTGATCCCTCTAGAGTTCTCTGAAATATACTCTTGGCAACGGGCCTATTGGTTTCTTTGCACATTTTGCAATAGGCTGGTAGCACAAGATGTTTAAAGAAATGAATGTTGATGCAGACGAAAGTTCCAAATTGGCGTGAAAAATTAAGTTAACTTGGTAGTTAGGGATAAAAAAGAAACTTTACAGTGAAAAGTTATAGAGATATTGCGAAACATTTATACATATGGATGATAAAATTAAAGCACCCAGGGCTCACTTGGGAGGTATGAGCTGTAGAGAGTTATCATAATATGAATTTATGCCTATTCGTTTACAAGCCGGGGCAAACTATTTGTCAATTCAGCAATTTTGTTTTTTATTTGAAACTTTGAAGAAAATTTAGTATTTTTGTTCAAGAACCTATCAAGATTAAAATACTCTAAGTCGAGTTTAACTTGATAATCACGCTGGTGATTTTTTAGACTGGTCTCAAGGAAGTTACTGACATACGTCCGCCTTCGCCGCTCGTGGAGTTAACTGAAAATACATTAATCATTGTTGATGCAGATGCAGCAGATTTAGGTATGCTTTCTGTAGCTGTTTTTTACAGCTCATTGGTTGATAATAGCTAGACCAAATGCTTTAGCTTCTTTGAGAATTTTGTTTGTTTATTATGCCGATGTGGTTTCCTTCCAGCCTTTTTAGCTAGGAAGTCAGTTAATAGCTCTTCAAAAGATTTTTGGTATGCGCTTTGCAGTAAATCTTCACACCAATCTTTAATAAGAATGAATTTTCTTCCAGAAATTACAAAATGGATAAACTGGGCTGTACTCTTACGTCAACCAGCTTTTATTTTCTATTTCTAGACCAGATGTTGAAAGCTGCTGTTGCAAAAGGCATACCAGTGTTAATAAATCACATAGAGAGGGGTGTAAAAAATACATTCCTCGCCTCAATTCTTAGTAGAACATTTTCAACTGCAGAAGGTGATGATATTTACATTCGTCACGAGAGCGCGAGACTTCAGTGCCATCCTAATTTCAGGCTATATCTCAGCGCAGCTGTAACCATGGACTTCAATAAATGCAATAGATTCATACTGCCACTGCATAAAGCGTTGGTGATTGATTTGACCATGAGCAAAGAAGGCCTGGAAAACAGATTCACTTCATTAACTTTACAGTCTGAAAAGCCTGAACTCGAAAGCCAAAGGCGATCATTGCGTTTTGACTTGTTTTACCTTCGACAAGAAAAAAGGAGAATACAGGTAATGAATAAATTATTAGAAGGCAGAAACAGGACTTTTGGGAATATAGCTATTGAATATTGAATTAACTGAAATGAAAGTATTTGTCTGCTTCCTTGTGTCTGAGAATTTTATGGACTCATCTTAACGAGAAAGAAAACTTTGTCTTGTGGTGAAACAATATAACTTTAATCGGTTCTTGTCAGCATATTTTCTGTATTTAGTTTGTTACGTATTTTCACCTTATTTTAATCTTTTCTTTCAGGAGTCCATTTTAGACAGAGTTTGCAACATTTCCGGGGAAATTTTGGAAGAAACGTCACTTCTTGATGCTGTAGTCGAAAGCCGAAAGCAACTCACGGTTACAGAAGAACGTCTTGACGAAGGACTGGTGAATATTCCTTGCTTAAACATTTACTTGTAAATCAATTTTATTCCCAAGAAGCAACGTACACCAGACGTCGGTTGCAACGTGTGTTTTCTAACTTAAACATTTTTATTTTTTCAAATCGCCCTCAGATAAAGCTTTTTTCTCAGATTAGAAAAAAATTTCTTGGATTGGAAATTTTGCTAATAGATTTGAAAATTTTAAGGCTAAAAGTTACCGTCAAATGAAACGTTTTTGCTTTCAATGTCTTTTCTTCATCTGCAATCTCTATCTTTTTCAACACATAGATTTTCCAAAGTGAGTTGGAAGCAAGGCGCCAAGATTACTACCAAGTTGCTTTTCATGCTTCGATGCTGCATAGGGTGATCTCAATGATTGGGCAATTGGAACCATTTTATCGGATGCCGTTGTTTTTCTTTGATGAACAATTAAGAAGAACGCTGGAGGAGGCAAAGAGAAGAAAAGCCGAATCGGGATCGATCAGTGCAAGGGCAGCTGAGATTAATGCCAAATTTACTTTGGATCTTTACAAGCGTGTTTGCCTTAATGTTTTTAAAGGTAACCTGCCTTTTTTAGAGGTCATTTTTAAGTGCTTAATGTTGCAGGGCAAGAAAAACTTTATATACGTGGCATTAACTGCAGACTGTTAAAATTTGTTTTACTTTTTGTTTACTTCTTCATTATAATTTGGTATAAAGATATATGTCGTATTGATATAAAGAATTTCATTATACAGTTGCAAGTCTGAGGGTAAAGCTTTATGAATTTAAACAGCCGTAAAATCACATTAATATTATAAAAATTTTGCCTGATTTCTAATCGATTAGATTACTTGACTTGGTTAATATCCATGCTCTACTTATCTTTTGTATGCCTTTTTTCAGAGCATGTGCCATTTTTTCCACTACTAACAATTTTGGAAGGACATCTAAAAGATGGAAAGATTACAATTACGCATTATAAAGTGTTATTGAAATTATGTTCAATTGAAAATGAAGTACTTTCATTACCAGACTCAGACTGGATAGATAATGATGTAAGTAGGTTCTACTAAGTAAATAAAGATTACGCTATATTATCCTTTCAAAAATTTTCGTTCAAATGTTAGGTGTAAAATGTTCCTAAATTGTCATTTTAGCTCTATGTTGCAGTTATTTATTGTCAACTTAAGTTAAAAATATTGATCTTTTATTGTTGATTTAGAATTGCTTTTTTATATTCTCATAAAATCTTTACAAAACATACAAAAGTTTACCAGACGATACCACGGGAAGCAAGGGAATACATAGCAACCCTGTGGTATTTGTTTTGCTTATTCATAACGCTTAGCCTTCAACTCAGATTTATGTCCATGCCGCATCTATTTTGCAGCTCAGACACCGATTGACCTATATTGAGGAGATTGAAGAGTTCGATGGTATCCTTAAATCGTTTGAGAAGCACCAGAGCCAGTGGAGAGAGTACTTCAGTGTATGCTGTTCAAATTTAGTGACAATGAAAATTTCTTTTTTGAATCTCTTCTTGAAATCAAATCTAGTTTATGATAAAAAACACAAACAGCTGTGTTTGCTTACTTCAGTTAGCCCTTATTGCCTCAAGTAAGTTAATTAGCAACGTTATTGCTTGAAGTTGCGTTTCTATGCCTATGGTTTTTCATATTTGCCATCTTCATTTATTTCGAATACCCAATACTGTTAGCAATAAGCAAAAGTTTTTTACTTGTTTGACGACTTTCCTCGTGCTACATTTCAGATGTCTCCCAATCTGATTTGCTCTTGCCCATGTGGATATGAAAATCTTAGTCTGTTTTCCAAAGCATTGCTCTGGCTTGCCGTATTACCGTCAAAGGTAACTATATGATATTCGTACCGTATACTACCGTGGAATTTTGATTTCTCTTTATTGAATTCAAAGTCAACCGCAGAAAAGCAATCTTAAATCTTTTGGAACCCAGTATTGTCTCTGTCTAGATTCAGCATACCTATTTTTTATGATGCTAGGATTTATAGACTTGTAGCAAAGCCCACCTGTCTTTGTTATCCTTTTTCATCTCCCATTTATCAATTGCAAGGTGAGTGTAAGGAATTAATATTTATGAATAGTTTTTTGGCGGTACAGAATTTGAAAATGGCTTTGAAAAAAGCAAATATTTTACAACATATTTGGCTAAAAGTTTTTCGTCTGACACTCCGCTGAGCATAAATCGTCAGAATAAGGTTCCGAAAGAGCACGATGAAAAATATATACCCAGTTGTGGATCGAAATAGGCCAATCAGAAAAACGCACGCATGACCGGATTTTGACGTTTTATGCTTTGAGGAGTGTCAGACGAAAAAGCTTTTAGCCAATATGTTGTAAAATGTTTGCTTTTTTCGAAGCCATCAATATTTACATTTAAACGTAGCAAAGTGGGTAAAAGAAAATCATAATACTTTTCTAAGATTTTCTGAAAATATTTACTGATAGGTTTTTTGAATGTTTCGACACAGTTCACCAAATTTTACCCTTAGCATTTTGTTCTATGGAAGGTTGCGTTTAAAAACTTTCCCAAACTGATTTTTGTTATTTTACATTACAAAGCTCTCTTTCTGCTTTGTTTTCCTTTTTGATGTTTTCTTTGCTTTATTTATCTCAAGTTTTTGAATCAGTTATTTTCTATCATGAATCTATAGAGAAATATTATATTATATTCCCTTTTAGCGAGCAGAAGTTTTTCAGAATCTTATTCTCAACATCCTTGGTCCTCCTTTTACTGAAGTAATCAGCCGAAACATTGCAGACGTTGTTGAAGAATCTTTGCCAAGTACACCTTTAGTGGTTCTTTTACCTCAACGACGAGGTAACATCCTCGAAGAAGGTAGGAAAACTGAGGCTATAGTTTAGGCTTTGCTTAAGTCACAATGTGTTTTGCAGCTCTTCAGTCTACTAACATTTATCATTTCTAGCAAACAATTTATAATCATGCAAGCAATAGACCCAAAATTCAGTAAAACTTCTTCAAAATGGACACCTTTGTCACTTAAGTGACTGTCCGGCATAAAGAGTTGTCTATTGTCTTCTCGTATTTAAAAAAGACCTTAAACGCAGAAATTTTCATCAGGAAAAAAGTTCTGTTTCTTAGTTGTCAGTTGCTGAGAGCCTTCTGTTAATTAGTTTTCCTGCGTGTATCTATCCAGATAGTAGATTCATTATTTTTCCAACATGTTGAGTCTCTTTTAATCTAAAGTGCGGGTGGTCTTTGTCCGATCTTTTATGTTTGTCGTTAATAGTAACTACATGGGAAAATGCTTACTCTTTACTTGGCTTGCAGATGCTACCTTGACGATTGAGAATCTTGGAAAATCGCTAAATGTGCAAGTAATAACAATCAGTTTTGGAGTGCCAAGTCAATTGGTTGAGGCCGTGAGAGTGTTGAGGGATGTGAAAGGGACCTCAAGGAAGTGGCTTATTTTGGAAAATTGCCATCTTGTTAAGGCCTGGAGTCGAGAATTCCTAAGATTGATTGAGGTAAGAAACAGTGCAAAAATTCGCCATCATGAGCCTATAAAAATTTTGGCAAAGCTATTTGAAAGACAGATACTTGCTTAACCATTTCAGTTAAACGATGAGATGCAAATTTTAAACCGACATTGCCTAGCTGAATTATCTACTTTGGTCTCGGGGGGGGGGAGGGGGGTGGGAACCTTAATAGGTTTGAGGTACGGGGATGTGCTGTTGTTTAGGGGTACCTTTTTCTGAAAAGTGCAGAATTATGGGTATCACTTTTTAAAATTTGTGCGGAATTATGGGTACCGTTTGAAGAAACATGCAGAGTTATGGATACCATTTTGGGATATTGTTGCAAAATTATTAGAAAGGGTAATTTAGCATAAAGAAAATAAATGTCCAGTTAGTAATGCAAGTGTGAAATATGTGTAATATTGAGATTTTAGGGGGTGGGGGAAGGACATTAGAAATTTGTTTGATGATTTTGCTGTGTTATAAAAAATTGTTATTTGCCTTGCGGAATTATGGGTATAGTTTTCATCATGTTTGCCGAATTATGGGTCACATTTTTTCAGAAATATGTGGAATTATGGGTCGAAATTTTGAACAAAAATTGCACTTCTTCGTCCATAACAAGGCTTAGTAACCCCCCCCCCCCCGAGACTTTAAGATGTTCTACACAAGAAAGACATCTACACCAAAGACCACAAATGTGTTGTGCTACTTGCCTATCTACAATTTAAAGCTGGTACTCATTCTTTGGAAAATTTTCAATTATGTAAAAAAAATACTTCTTTTAGAAACCTTTTGAAAGTAATTCTGAGAGCTTTTACTGAATCAAAATTCTAAATATCAAAATATCTCTATTCCTTAGCCGGTCTATTCCTTACGTGTCTATTTTGTACTTAAACTTAGGAAATAACTGAAAATGATGGCACCAATCAACACGATTCGAGACATTCTACTGGTCAAAGAAGATTATTCCGGCTTTGGTTCATCTTCAAATGCACAGCTGATTTTAAAATACCAGTGGCAATTTCCAAGAAAGGACTGCTAATTGCTTGGGATGAGAAGATATATGGCCATACGAAAGGAAACAATAACTTCAAGGTATTATTTGTTTTCTTTAAATGATATCAATCTTAGAAACAAATTCAATTAAACTCGATCATACCAAAACGCTGGGAATTTTCTACCTGTCGTTAGCTTGCTTTGACCTCTCAATGTGTGAAAATGACTGGCGGAGTAGCAATGACTGCTAGCTATGTAGAGATGTTAGATTACTCTAAAGTCTACTAAAAAGAATGTAGAATTACTATTTTTAAATAATATGGCTTACGCTAATTCATACTTAAGACGGATGGTCGAAATAAGAAATCGCATCCTGAAAATTGAAGCTTTTTTTTATATTTGTTTCTCATGTAATACTGTTTCATATCCTTTCTTTTTGTCTTTCCTAAAAGTTTCAAGCCAAAACCAACCAACAGTTGAATGCATCGATCCACGAAAGTGGTTTCAGAGATGAGCAACACGATGAAGAACAGGATGGTGGAAATAATACGTTTTTCGGGTACTTATGTCGCCTTTTCTGTAGCTTTTTATTTGAGTTGCAACCTATTGTTAGTTTTGCCAAACAAACTTGCAGATTTGCTTTGTTTAGTTGGGTTTTGCCCTTGAACCTTGGCAGCCTCTGAACAGTTTATAAAAGGCTCATGAAAGGGGCTTCAATTCCATATTATTATACTGTTTTACTGTTTTATAGATTCACTGCCTATCGAAAATTCCGAAACGAGATGATGAAACACTTAAAAGACAGGAATGCAGTTACCGACCACAAAAGCTTTGCGAAAACATTCGCTGCTCACATCAGCAACCAAGCACCGCATTTCCCTGTGGTTTCTGAGTCCAAAAGTGAAGTCATTTCATCTATAATAAATGTGATTGCACAATCTGAAAGGTAAAAATTTGCATTTTGTTTATACACTTAGATGTTGTTTTTGCTGTTTTGGACGGTAATGAAGAAATACCGTGCAATCCTTGAGAAAAACTAGGATCTCTATCTGTGGTGAGGATAAGTAGGTAAAGAATAGGGCTGAGAGCTATAGTATGCACTCATTTTTTTATAAGAAACTGGCTATAAGAAACGAGTACTGGACAGTCAGAAAAAATTAAGAAACTTCAGTACTCGAAGCAATAAAAATTAAGAAACTATTAAATCATGAAAAAACTGAGAACAACGAAATTTTGTAAAATCCAAGAACATGTTGGCCTAGAATTTAGACACAAGGGATAAAAATATACTTTCCACATCTAAATACAGCATCAGAACGTAAGCGAATCTCTTGACGTGATAGAAAGGTCACGAACATTTCATAACATGATTTATGACATCATAATTAAGAAACTCCTAAAAACAATGAGTATTGAAATTTCCAGAACATTAAGAAACTGGAGTACTCAACATCGACCTTTGTTTCGTATAAAAAATGAGTGTAAGCTGTTCTCGAAGTTTTCAAAACCTTCCTTTAGTGTTTCTTTTGTTTAAGGGGCTCATAACTGATATCTGGCAATTTGACTTTAGCCGATCTAGTTTTTTATCCCATTTCATCTGAAAATACTAAAAAGGTACACTACACGCTTTGATATTCTTTTCAAAAATTAAAATTTATCTGTTTTTAAAGTATTCTCTTGGATTTTCGATTTCGATTTTGTTGCATGTTAGCATTGAGTCTCTTTTAGAGAGTTCGAGAGAGGCTCAAAATCTCTTATGATGTACAGTCAATCAGGGCATGACAACAACGATGGTTGTGGATTTGAACAAAACGACAGCAGAGATGTATTAAAACAGCTACAAAGTATTCACGAGGCATTGGCGAAGAAAACAACTTCACGTTTGTCTAAGGCAGTTTACCAGTTTTTTCACCGAGAAATCAAGACGATGAAAGAGTTCTGCGAAAAGGTTATGGAATTTCTTGGTAAATCACAAACGTCGACGAAAAAAGGTGCGATTTTTCAATTGCAATTGTGTTATGCTGACTTAAAAAGAAATATGTAATATTAAATAGTGTAAGCAATCATTGGTCTTGAGATATTGGCTTTACTTGCCCTGTATTGTATACTATCAATAATTATTTGGGCTGGAAACTATTCTTTGTCCTTCAAAACATCACACAGTACCATGAACTCTATCCAAATTATTAACGAAAGCTACTTTTTTCCAATTTTTTGTCACTTTTATCCAGTCTTCAGTCTTCAACTTTACTTTACAGGTGCCTCTAGAACAAAAATATGTGTCTTGGAAAAGCAACTGAGGGAGTATAAGCCAATTCTGAATTTATTGCCATACAAAGAGTGGCAAGAATGGGTCACAGGCCTGGGTGCAATCGCCAATGCATTGTTGAGTTACATAAGACCGAAATCTCGGCAGCCTTTGGGATTTGATGTAAATATGATACCGCATCTTAAAGGGTTTTTTGCTAGTGTAATGGAAAATTTTTGCCACGACAATTTTGCAGAAGTTGGAGAAATACATTGGGAAGGAAAGGTAAGCTGAAAATACTATCAATGACGTCATCAATTAGAACCTGATTCTGAAAGAAGCTTTCATCTGTCGTAATATATCTGGTTCTAAACGCTGCAAATTTTCTGTGTTTAGCTAAGATGATCATCGGTATCGTGTTAGCTAAAATATCACGGTTTCGCTTTGCTGAAAAACTTGAATTTGAATGAAAGCATTCCACGCCTAAAGGAAATGTTTTCTTTGCGGATAGATGACCTTTGCGTATTTTTTTTAAATTGATAGATTGATCCTTTTAAATTGACCCTTTTTTAAAAAGAAATACAGGCTCACGTGCTTGGTAAGGAATTCTCGGCAGCATTTACAGAAGAGCGGTGCAAACTAAAGTAAATCTGATTGTGATCGTATGACCAATCAAGATTTAGCATTTCGTTTTGGTACTAAATGAAAAGTGATATTATTGGACTTCTGGGACTCGGTTTTCTAACAGTCATGTAAAAACATTATTTTGTAATTGATCGACGACATAACGCAGCACAATCGCAACCACCCTTACGGATCTTCCGATTTAACAAGCTATCTTAACTGCCAAAGTCAAATTTTTTATTAACTTAAATGTGGTTTACACAAACATTTTTGAAAAAATGATGTTTTCCTTTTTTGTAGGTACTTCAAGAAAGCGATGAGCTATTGCCACCAATTAAAGGCGTGTACTTGAAAAGTCTGGAGTTGCGAAATGCCGATTGGAAATTTGATACGAAGGAGCTTATTGCTGCAAACAAGACAAATAAAGTCTACATCCTGCATGTGGTACCGAAAGAAAGGAGCTCCAGTGTAGAAAGCGTTGACATTCCAATCACATCCGTATTTTCAAGCGCTCAAACTAACATAATAAGTGTAAATATCAATTCGAGCTTGAACCAGGATTTCGTAAGTAGGAATTCGGTTTGTTTTGTGAATAAGTTTTGATTATATTTATCTTTTTAGTCTGACTTGTGTAAATAACAATGCTTGTTGTAAGGATTGTGTGTTGATTGCGTAATTTTTCCAGCAAGAGCAGGGCCTGCAACAAAATAAAAATTGTAAAATAGTTGTTTTAATATGCCTATGAGCGAAATTATTCATCAGAGGGTGCCTTCTTTGTCGAAAAGGAAACATGTCACTTCAGTTAATTTATTTTGCACCGCCTAAAGAACCTTTCGAAGTAAGTGACTTATTAAGCACGCACAAAAGAGATGACGTTCAACCAGTCATTTTGCTTGGACCCAGCAATGAATTACTTTCTGTTTTAATAAATTTATTTGTATTTTTTCCTGTCATCTGTCTGTGGGGCTGTATTGAAATCCGGATATGATTGTATCGAATAAAGTCTATAGGTCATGTCAGTAAGAGTATGTATTCTAAAAATGCTTGTACTTCATTCTTGTAGAACCATTAAACGAAATCATCTTGATGTGGAATTAGGTTGGGGCTAGAAAATTTTGTAACAGAAATTGCTCACAAGCTTAAAATATGTAGCAAAACTTATAATTTTTATATAATCAGAATGTGTGATTTTGAGGTCAGAAGATTCTTGGTCAGGACGTGAAATTTTTGAGGTTATAGTTTTGAGGTTATATAGTTTCCATTATAGGTATTAGAATGCAGCTAAGCAAACCTTTTTACTGGAAATTATCTCTGATCAGGTAATTTTCATTCTAATTAAAAAAACTATTTGAAATACCCAGGTTAGAAAGGCAGGAAAGGTGAGCTATGTGGTGTTCTGGGAATGTTTGAAAATCCTTTTTTGTCATCAAGCCTAGGCCCTCATGACTAGCTTTTTCGTTACCGAACTGTTGACAAAACGAATAAAAAATATGTAGACAAAAACGACTTTAGAATTTACTTTTGAGAAAATTTAGTGTTATTCTAGATAACTAAATCGACATCAAAAGGTTGGATGCAGCATTAAAAATCAAATATAATGTTGATATCTTTTTCAATATAATTTTTCATTATTGCTTTTTTAGAAAACGTTTATCATGAAAAGGATTCCTAAAACGTTGTTTAGAGTTTTAAAACATAAATGAAATAGTATTGCAGTCTGTTTTATATGTTATAAATAAACTGTCAATTTGCGAGTGTTCGGTTTTTGATAAAAGACTTGACAAAATGCCTACTTATTGAAAAATTTTCATGAAAAATAGACCACCTTTGATGCTAACAGATATGAAACAAGAATGGTATTTTTGTATCTTGTGTAGGAATGATAATGTATTATGAGGTCGAAGTTTGGTGTTTTAGTTTTTATGGAGAGGTCAGAATCATGGTAAGAAAACTTCAACACAAATTGATAAGAGAATACCAAAAGGAGAGATTTCGTTCTTCGCTTGTCTTCAGTATCAAAGAACTTTTGAGAATCTCATTCTATAATGGCTTTGATAAATAGACCTTCCTCGGGATTCTGCGAACACACACTGTTTTACCAATAGCAATTCCACGTTAGGAGCCAATCGATAGTGTTCATCAAGGCTCAGCACCGTTGACTATTATACTTTATATTTAATATTAAGGATGAATCGCAGCAAAACAGCAAACGATAAATATAATTGAGAATAATTGTCATTAATTCATTTATATTGATATAATCTACTATTTGACAAACTAAAAATCAATATATCTTAAAATAACGCTTATTGACAAGCGTGCAACGAAAATACCAATTAATTACAGTCTAAAAGTTTAGATCCAATTAGTCATATTCAACCAACAAACTAAGTTGGATGAGAACTGATGTATTTTTTCTGAGTTGTAGAATATGATTCGAGCATTTAGCAAAACAAAATACTTCTATTTACCGAAAAGGGCCTTTAATTAACATAAAAGAAGGAAATGATGATTTCAGAGTAGCAATGATTATAGAACTGGAAAGTGCTCGGTTTTCGTGCTTAGTTCTATTGTTCAGAAAGCTAAAGCAAGAAAAATCTTTTGTTAAATTTTGCGAGCATGCATAAAAGAAAGTCTTATGATAGGCTTTTAACTGACATTTTATATCTATGTCGACTCATAAAAGTTCTGTCGTAAAGAATTCACTCTGCTCACCGCTAAAAGCTTGTGTTGACCAGCACCATGAACATACTGAAACTCCCAACCATTATGAATAAGAGGAACTTGATCCATCTTGTTTCAACCAATCGTTGCGATAAATAGTTGGCTCGTATTGGCATCAAAACCCAAACAGCTGAATACGGTTATTTCTGAAATCAGCTTCTGCAACTCGACCATCTGAAAGAACAGCAAGTCCATGTGGGTCGTTGAGTTCCCCTTCTCTCTCCCCTTTGGAGCCAAATTTCATTAGAAATTCACCCGAAGGCGCAAATACTTGAATTCTATGGTTGTCTCTATCAGCAATTATCAGTCGGCCTTTTTGGTCCACTGCAATTCCCGTTGGTCTTTGCAATTCACCATCTTTTTCGCCTTTTCTGCCATAACTCATCCGAAAAATCCCCTCACCGTCGTACACCTATAACAAAACTCTACTCTAGCAAAGCAGACGAGAAACGCTTGAGGAATTTAAATCTAGCCACCTATAACAAATCTGTTAAATAATGCAAAATTTCTGTTTTACGAATTTGGCATATCCAAAACGGATCCTTACACTAATTTAGCAGGAATTGGTTCGTCTCAACTATAAAGGGTATAAATGGCTTCCCTTGGAAACTAGAAGACTTCTTTTCATCATCTTTTTTCAAGTTAGGGCAAGATAGCTCTTTCCTTTCCATATTTAGTTCCAACAATGTAAAAGAAATCACACAATGACAACAGTGAGCTACATGCAATTTTTTTACTCCAATTCCTCTCCCTACTCCCCAGTGCCCAAACAAAGAAATTAATTTTTTTCCATACCGTCGTAGAGCACGTTTGATTTTCGAAAATGTGAATTCTAATAATCTAATGATGATTACAGACGTTTGATTAAAATGATTTGGCATTCCGACCAGCATGTCAAGAAGCTTCCTCTTCTTTTAAGAAATGTGAAATTTCACAGACAAAATTTATTATGTGAAAACATCTGTTTTATAAAGTTTTATATTTCATATTTCTGATTAAAAACCAAAAATAGGCAGCTCACCTGGATTTTGCTGTTATGCATGTCTGATACAAATATATGACCATCCTTGTTTGTTGTGACATAACACGGGTACTGAAGCTCACCAGGCCCGTATCCAAAAGCACCAAATTTTGACCAACGTTCTAAAAGTGAAAAGGGGGTTGATAGTAATAGGGTTCTTAAACGAATTAGCATTTCACTATCAATATGATCTGAAGTATAAACAGTTTAAAAACAAAACAATGCATGTGGTACTTATCACTTGAATCCTACCAGACGTACGGCACTTTAAGGGTAACTGTTTTATCTAAAGGTATTCAGGCCCAGAATCATCCAATTTTTAAGAATGTTATAATGAAATTGCTTAGCCTTTAGCTCGCATATTTATATCTCATCGTTTAGCAGTAGCCTGTTTTGCGATTTTCATAGCAATGCCTTACTGACATGTCTCATTTTTTAAAAAAATGTGGTTAAACACAGGCTGGACAAAATTCGTAGTGTGTTTTAACAAAATAAGTGTAGAAACAGCCTGCTTTTATTGGAAGGAAAACAGTCCTATTCCTTTGACACTAGATGGAGCAAACTACAACAAAAATGTTGGTAATTGCCTGAAGTGAAAGATGTAATCTTGAGAAACTGTGCTAATAGGTAGGTAGAATTTTTTCAAAATAAACCATAACTTTAGTTATCACTTATAGCCCAATTATAATATATAATTAAATGCCTGGAAATGATTTTTTCTCTTGCGCCGTTGCCGGTTGAAGTCAGATAGCAAGCTGGCTGTTCAATTTAGCTTTTCAGAGACAGATAAAGAGCTTTTGATCAACGAACAAACCCTTACACACATTAAGAGTGCAGTGCAAAGCATCTTTAAGACAGTGACTTGACTGTTATTAATTCTATTTCCCTATATGGAGTTTAAATAAGGACGCTTTTAACGCTTTATTAACTCGTTCTTCGTACCTAAAATCGGATCCAGTATATAAATGCAACAGTTTGTGTAGTCAGCTATTATTATCCTTCCGCTAAAGTCGACTGTCAGTGCCGAGGCTTTCAGTTCATTGAGCAGGTATCGTCTTTGAAATGTTCCATCGTTTCCAAATACCTTGAAGGAATTAAAGTTTGATAGTTGCAAATGCAAATTCACATTAGGTCTGACAGATCTAAACAACCTACTTAAGAATTAAACGGTCACTCATGAGCTTTTTATCTTAGAGTTAAGGATAGATAAGTTTGAGAAGAGTAATACGATGCCTGATAACATTATCGTTAAAATGGATTTTGATGTTGAATTGAATCATACAGTTTGTGGTTGAATTGAAACAACTCAGTTAATATTCTTGAAGCCCAAGAAAATCATAGAATCAATGCCATTTCAAAAATATTGAGAAGGAACAGAATAAGTCTTTGATTGGAATTTTGTACCCCTTTCTTATTTATGAAAGTTTTAACGACCACATTTGCATACAATTCTACAGTTCCAATGAATTTGATAGGTTGCATACCTGTATACGCCCTTTGAGTCTCTCGCATACAATTATCTCTCCACCAGGGCCAACACCTATGCCAGTCGGGCTCTGAAACTGACCATCCGCCATTCCTCTTTCGCCAAAAAGAAACAGGAAATTCCCTTGCTCGTCAAAAACTTGCACTCTGTGGTTGTTGTAATCTGTTGCTAGGATACGCCGTTGGCGCACATCAACCGCTACAGCAAATACGCCATTAAATTCTCCAAAATTTTGCCCTTTTCTGCCAATCGACTTCACATATAACCGAGGTTCTACGTGATTTATAGGAATACTTGTGTGTTGCTCGTAAGAGTTCTCTGGTCGTGAATAGTTCGGTATCTTAATCGGTGAATGCTTGCTTATAGCGTTAGTACTATCACTTAATGCATTTATGATGAATGGACTTCCAGGTATATGCTGGTTATTGTATCGTATAGTAAGCTGTAAAGGAAAAATAACATAGCTTCACTATATGTCACAGCAACTAAATCTACCTGCTCGTAAGTTTGAATTAACACTAGCAATACTGATTATGCCGCTTTATACAGAAAGACCTGCAGTCAATTTTTTTTGCTCATTCTCAGATATGCAGTCCTAAAGATAGCAATTTACCCATTTCAACGTAAGCTGTAAACCTCTCAGTTTCAAGATATCAAATCATTTAAAACACAGGTCCCTCCCTTTATTTCCTTCTCGCAAAAACGCATATAGCTTTATATCTCAATAACATATTAACCAATGCAAACGATTAAAAGTTTTAGTTTAGTCATTTCACCTGATGTTGCCCGACGGAATATGTTCTGTAGGACATTGAAAATGTCCCGTCTGACTTTTCTTTTATCTGAAAATAAGATATTTGATGCATCTCATACCAATTGTTATTCACATTCTATGGACATCTTACCATCTTATGTGTACTTTACGTTGCATATGCAGATCATTTTTCTTGCACTGAAAAGCTATGCTTGTCCAATGATGCTCTAATTTGTTGAGCGAATGCATATGCATGTCTCCCTGTAAATTCTAAACTCTAAAATTCTTCCTCATTTAAGTAAGCAAGCCGTTCTAGCAACTTTCTTTGATAATTCCTTTTAAGAACATTGAGATGACGCTCGCGTAAACCTTCCCTTTTTATCGATGAAACAAGATCGAGTCATTAAGTCATTTATTCACAGAGCACTATAGCATTGGGGGGCTCTTTCCAATCAGAAGTCAATAGTGCTACTGCTCGTTTAATATGCCAACATATTTTTATCATTTTCCTGTTTGTTGATAATGATGAAATATTACCTCAGGAATAATTATACCAGTATCTGGGGTTCGCAGCTCTGCTGTTATAGAGTCTTTGCTTGCTCTCCTCTCTATCCCAAATTGATTTCTAGAAAGATTATTGAAACTAGAATCAATACTTTTTCGTGAATTGCAGATAAGTGATCGGCTAACAACAAGAGGCGGCGCCAGCCACTAGGCTCTGTGGGGGGGGGGGGAGCAAAAAATCTTAGGTCATGCCTCTTTTACTGTCAGAAAAGGCCCGTTTGCCAACAACGAATGCCAATTTTGCCAATAAGGAAAGCCCATGACTAACTTCTGGATTCGAAAGGCAGTTCAAAAATCACAGGATTACATCACAAAAATAAATTGCTCAAAAATTACCCCTCCCCTAACTTTTTCTCATCGAATTTAGACGAAATTCAAAATCGATTTTGCTGAGAACTGGGGGGATGTCTTCCTCGTGGCGCCGCTACTGTTTACAACAGTATAAGGTAGGAATTGCGGTGGGAAGATTGAAATACTTATAAATATGATTCAGATCCTTCAATATTAAATAAATTTCACAGGCATTGGCAGCCGTTTGTTCAAAACAGATAAGATTAAAATTTTTGGATTCGATAAAAAAGATAAGATTAAATCTAGAAAAAAAGATCTAGATTGAACTTATGGCAGTATCAACAAAAAGTGACTTACCTTACTGCCAAAGACAAATTAACAGTTTTTCCTTTGCTGACATTCGACTCCATTTCACCATCAATGCTACAGCGCAGTATTTCGACTTCTTTTGTTGCTATCTGTCCAAATTGCTGTATTGACGATGTGATGGAATCGACGTTGGTATCACAAGACAAATGGTCATTTTCGTCAGGCTCTAGTTTTAATTGCAATTTTAACAGATTTTTCAAATTTTCACAAAGCTGCTTTTTGATAGTAAGAAGCTCAGCTTCACTGCTGAAAGATAGCACTTGTTCTGCAAAAAATGGAGCCCAAATTGCAATGAGGATAGCAAAAGCATATAGAAGATAGCAAAAAAGGAGCCCAACTTGTAATGAGGCCACAAAGAAGATAGCAAAAAATTAAGCCCAACTTGTAATGAGGTCACATAAAAGATAGCAAAACAATTCTTTTCAATAATCTTACCAGTGAAATTGGTCGAAGTACTAAGCCGTTTAAACTCTTGATCAAATAGGTCCATTTGCTTTTTCAGTACCTTCTTCTTATTCATCACTAGCACATCCAAATCGGCAAGCAGCTGACTTTCTCTTTCTTGAAGAAGTCGAATAAGCCTTGGTGTTCGTTCCTGGATCTCATTTCGAATCAGGTCCGACCTCGCATCAAGTTTCCGAGCTGTTTCATCAATATCCTGACAAGCCCTAGACAGTAAAGGCACCTTTTGCTGCAGAGCTCTGTGCAAGCTCATTATGTCTCCTTTCTGAACATCAACAGCTTTTGATAGGATTGTATATTCATGATGGGAGCTAGGGTGTTGCGTCATTGTACATTCGCGGCAAATAGTATCCTGACACGTTAGACAGAAATATCTAGGGTATAAAATTGAATCGTGTTCATGGAGCGAAATAGAAGGTGGTTTGTAGCATTAAGCAGGAGCGGATCCAGACTATAGCAACTGTAGCTCGAGCTATAGTCAAATTCTCAGTGCTTGATTTTCGAAATACAAAGTTTCCTTGCAGTCCCTAAAAATGTGTTTATGCCCACAAGTGTTTACTATCAACATTTGAAAGCAGCGGTATAGGTTATCAAATGGGATTAACAAACATAAAATGCTGGCAATGTGTCATCACAATGCCTCTCCAGATAAGATATAAAACACTGAGCGCAGAATGGTCTAATATTAAAACTTAGACGAATCAGAAGTTTTTTTCTTTGTTGACAGTAACCAACCAGAATTGAGCTACAGTGGATATTCCGAGCTATAGTCGGTCTGGGAATTTGCTCTGGAAAAGACATCGAAGACAATGAAACCCGTACTATAATTTTTGGCGCGAGCTATAGTGAAGCTATAGTCAGATTTGAAAATGGCCTTTTAACCAATAGAATATGAGTATCCATGGTATTTCTCCGCTCTCTGTCCCCTGTAAAGCAACAGTGGACTATAGCTCATTTTCACATCCTGGATCCCCTGTAATGTAGCTTCAAAGGCAAGCACCTACTAGGGAATAGACAGGGACGGCGGAACGACCAAGCGGCAAGGGGGGGGCAGGCGCGAGTAAAAGGGCTTTTGAAAGATAAGGCTCAGCTTCTACAAATTCATACGTAACTGCAATTTTATTTCGATCTTCTGTAGGTATCTTCAACATTGGCTAACTTTCGGCATAAGGAATTATTTCACATGTTTTGAGAAGTTCAGAATTTTATATGAATTTCTCTGATTATTACAATTGGCCAGTTTCAAGGGAACTTTATTAAAAACAACCCTTGCCCCTTCTGTCAAAGGGCAACAGGGGCGGTTGTACCCCCACACCCCCTTCTCTGCCGTCCCTGGAAATAGAAAAATGATGTTCGAAGGAATATTTATGAATACAAAACAACTATAAACACACATGGTTATATCATTTGCCCATAAAGTGGGCGTGTCCCACAAGCAAGGAGGGCGTGGTTCCGACCCAAAAGATTTGAGCTACAGTCAACAAAAATCCTGGATCCGCCCCTGTTAAGGATGTCATTTAGATTATGCTATGCTATGAAGTTTCCTTGGTCAATCGACAGACTGAGGTCAAAAAGTCAAAAATCATGATTAGCGATAGATCAATTTCATATTAATCACGACGGACATTTCCTGCAGTAAAAGAATTTCGGAACAAAATAATCTGTTCGTAGTTTTGGTGTACACTGTACACTGCAGCTCAATTCCATACCATCTGGTTTAGGTCAGCAGTCATTCCTCTTGAGTCTAGTCACCGAGGTTCCTTCAAATGAACATCATGAAATATCTCAGTGAGAATTTTCATTAATATTCGGCTAATAGAGCCCTACGGGGTTGTGATTATGTAGGATCAGGATGACGTAGAGGCAGAAAACACCAGATTTTAACAGCTGTCATCAGACGTAAAAATTGAGTTGGGCCGATCCTTTCCAAAAAGAAATCTCATTAATGGATAGAGAAGTATTAATATTCAACAGATGAATTATTAATGTGTAATGCCGTTTTACAAAACAGATTCGGGCACTTTCATCTGCAAAACAATTTTGAGTTTTTTAACGCGATAAAAATAATAAGGAATTTCACAAAGAAGTTAACGGGAGCCATATGACATCACGGGAGCAGTTATCAAGCAGGAAAAGTTTATCTAAACAACAGTATCATATATATCAATGTTTATGTCTGTCTGTCTTGCGAATGCCTAAGTATTCCAGCTTTCCGATATAGTTTACACGTCAAAAACAAAACCTTTGTCTCAAAAATGCAGCTGCAAGACATGACCTGCAATTTGTACTAGAAGCGAAATAAAATTTGTGCAAACAGGAGTGCACACACCACTAATGCTGAAGTATAACTTTGATAAATAAAGCTGAGATTTTGCATAAGAATTTCATATCTTCTGATGCCGAAAGACTTTACATCTTACGATTTGATGTTTCATCACAGCTGACTTTTCACAATGCAAATCACATGTCAAGGTGTTGCTAAGAAATTCCTTCATCCTTAGTTTAGGAAAATCTTCGCTTGGATGCGACAGATTTCATATAGAATCTCCAAAATTCCATATAGAATTTCTTTCTTCAGCAATTGAAATCTTTGATAAAAACGTAAATACACAAAAGAAAAAGGAATGAAAGTTCTAAAAAAGAGAATAATTAAAGAGTTTAAGTACATGCTCTGATATTGGTGCAAAAAATGCAGTTTGAATTTCTGCACAAAACAGATGCACCTAATTGAATTTTCATGGTAACTTAGATTGTTATTGCAGCCACTTCCAACGAGGCAGATGTTTTGCCTGACGATGCTATTAATAGCTCTAGATCTCACAAAAAAATTAAGGCCCGAAGAAGGTTTTTTGAGAATGAAGAACTGCAAGTACAAGAAAATACAAGAACGTAAAAAATACCGTTGTTTAGAGAATAGGGCCTTCTCTTGACTTGTAGTCAAATGTAGCATATTGTCAGATTTATTTGCTCTCGAGTTAAGAACAACTATTCATCTTTAAGTCACTAGCCCTATAATACCTCTTAGAATTGCAATTTGTGAGGAGGGAGTGAGTGATAAAATGGATATGTCCAGAACTTTCCTGCTTTATGCGTCCCTTTGGAGGGTATATGGCAAGGGGTTGTGATGATGTGATACCTACATTTTTGAAAGTCGCCTGAAAAAATTTTCTGCTGGTCCCAAATCATAGGCTAGACATATTTGAGACAATACATTTACTCATTGGTGTTATCGTTGTGGGCGTCACCTTCTACACCTCCGTCCATTCAGAAAAGTCAAGGTACGCTATTGTCAATCTATGTATAATTCTCTAAATAACCGTACATACTGTATCTTTTCAACCGGGTGTACTGCACAGGTTATTGGTCGATGTAGAAGCCTCCAGGCATCCTCGCTCATCTTTATTTGTTCGAGTGTCAGAATCTAAAAGCAAGAAATGATGCTTCAATGAACCGTCAACTGACATTAATGCTAGACTTTATAACATAACTTATTGTATTCTGCAACTCATGCAGAACTATATACATCATATCATTGTAACATGTTGCATCATCATGGAACTTGCTTTGGGTGCTCTTTGAGATTAGAAAAGTAGAAAGCTCGAACGATATAGCAAGTAATGAGACTGTTTCCAGCTCTACGGAATAACACGTGAAATAAACTCAAATACATTACTTAAAATCCCTCTGCAATCACATAACATATTAGAGATAAAATGCAATAATCATTGGTAGCTTAATTAAGAACATTGTCCAGCAAATATTATCCTCTTATGTGACAGGTGTTCTGTGACTGCGCCCATCAGACAAGCCGATTCTAAGGTCAAGATAAATAGATAATATCTCACTCTTACTTTTACAGCAATTCAACTTGTAAATATGAAGAGTAAAATGGCAGGAAAAGTCCAAGAAGCTGAGGATGAGGTCGAGTAAGAAAAAAATATCAATTTTCATTGATTCACATAAAAGGGTTCATCAAAAAAAATTTGACACATTTTTGTTATCGTCAAATTGAAATCTGTAAAATATCTTTTTTTTATTTTTTGTCATTCGTTTGCGTTAGTGTAGGACAGTGTAGATTCGAGTTTCACAAAACATATTAAAAAATACCAAAATTTGTGACCCAAATTGTGATTAAAAAAGTTAATGGGTTAAAAGCTCGTAAGAATAATATATGAAAATAAAAATAAATATATAAATGTCAACTAAGTTTTAATGAGAAAATTAAATTGTTTCTTACAAAAGGGGGAGGGGTTAATAAATGCGGAAAATGAATTGACATTAGAAGAGAAATCGACGAAGGTTTGGCATTAGCAAAAAAGGAGTAGAGGCCCTGGTACAACAAAGAGCCTCAGCTACCCTTACCACTTAAACCCTTGTTGTAAACACAACAAATTGAAAATTGATCAAGGAACGAGAATGAAATGTAATGAAAAATTAAACAGTACCTGGTGATCTTTGGTGATTCGTACTCTTCCATGAGCGCTGTGGCAAGCGTAGCATAGAAAATCCATACAGTCGATGCATCTAGCGGTAGCAGGGAGCTGTTCATTGCAACTGCTGCATAATATTGGCTTCTTGTCACTGTTCTTTACAGCAACAAAGTCAAGCATATTCAGAATGATAAAATTTGGAGGAAAATCTTTAACACCTTTTGCCTACAAGATGAGAAACCAAAAGAATCTGATGTAAAGAACATTTGTTTTGTTTTTATTATTAAGAATACTGCTGCTCTAAATTACTGTTATGTGTAGGCAAAGTTTCCTTTCTTAACAAAAAATCTCTAAGATTAAACCGTTTTCAGGAAAATTTCCAACGCCATGTGCCATCCATCAAGCCTATGGTGGTAAAGTAAAACAATTGCACCATAACCTAATTCTAACCATAACCCAAAGAATGATGCAGTATTGGACCAACTATATGTATCTTCCCTTCTTAATCTAAACGCAATTCGAATAACGAATTGAGAATATTTCTTTCCGCCTAGCATTCTTTGCCTAATAATGCTAGCCCTTTGTTATGTGATCTACTTACTCCCGTAAAGACTGCAGAAATGAGGTAAAATGTAAAATTTGATATTAGAAAGTTGTAGGGTGATATTTTCTGCCTTTATATTGGAAAACGTCTCATCTATGTTATTGATGGCTTCAATTAGCAAAGAAGGCTAAATCTCCCGATTTTAAATCTGGAAGTCTGTGGAAAAAAGTTTGATTCCTAATTAGGTCTCTGTGAAAAAATCTAAGCACAAATATTGAATTAAACCTACATATATATCAGAAACAGGTGCTTTAGTTATAGGATAAATAAAGGGGTTTTTGCATGAGGTTATTTAGCAACCTTAATTCCTAGTTCTTCAAATGGATTAAACGAGAGGCAGGTGAATAGAAATTATTAAAATTGCTTTTGTTTTACATCGTCTTTAATTTTCAAGTGTGCATAATTTATGTAAAAATCAATAGACTATGTAAAAACATTGTCAAGCATTTATGAGTTTTACAGCAAACGAATTTCTCAAAACACTTAGTGCAACTAAACATTGATTTAAACCATAAACCAAACTAATACAATAAAAAGACAGAGTTAGCTTACTTAAATTCACTCGCATTTTCCTTTACTCAGTTTCACAAGAAATTAGATTATATTTCACTGTGACGTATATTGACATATTTTCCACAATGAAGTAAGCCTTTGTACTGAATAAATGTTAATAAATCCGAAACCTTGTGAACTGGAACGAGGCAAGGTGAAATCTGATAACCTTAAAAACATCTAAAATGAACTCTTATAGCAGACAATAATTTGTAACCCCAAACTGCATTTTAATGCTTTCACAACCACTATTAGGAACAAGCTGTAATTGTTTTTGATTACGCTAGGGAGAGACCCAGAAGGCTATAGTTAAACCCTAACAAGGAAAAGCGGAGGGGGGCTTAGAAAAGTATGAAGAGAGTGTGGTGAGATCAAGTTTGTTGATATTTGTTTGGAAATAAAAAAGTTGCAAGAGTTAGGAAAGCAAGAAGACGGAAAGTGTTCTAAAGTTCACAACTTATATGAAGGAAAGATTAATTTATGGATAAATAAACGATCTTAGAAAGGTACATATCAAGGACGAAATGTATCAATAAATAATCACGAACAAATTTTTTTAGGTAAACAGGGAAAATATATCTGATCTCTTCGAAGTAATGTCCATTAAAACACGTCTAAAACATTATCTGAACAATAAAAGGTGCTTTGTACAGATCTGAAGCGTCCTGACCTATTTGTCTTCTACAAAGAATGAGCCTTTAAAAAATCTTCTATATCCAATGTCCTAGAATTCTAGCTTTCGCAGAGTTTTCGGAACTCACATGAGATACGTTAGACTAACTGACTGAGCCCGCCGGGATCAAATCAATAGGTTCAAGTTAAACTTTGTCAAGTTGAAGTAGCAGAGGAAAAGATATTATACCAATGTTTTAATGTATTTTCCTTCGCCACTTCAATGTTAAAATTTAATATGGCTCTCTAGCTCCAATTTCCAAACGAGGCTAGAACAGCCAAGTGATCCCAAGCTTCTATAGGATAGGAGATTCATCGCTTCAATTTCAAACGCTTTGAAAATGAAGCAGCAAATGCTTTTAATATGCCTAGGAAGGAGAAATGCTGAAATTCATTGACACCTTTCTGAAAAAAACCATTAAGCTTGAAACGTAGGTCACTAGGTTTAATTTTGTCACATAAATCTTTGCTAGATGAATTGGTGAAATATCAAGACACTGTTCCATCATCGGTCGGAATTCTCAAGAAATCAAACCCTAAGACGTTTTTTAAGGTGAGTATAGTTTAAGAATTTTAGCAATAAGGTATGAAAGATATATTCTGAATAAGATTTGCTATTCAAACGCCATTCGGACTCATTAACATCTATATCCCAACTTAGAAACAGTCAGACAGTCCCGGTAATCGACTCGTTCCAGGTGCCCCTGCTTGACAATGTCATTGAAAAAACTAAAAAAAGGACTTTAGTAAACCTTACGTCACAAACAATAACTGTTTTAGAAGAGTGAACAGAGATAGGTCTCACAAATCAACTCTCCTTTCATAATTCGGCAAGTAAACTCAATAGATTGTCTGACTGAAGAAATAGAGAAGAATCATTTTAGTTTGCTGATCAATAATTGTTTGAGTAAACAGTGCATTAAAATGACAGGTCATCTATGTATTATTAATGACTTCCGTTGTAAATTAAAAATTTTTAACGGTTCTTCGAGTTACTGATCAAGCATTTAAATTGCTCTCTGATCGGAAAGCTAAGCCAATAAGATGCTAAGCGGAAAAATCTTGACAAGGCTAGAAATTTACTAATATCAATAAATTTAATACATCATGAAGTTATCTTATGTAATCTTGCTCTGTTTGAAGATGTAAAAAACCACAATATACTAAAACCACATCAAAGTCATAATGTTAAAATGGTGGACATAATCAATGCCAATGATAAAATGAAATCGAGAGACAATATCAAAATACTGTTCATTTATCGATCAAAATTGTAAAATTAGCAAGCTCTAAGACCTTTTTGCAAATTTGAAGTTGCATTTGATGACCAAGAAAGATGTCAGGACTAATTTGAACTCCCAAAGTGTCTGAAAATCCCAGAGAAATAATTTTGAAAAAATTTTGTACGAAAGCAAGACCTGTCTAATGTTTAATATTAATTGTAGAATGTAGATTTTCTGATATTTTATTCGAATAATTGCATGTTTTTGTATGATAAAACCAATCATATTAGACTTCATTTTTCCATCAATTCTGTTCTAGACTGTGGTACTGTTATATTTCTATAGATCATGGTATTGAACCATTAATGCAGAACCAAAAATACAACAAAAATGCATAAAAAACCTTGGTTCTTTAATCACGGAAAATAAAGAGAGTAAAGGAAATTTTATTATATCATTGCAAAGGTAGGGAAAATCTTGCAATATTCATTTGCTAAATTTTGACACTGAAATTCTTAGCAACGATTTTCATAAGAACAAGAGGAAGTATAGGACTTCAAATAGAATAAAGTGAACTTATAGGTTAACTCACCATAAGTGAAACTTCTTTTCTGCAGCTGTGACATGTTATTGTGGCAGATCTTGGGTTTACTGTGTGCTCAAGGCATCTTTTGCAGAAAGTGTGTAAACACGGTAGAAGCCTCGGATCGTTGTACATCTCGCCACAGAGTGCGCATATCAGCTCTTCTGGTATTTTGTTCGCGAGTCGATGTTGTGGTTCTTCTCTTGCTGAGGCCATGTTGGGAGGTTCCTGAAACATAGAATTTGTACCATATAAAAATTCTCTGAGGCCGTTATGTATCAAGCCTGTCTCTTGAGTCAAATGTTCCATCCGCTGTTGTGGTGGGAGAGAAACAGAGCTATGATCCATTGCTTGGTGTCGCGGTGAACTATGTTTTAGCGGAGAAGGCATATTTCTTTCACGAATTCCAATGCTTTGACGAGTCTCAGACAGGTATCTAAATGAGTCTGTTGTTTGCGTAGAATCAGCTTGGCCTGAATACCGGCTTTCCATTGCGCTCGCCAGGTAGTTGCCGGATATTCCCTCCTGGCTTGAGTTCTGTCTATGGTAACTTGGCCCTGTTGCCATCACCGGCTTCTTTTGATACATCTTCAAAGCATCGATTATTATTTTTTCTGTTTCTGGATCACATTGTCCTTTGTTTTGATCCATTCGAACTTCATTAGCACTGGTCAACCAAAAGCTGCACGGATTTTTATGTGAAATTTTTTGGCTTACCAAGTAACCGTTTTTACTCGATATTGAAAATACAATATTTAAGCGGTGATATTTCAGCGTTGGGGAACTGATCGCATTCTACAGGTGACCAGATTCCTTCAAAGCTAAATGCAATGTTTGTATTTTGCCAGACTTGGTAAGTGAATTAACAGTCTTAGAGTACCATGGCTTCTATCAAACAAACCAAAATTCTTCAGCAGTCAATATTGCTGCCGCCATCAGCAAATGTTGATGAATAAAGTGATAAGGCAACACGCCAGAAACGTTAACTGCAACAACTAAAAGCACCTCGCAGATTGTGTTGTCTCTAAACCTGCTTTTTTATCCTAGAAAATTCAAGTTCAAGGGCAGAACCTCCGTTTTATTGCGCCAGTGGTTGTTTAACAGAGCTCCCGGCAGGTTTTTCCCTTGCTGCGAAGTCGTTGCTGCCCTAGCAGTATTGTGCTGCGGCGAATTATCTATATCTGTTAATTTTCTTGTAGAAAGATTATGTTTGCAGGAACATTCCAGAAGTCATTTTACGTCTCTTTTCTTGTAAGAAATACTTGTTTGCTTCTTCGTGATCATATTTGCACTACGTAGAATATCTTGGCAAACAAATGTTTTACCAAATTATCACGCTGATTTCCACCAGTGAATCTCGTTGGCTAAATTCTTCCTGTACCTTAAGCCGTATTCTTGAAATTACACAATAGTCTTTCGTGTCCATTCATTAGCAAGACATAATACGAATATACATAATTCTCAGGCCTTTAGCGCGATAATGTATTGCACCTGTGTCTTCCTCTCTTGATTCTCATGAAGAAACAGACCTGCATAGTCCCTGACTTGAAGTATATAGCACTCTCCTAAGTGGGTAGAATGCAGCCGCAGAATGTTCTTCCAACACAATAAATCACCCGCAAGAGCATTAATAAAGCGAAATTAAACCAAACTGTCAAGCAGCGAAATAAAATCAATTTGGTACTGGAATTATTCGCAAACGTATTAACCTCATACGATGAATATGGTCTAAAGTCACCTCGATCTGGTCTTAACCAACCATAGTTGGGGATATCCAGCTCTTTATTTATCTCTCATATCATGTGGTAACACATGGCGCGCAGATAGCAACATATTGCAGAAGTTAAGGCTCTTAAGGGCTACAAAGATCTGTCTGACTCACGATATTTGGCTAAAATGAAGCATTATTTTATGAAAGAATAAGATAGTAATTGTCTATTAAAAACTGTATATCACCTGGTCCCATTTCCGTTGTTCTCTGTCGTAGAATAAAAACATTGGTGAGAACAGTGTGCTTAACCATTAAAAGTACCATAAGGCGAAGCACAAAGAGGCAGATTTCCAAGTCGATGTAAAGTACAAAGTGCAGGATATCAAAGTTGAACTACTCCTAGCTGAAAACTTCATAAATCGACTTCATTGTTCAAGAAAGAACTACTATTGAACAATTGAAGTGGTCAACACCAAACAGCTGTCTTCAAAGCTTTCTGTAAAAGCTCTTTTCAGCACAATGACGATAATAATGGCGCTTTCTTGAAAGCTGAAGTAGTATGTAGCTGTTTGGTGGTTACCAGGTCCCCCGGAATGAAATTTATTGCATAGCTTTCCATGGTATTAGGATTGGGCGAGATTGGCTTTTCAAAGCAACCATGAGCTAACCAAATCAATGATAACCGCTAGACTACGACACGAAGTGCTGGCCGCTTGAATTAGTCAAATTTTTTCCAGTATTTCAAACAAGCTGCGGTGCTCATTAAAGATTCATCGAGTGAAGGTTTTGCTGAACTATTTAGATGGGAGTACTGCTAAACTTTGACGCATGAAATCGCTAAATTGAGTGAAGATCGCAGCTGGTAAACAAAGGCTCGCATCTTACATTAAGTCAAGTCTATTTACAGAATCTGTTTGTTTTGATGCTTGCATACAAAACTGCATTCTACTCTTGGTATTGTGATATTTTCATCGAGCAGACTTGTTAATGGAGGAGAAATCTTTCATCTCACCGGTATTGCGAATTCTGTCAGTAAAATTCGAATCAGAATATTTCATGGCATCTTCATTTCATAAAGAAGCAACATTTCCTTTTTCTAATGACGCTAGAACTATTTCAGCCTAAATTACTGCTTTTATCCTTTAGTTAAAGAGGTTTTCCTACTCAAATAATACTTTTCTTCCAAGAAGAATCTCTGCCATGATTAATAAACTGCTCATGTTTCACCAAGAGAAGGATAAAGAAAGAACTAAACCATTGAAAAACAAAAAATCACTGAAATTTGTTCCAACCTTAACAAAAACTGTTGATGCTTTCATACAGTTGTTGTTAGTTTATTGGCAAAAGTAGTAATCTAATTAGAATAACGTCATGTCTGCAATAAATGTTTGATTCTGAATTGCAAGATATTTCAAGCCTTTGCTAGTAAGGTCTAGTCACACAATTATTGTTTTTCTTGGAATGTCGATTACTACACCGGATAATCTTTTCTAAAATGAAACTCGAGTTTTTCGTCGTGTTCCTCATACCAAAAACAATGTCAAAGCTATACTTCCCAACAAATGTTTCAAACGCAAAAGAATTTTTGCCTTCACTAATTTAACTTATCATATCCTTAACTAATTCTGAACTCGTATATCACTTACATTGTTTGCAAGCATGAAATGGAAAATACAGAGGACTTTAAAGCTCTCTTCATACCAAATAAGACATTTTTGAAATATTTAATGTCAGATCAATATCATTCTCTTTCTCTTGGAAAAGAAGACTTGTTTTAACCAATCTTTCTGCTTTCTTTTTTAGAATGGCAACAGTGTTTTCCACCTCAATGGCTTCAAAGTCATATCTACAAAAATCTTGCGAGGCTTAACTTGGTTACTTAATATTTAGCCTTTTCCAGTAACTCAAATGTTTATAAGTGCGCGATACTCATTTATGAATTTTTAAAACCTGTAGCAGCTAAATCGGATTATCTATATATGTTCTATTCACAGTCTTCAATAACTCGGAAAAATTTACATGTTTTCTCACAGCGAATCTGTTAAAAGTAACATTGTATCTTGACCTCTAGAAGTGAGAAAGGTTTTCCTTGACATCAGGCCAGAAAGAAATAATGAACATTTTTGGTGATTGAAAAGCATTGTATCCATAGAAATAATATGAGATGAGACACAAATTGATATGCTGGAAAGATTGAGAACAATACCTCAATAACCAATCAGGTTTCAAGAATATGACAGCAAACGTGCCTCGCAGCTAGATTTAGGCCTATTTTGCACGTTTTTGCCACTAACAATACAAAATAAACGCGGAATATATGTTCAAAGATAACCTAAATTTTTTTTAAAAAAATTTATTGCTTGATAAATTTATGAAAAAATTGTACTCAGTAAAAATGTTTCCGCGATCGCTAGTTGTGAACACTTGAAACTGTCCTCTTCAAACCCTTCTAATAATTAGAGGGGAGAAAGCACGAAAAATCACAGTTTTTAAACCTTACAAGTTGTTTTATCCAAGTCATTAACAAACATGAACTTACCTTTACAAGCTTATGATAAATCAATTCTTGTATAAAACGTTTTTTTATACCAATTAGTCAGAACAAGGAATATAAAGTTTCATTAGGAGGTCATTAATCGGGAAAAAGTTGGCTTATAATGAATTAAGAAGTTGGCTTATTACATATAATGGAATGTAGTTATAGTATATGTTTTTAAAAGATCAAAGCTCAGAGTAGAAGAAAAATATAAGAAGCATTGCAAATGGAGCCATCTACCAGTAAATTCTAAATTTATCAGAAGGTCAAGCAATCATAATGGCTATCATAATTCATAACTTAACGCGTCAGTTTTATGAAAAGACAAGATCATCAATAAACGATAACGATATTTAGATATTAATTATATAGAAATAAATATGCAGTAAGAAGCCTCTTCAGGTGCGGTCAAAACTAGCAAGGTGTTTACTGTCTGGCATGCACGTTAACAAGAAATGCCAGCTCGGAAAACCATCCCATAACATTTCATTGACCTTACACATAATTTGCATTCATTATGAACCCTAACAATATATTTTCTCAAAATCGCAGCAGGATACAGATAAAATTGCTAAGAAATACTTTAATCCCTTGAAGGCCTGGTTTGGGACAGCTGCCATTAGAATCGCTTTCTTTAAAAAGTTATAGGTTGAAATGAGCGAAAATCATCGAAAACATCTCCATGAAATTTGGAATGCGAGCCTGAATCAAAGCATCGATGACTGTTGATAACTGACAGTAACCGGGGATTTTGCAGTTGGTTCTTTAGACATTGTCAATTAGGATATATAATGAAAGACGCAGCATGTAAATAAAATTTTGTTCACTACAACAGCTAATCTAGTTGAGATAAACTGATTAAGACGGTTCTTCATCGACTGGGAGGTCGTATTGAATTCCGAATTAAAGTAAGGAATGCACGTTCTCCAACGGCAGCTCTCAGTACAATTTCATTTAGAGCTATATATTTTAGCATCTTATTATAACATCTATCATCATGTTTCGTCTCCTTTGTTTTAAAATCAAATTTTCAAATTTCTGCAAGAACTCTCTCATTTCCAACTGGAAAAAGAAGAGCAACCTCTGCATTTGGTATTTTACGTTGATGACTTTTTAACAAGACAAAAGGCAACCTCTTGAAAAAAGATTCATACTTGAATAATGTATGTAAGATATTTTGAGAAGAAATTCCTCGTTGATAACATAAGAACCTATTCCTCTTATCTTTGGAAGCCAATCTAATCTGAAGCTGCAGAGACGGACATGAGGGAATATCTTGTGCATCCAAATTGAGTTTCAGCTGCCAGATATCAGCTATCATTGACAAGATTCTTGCTGTTTACTTAGAAATAAATCCTAATACAAACGATAAGGACTACAAACTAAGCAGCGAGAAAGAACTTTTTTGTTTGATGGATATGAAACACATAGTATGAATGCAGAGGACCTTCAAATTCGGAGCTAATTCAAGTTCTTCAGTCGGCCTAACTTGACTGTTAACATTTCAATGAACCAGATTAGAAGTTGCCTGTTTTCCATTCTGATATTTTTCTTTAGACGGTACTCACAAAAGGTGCATTTTCAATAAAAACCCATATTGTAATCTACTCACTTTCTGACCTGTATTAGTTTCGAAGAGCTCCGATTCATAATATGATCATGAAATAAGAACTCGTACGGCACAAGAAAATTGAGCTGATTAAAAAGATTAATTTCAAACTTAATAACCACATCTTTTATCGTATCGACATTGATCGTTCATTTTTCTGATTATCAAGAAATAACACTTTAGAGCAAGCAAAAAATTCGGGCATGGTTGAAAAAATTATCGGGAACCGATTAACTTTCTTGTACATGAATGAAAATAGCCTGACACCATCATACAGTGCATAGCATGTTGTAAAACAATGCACGAGGAGTTTGGGCAAGAGTACAAAGCCTTTCGGAAGGATCACATACGCGTGTGACATCTGATCTGTACTGTAAAAGTACGCTCTGACGGCGCCCCGTATACCAAGGCGAAATATCAGCCATCTTAAATATATTTTCTTGTTGTCATTTCTTCTAGGCGCGTTGAGGTGCTTCTCATTTTCAACTCTAAAATAATCACTTTTTTACCACATGGTCCATAGACAATCTTAGTATTCTTATAACACGGCCACTGATAACACATTAATGGGTTTGATTTAGAGAAATATGTGGGTAAGCAATTAAATGTTAAATCTGTATATACCCAGGGGGTTGCACAGTAACGTGGAATGTCTTCGTGTTGGCAGCAATTATCAAATCTTTGTGGGGAATCAAAAGCACGTGAAGCACGCAAAATTGTTTTATTTTACAAATGAAGCTGCTTTTTCGAGAAAGAGGTTCCGAAGCAAAACCGTACCGAACTTATGCGTTCAAATGAACTCAAAAGTCACCCGGTATGGCTCCATACCTAATTAAAAGTGGAATGGTTTGATTCCGCAAAAACGATATAGAGCGTATCGGATTTAAGCGTAACTAGATGTCAGTTCCATAAGATATGATTTTATAAGCCATTATCGTTATCTAAAGAGGCTAGGCACAACAAGCTCGACGATTTTTGTCAGGAATCAGGTAAAACCTGGAACAAAACAAACATTAAAAACCACACCTGAGGCAATAGCCACTTTTCCAAAGATATCTAAAGGGTATTCTAGATGGAAGACCTGTGACTGCATTCCATGGACCATTAACAAAGAAATAATGGTTTGGTTTTAATTCAATGGAGAAACCACTAGGAGTACATCAGTAGGTATCATTTTGCGTTTAATAAATAGAGCTACTAACACGTTTAAGAAATAGTGCTACAAAAATTGACATATAATTTCAAGATCTTCATTTTTGCATCATCATTTCACTTGCGTTTACTAAATTTTTTTGCATGTTATCAAGAAACTCTTTTTTATTCCTGCCCAGTGCACTTTGAAAAGCCACAAAATGACCATTTTGAAAATTGCAAATAAAGCAAAAATCATTGCACATACTCAGCAACATTGGTTTCAGTTTCAGAAGTTTTCGAATTCCAGAAGTTCCAGAAGAGAATTATAAAAGATGAAATACAAGTTGCGAATCACAAGAGGCGAATCGCAAGAGGCGAATCATAAGAGGCGAGTCGCAACGAGTTAATCACAAGAGTCGAATCACAAGAGGCGAATCATAATAGGCGAATCGCAACGAGTTAATCACAAGAGTCGAATCACAAGAGGCGAATCATAAGAGGCGAATCGCATCGAGTTAATCACAAGAGTCGAATCACAAGAGTCGAATCACAAGAGGCGAATCATAAGAGGCGAATCGCAACGAGTTAATCACAAGACTCGAGTCACAAGAGGCGAATCACAAGAGGCGAATCACAAGAGGCGAATCACAAGAGGCGAATCACAAGAGGCGAATCGCAAGAGGCGAATCGCATAAGACGAAGCATAAGAGGCGAGTCACTAGAGGCGAGTCACAAGAGGCGAGTCACAAGAGTCGAGTCACAAGAAGCGAATCGCAAAAGACAAATCACAAGGAGTGAATCAGAAGAGGAGAATCAATAAAACAATACACGTATATATTATGGATTGCCCATAATGCAGTGCAAACCTTGCTGCACATAGCTCACCGGCCAGGAACTAATTCAGAAAAGCTTTGTATTATCAGTAACCAAATGGTTAATGAAAGTTTTTCCAACTGGAAACTGACAAACAGAGAAATTTTCTGTCACCTTGAATCAATTGATGAAAGAATGACATTTCCCTTGCCATCTAAGGCAAATTCCATTTCTAATCGGACAATATGAAGTGTACTTATATGCCCATTTCATTATTTCCTTCTCATACTTGAAAAGACTGACGTTTCATAGTTGGTGCAAAGATGATTCCAGCATAAGCATATCCTTTCAACTGATTTTTTTATTATTTCTTACAAGAGAAAATTTGAAAGGTGGCTATGTAAGGGTCTTTATATATTTAGAATAAGTTCGTAAAACTCCTCCAGCAGCTGACATTATTTATGCATTAATATGACGTATATATTTCACTGTACTGTAAAACATCGTATTTCAATGTATCGTAAAACGTCATTTCTACACGTAGCTTCTGTCAAGGGCATTGGTCATTCATCCCGAAAGATTCAGTGACTCAATTTTGCGATTCTGTTAAATCTCTATAACTGAAAAATGCCAGTTCAAAGCAAAGCACCATTGCAACTCATTTTGCACGAGGAGCTTTAGTTCAAAAACATTTGAACAAAGGTTTCATCAATATTGAGTAGCTGCTTACACATCAAATTATTCAAAAAATGACTAAAGTTTACAACAGGGATGGGCAAAATTAAAAAAAATTCTTTAAAAAGCAGGTGCTGTAGAAGTAGACTACTGTACATAATTCTAGCTTCAACTGTATGTAAATTAATTATAACCATTAATATTATTACATGGTAACAGAATTAATGTATATTGTTCATAATTAAAATGAGGCATACCTTTTCTTTGATTACAGAACGATTTTCCTCGCTGTTGTCGGGAGCCGATATCCGTTTGAAGAAGTTAATTATCATCTAGGCTGAAGAAGCCGAGTCTCTAGAACGAGACGACATTCGTGCTAGCTGCCTGGAATGAAGTCAAAAAAACGTTATCTATTGTGTCAAAAGAGACAGGAAAGCAAAAATCTTACCAATATATTTATACACAATGTCAAAGTAGTTTATACGAAATGCAGAACTAAACTTGTTCCAATCTGCTAACAGTAAAAGAACGATTCTCACTCTTTGAGTTAAGAAGAAACCTTTCCTTTTAACTGCTGAGTTTTATATTTTGCATTGATATCATCTATTCATATACTTGCATATTCTTGGATCATTTAAGAAATATAACTGATATTTCTAAAAGCTGGCTAAAAAATCCGGCTGATCAACTAAGGATAAAACTTCGACTTCTGTTCTCAGGTTTAATGAGGAGACTTCTGTTCTCAGACTAAGCGGGTTACAGATCGCTAATTTACGCAGGGTTTACTGTCGTTAACACCCTAAGTAAAAAATCAAAAACTTGCTCAATCAAGTGGTAGAATACCCTAAATAATGAATCCAAACAGCAAGGCTCTAAAGTTAGAAGACATTGACAAGCATATACTAATCCATTGTATTATGCTGCGAAAGATTCTTTGCTGTTTTGCTGCTTAGGGCAGATTTCATTCTACCTTAGGATGTGAAATTTTCTGTAAAGACGTATTTCATGCAAAAAATGTTATGCAATGCTTGGTGATATTTCTTGGTTTTAAAAAGCTTCCGATTAAGCACTCTATCTCTGTTAATGCCAACGTTTCAAGAAATTTTATATAAAAAAACGAATCTTGTGCTTTCAGGATTGTAAAGTTTTCTATAATTCATAATGACCCACTGATCTCGAAACTCTAGGCCATATAAGATTTAAAAAACTTGACATTTTAAAGTACGGTATTGTCAAGTGCAAAATCTAGCCTAAATCCCTAAAGTTTGTTACTGAGAGAATATAGCGATTTTTCGACTGAAAAGGTTAATATGCATGATTTGACTGATAGTGTAAAACAGTCTGCATCTTTGAGACTTTATAATTTATTATGTATACTTATTAACCAAGTTATAAAAATCTGAGAAAATACAATCTGGTGAATCTATTCCAAACTATTGTTGATAAACACAATTAATTATAATGATTCATTCACGTCACAATATATTTTCACTCAAACAATAAAAATTTAACAATAAGCCTGAAGAGATATAAGAAACCGAAATTTCTCCCCAGCATCAAGAACCAAACTAACATTTGGAAATCTCTTCAAATGGCAGCTACATGAACTGATACCATGCCTTGTAAATTGCTACTGGCTTTATCTAATCTGGCCCTCTTTGCACAGTGGAAAAGCAAATCATATTGAAATCAGAGGAATTGAACAAACTAAATGATTCAGATATCTTTAAAATTTCCAAATAGTTCCATGATCACATGTGACAGAATCGCTCCTGAAAAAGCGCGCCATTTTCTAGTTAACAGAACAAATGTTTTAAGCAAAACAAGAATTTTTTTGATGCTTTGGCAGTTTAACAGACGGTGGAGGAACTGCCAAATGCAGGACATTTCTGATAGTATTTTTATATTGTTATGTTCTGTTAGGCTGGTAATTTTAGAGCAGGCCTGACTGCCTTGATGAAACAAGAGCCCTGCCCGACCCAATTTCTTTGTTTATCTGGCACATAAAAAACCAAATAAAAGGGGCCGCCATATCGTGATGATGTTTATGTTGAGTTTTTAGCATTTTGACCTCAAATTGCTTTGAACAGTATTGTAGAAAAGTATCATGTCGAAAAGTATTTCAAAAAAATGAAGACCCCCTTGATAAATTTCGAGCCCGAAATTCTTATCCTTTTTAAAAAAAATAGCTGAAACAATGTTTTAAGAGATCACATAGGGAATCTATTCCAAATGCTTTAAAATTCCAAATTGTTAAAAATTTGCACCCTGGATCTCCCTGTTTATAGAATAGCATAAGAATGAGATTGGCGTTGTTTAGTTATGATGCATGAAAAGTGCGTCTATCATTTTCTAACGAATATGAAAACGTTAATTAGGCTTTCTCGTTGAAACTCTTTTAGTCATTTCGAATCAACAAATGCAAAAAACAGTTGTAGGATGACAAGCCATTCTAATGTACAATGCCTGCCAAAAGTATTTGGAACACCCGGCTATTTACGCTGCATTTGATATCTTTCATTCCTTTCATGAAAAAAATTACTACTTCTGCCCCTTCCCCCCAAAACAATGTTGATAATTTAGGGAAATTTAAAGAAGCGCAAAAGAAAGTGCTTCCTAAAATCCTAACCCGTTTGATAGTAAACCAACATTGTTTCTGTAGGTGAGAGGGGGATGATTTATTTTGACCTTGGAAATTGACGTCAGTGTTTCAAGACTTTTGGCAGGCATTTTAGGTTGACGATTACTTTCTGTTTTACTTGGCTGTGATTATGGAATTCTTATGAAGCCTACTCCTCACGTATCTCTTTGATATATTTATGATGACATCCTCCCGCTAGTTTTTATCTTATAGTTTTTGTCGCCAAGTTAAACAAAAAACAAGTTAAACACGCGTTTCTTGATTACGACTATTGGTGGCCTTTCTTCTACAAGGGCAGAATGAGTCATGCTGTAAACATAACAGGTAGCTGCTATAATTTTGTTGCTTAAAAGTGATTTTGTTTTTTGTATACAAACTACTTATAGGGCGTGATTATCAACAATAGCTTGTTATTGCGTTAAGGCCTGCCTTAAACCTCAAGTTATAATATTTAGGCCTGCCTCAAACCGCGTTTGCTTTGGGGGGCTTGCGTGCTTATCAATGATAAGTTGTAAAAAATTGTTTTACTATGCAAGAAGAGTTATTTTTCAAATGAAACGCTTAGATAAAACTCCAGGTATAATGAGAACATTTTGTTGGAATGGGATAATCTGACCGTATGGCTCTTCAAGGAATACCGAGTTTCTTTGTTTC